GAGGGTTCTCCCTGAAGACGACCCATCGCGCGCGGCGTTGCTGCCCGCTATGTGCCGCCATAGGTAACCTCTGTGGACCTTCAAGCAACCGGCAACAAGAAGGCAGCTCTCAAACCGACCGAATTAGCTAGCATACTACTACGCATCGAAGTGCCCAGGCTGTTGTCGTAGATAAAGGGCAGACGAGTACACGTGTGCAGTGTACTCATGAGAGGGCAGCCCAGTGGACGTCTATAGCAGTAGAATGATTCTAGTACATTTATCGGGAATGAGTAGCCAGGTTTTGGTCTATATTTATAGCGCTAGAGGAAGACACTTGGCACAACAGTAGTCCAAGCATGTAGCTCAGCAGTACCAGGGTAGATCAAGACAAAGCGCACAAGAAAAGGCACAAGCTTAGCATAGTTTGCTGCAAGTCAAGTGGTGCATGTAATGGCATCACTGTGCAGGGGATAGATTCACACCCTGAAGCAAGTGAGCAGATTCGGAGCCTCAGCACCATCGTAGGCATGGTCGTAGAGTGTTAGCACTAGCAGTAGAGAAGCCACACGAAGACACGTAAGGTAGACGCTTTCTCTCCGAACGTTCTCACTTTTTTGGTCTGAAGGCTTGAAATGCAACGGCAAAGAGAAAGAGAAACACAGACGAGAGACAGCGAGACCATGACGAGACAAGTTCCATGGTCGTCACGTGTCCGCAAGGTCATAGATTCCACTGCGCTTTTTTTGCAAGTGCCTGAGTTTTTTTAAGAGAAAGGCGCAGAGCCTTTTGCTGTAATTAAGTGGCTAAAGAATGACAAGACAAGCGCCATCGCCAGTTTTATCTCAGTTATTCAGTGGCCCAGTGATTAGATAGCGGGCGCTGTACAAGACCAGCCCAAACTCTCAAAGCTGTCGCCTCCTCATCCCAAACAATAGCCGCCTAGAATCTTCCCCGCTAGCAACGCTAGCTAGAGTAGAATCCGAAAACATCGAGACCACTCACAGACAGCGACTGTCTGGAGCTTTCCCGGTCCTTATTTCCTTGGAATAAGTTGACTGTAGGCCCGGGTAGCAGCTCGCTTGTGCGGGCCTCTCGAGGCGGTGCCGTATGATTTTGTCCGAGGGGTAATGTGTCATAATCAGGCTCAGTCCGTTTCTGCGAGTCCGTTTCTGCTAACGAATAACACAAGTAAGACCAACGCGACACACTTACTTTCACGATGTTCGTCGATCAAAAAACCTCTTGACCATATCAACGCCCTGCCTCTACAATCATTGAAAAGCCTCCCACTGTCGATCATGGTGCGAGCTAATCCGAACAAGGATAAGGGTGCGCCCAAGAGCAAACTGAAGAACAGAAGCACGACACCGATGACACTCACCGCGGAAGGAATGCGCAAGGCCATGGGGATGCCCGTAAAGTTCCTTGCTTTGTGATGGCATGTCTTTGCATTTTCTAAAACACAAAAGGCGCCCAGCTCAAGTCTCTCGCCTTGTTTTTAGGTGGATGAACATGCTGAGGAACGTCCTCCGGCGCGACTTTTCTGCTACAGTCCTCGCCTTGTTGAGGGTGTAGCTGTGCTCTGTCCTATTGGATCAAACACTACCAAACCCCACACGGGTCAAGACGTCTATACTCTATACTTTCCCCTTACAAGAAACCGCGACAACGATCCAGGCGACGAAGCAGCTGGCCCGCGATCAGGGTCGTGCCAAGGCACGCACTCACGGGCGCGCGGCGTTAATTCAGCGCATCCCAGAGGACGAGACTGATGAGAAGTCGAGCTTGCAACACGAGTGCAACACTGCTCGCGCGTTGCTCAAAGTTGGTTCCGTCTGTTATTCATACCATTGGGATTGGCGGCCACTCTCATGCAGATTACATCGCTGACGCACGCTGTGAGGAGCATGCGCGCTGAGGTGTTTGGCGGGCTGAGTATGGAGCAAGAGACCCCTTCTGCGGTACTAGAATACGCGACGAGCTATCCCGTTTCCATTTTCAGTCTCGCGCTTTTCTGTCCCGTCGTTTCTTCCTGTTACAAGTACCATGACGCATCCGCATTTCTCGAAGCGAGTGAGTTTGAGGCCTCTTGCTGATCCTGAGACTGTGCATAAAAATTCGCACCAATCTGCCACACCCACTACAGTCACACTTGGCAGATCGCTACGCTTCGACTTCAGACGGGCAGGGCGCTGCAATGGCTTTGCATGCCTGCAGCCACGTTATTCCGTTTCTGGTGTGGACCAATGCGCATGCGTGGGTCGAATGCGCTTCCGCCTCTGCCTTCATTGAGGGCGCGCGCAAAAATCGCAAAGGAAGAAAGACCGACAAGCACAAGTCTCCCGCCCAGGTACTGACCTGGGCAAATGGCAAAGGCCGCGCTTACTGCGTCCAACAAGATTGCGCGTTGTCGCAACTCAAGAAAAGCACCACCCTGCTGGCTACGGCTGTTGAAGACCAGAAGGCGCAGGCCAGTCTTGCGTGAGCAGATCAAGCCGATCACAGACCAGAAAGACAAGAAGGACAACCCGCAGCAGATCTCGGGCTACGGACTGAGCGACGTACTGAAAATCATTTTTGTTGTTGTAGTCCTCTTGTGTGTTCTCTTCTGTTTTTCTATGCTCTGCAGTGCAAGCGCCCACTTTCTATCTTTTGTCCAACATCTCAGGAAGAGGATGGAGAACGCAGCGAAGCCCAAGCGGCGCCCCTTCCCCTTCCTTGTGTTTATGCATCACCCAGCCCAGCTACTCCTCAGATGGGCTGACGCCGTCCAGTTGTGGCCAGGGTTCTGAGCCACACGATGGACCGCGTGGGCGCGGTGCCGCCAGCTGCTCAGAGGGCTCCCCTTGGGTCTCATCTCCCCGCACTGTCTGGCCCAGCGCGGCCCCCGTTTGTTTCTCCCCTGGATGTGGGGCGGCAACCAGCCTGAAGGCCGCCTCCCTGCCAGTCGAGTCCCCGCCTGCCTCTGTTTATGTGGAAGAAGCGCGCAACGCCAGCCCCCAGCCCATGCGTCTCCTTCCTTCATCAGTAGCTAGTAGAACAAGGAGAAGGCCCCCCGGTCGCGCGCCATCGCGTCCGCATAAAAGGAAGCAGCGACTGAACGCTCGCCCGCACTGGCTCGCCACATTGTCGCAGCAGCGTACTCCCATAGGTCAAAAACTTTCCAAATTGTTCCAGAGTGCGTAGAGCCTTCTGCCCGGCCCCCTTTCGGGTCCGGCGCTTTGCTCGAGGCTGCCCGCCCTGACAAACCGCGCCGCACCTGCGAGGCGCAGCGTGAAGGCAAGCGCGAAGCAAAATAAAGCGGCCGCGTGGCTCATCTTGTCGGGGTCTAGTCATAAGGCAGCGCGCCCGAGATTAGCCTACCCCCTCCCTATGTCTTGACGCGTGGAGTAGTTTCGCCACTGTCATGTCTGCCTCGCACTGCTCGGGCCCTATTCTATTGCGATCCGTTTGGTGGCAGTCTCGCATGCGCTCCGATTCCCTTCGAGTGAGATGCTATTTTATCGCTAAGCCTAAGCCCATACTTACATAAGAAAACCCTCGCCCCCATTTCCTAAGTCTATACATCGGCACCCCTTCACTTCCAGGCAGTCAAAGAGGAGGCAAGGCGCAGTAGTCTAGTGGCAGTCCCATGGGCGTAAGGCGTAGCCCGGTTTTCTCTAGTAGGATGGAACTGCGAGCGCCGCAGTGGTCGCTGGCTTGTAATGAGATGAGCCCCAGCATTCAGAAACGCCAAGAGCCCAGCCAGAAAGGTAGACACACAGCCGCGCACACTCTTCACATAGAGTTCCGTCGCCCACGAGATAACCCTAAGCGGAGCGCGCGCACTACTTAGATAGCGCAACTCATCAAGCACAGGGCCGGGCGGGCCGTCTTGGCTTATCAGGTTTGCGGTAGCCTGGTCTGAGCTTCGGCGAATCGTCTTCAATGTCGCAACCTTCAGCCCATCCCATGCCACCCGCCCTCATCCTTTGCCTTTGAGAGAGAACAGAGGCAGGCCTGATATGGAGCGACTGCATTAGAAGAGCATAAGGATGCGCTGTCGTGCCTCTGCATATCTTCGGACTGTCGGTTCGCTTTGTGTCAGTGTCGCAGAATAAAGCAGCGACGCGGGTATTGTCAGTGTCGCAGAATAAAGCAACGACGCGGGTAGCTGACCTTGGCACAATGACACAACCCAGAGCGCCGCGCTTGAAGAACGAGCCGCCAGCGAGGGCTTCAGCTGGAGCTGCGCAACGTGTGGAGGAGCACGCCCGGCGAGAGAGGTCGGCGAATCTGACACATGCGCCAATCGATTCCAGCGAAGAGCGTACAGGCCCGGACGTGTTTGCGAATTGTTTACGCAGTAAAAGCCAAACGGATTCCCTAACGCGCGAAGTTTATTTCGGACGCTTTGGCCTCATGGCAAGAAGTCGCGGCTCACTCGAATGCAACGCAGTACGTTCCAATTTGCCGCCTTCTCTCGCAAAGTTGTACCGCGTTAGAAAACGATAGAAGGAGAGGGCTCGATAGCGTGAGAATTGTGGGGGTGAATCGGTTAACAGACTCGCGGGCGATCGCGGTGATTCGAGTTGTAGGATCCGACTCGCGCCCGATAGTGCGCGCTGCGTGTAGGATGCGCAGCCCCCAATAGATTCGAGCGTTAGAGAAATGGGACCGATGCGGGCAAAAGGCAAAAGCTCTCGCCTAAATTTGTTAAAGCGAATGCCTGCGCTGCTCTAGCATAAGGCTTGGGATAATCGATGTAGCCTTCAACGGAGATCACGAGCTGCAGCTGATCCCACCAATAATAATATAATTCACTTTCAACAGGGCCTTGGCCATCTAGAAAGCCGCGCACATATTCTTCGAATTGATTCCAAATGAGCGAAGCTCCCGTAAGAAGACCGTCGATAGTGGTAGTGCTGAGGCCCCCAGGCAGGTGACTAGCAATTTTGTGCCTGTAATTCTCTGCAAAGTTACCCATCTCCGGACGGCCGACGGTAATGCGCGCCTTACCAGAAGGAAATGCGTACGCTCTTACACCACCTGAGTTCTTCGGTCACATGACGGAGGGATAGAGATTTCATTGTTCCATCACGTACATCCAATGGAGATCAAGCAGCTTCTTTTTTCAAGTACAGCATTTCATCAGGGGAAGGAGTGAGCGAGAAGATTGGATAGAATGAGAAAAACTGCTAACCCTATGAATGATGAAGTCATCACGCTGTTCAAGAAGGGTTGCAACTTTTACGACAGCGTCTGCGTACCGATTAGCTAATACAATAATTCCTGTTAAACCGAAGTTTTGGCTTGTTCCAGCATCTCGTCAACCAAGGCAGAGCACTTCTCGTCAGTACCTTTCTCCGACAGCGACAGCACCGCCGTCAACTCCAGCTGCTTGGTCTCTTTGTTCACGAGCTTGGACACCTCCATGTTGGGGCTCTCTAGTAGAGGTTCCGTGGTGGTAGTGGTACCGCTAGCGCTACCGGGGGTTAGTACTAGTCCACCTAGTTCTTGTTTGACATCTTCGCGGCTGTCGAGCTCAAAAACGGAATAAACTACATCCACCACATCCGATATTGTCGACTTTCCGGAGATTCGTAGATGTCTGGTCGTGCTCGTGTCGCCGGAAAAACCAAGCCGCAGAATGAGTTTGATATCACCAGGCCCAATCGTAATCTGTGCTTTCAGTGTCTGCAATGCATGCAACAGGTTGTCGTTCAATCTTTTCGCCTTCTCCATGTGGTACTGCACTGCATCCATCAGTTCCTGTCCGATATGCGACTCAGTCTCCTTCAGTTCCGTCAGTTTCTGCGCCAGGGCGCGGCGATCCTTCTCGCTTGTCTCCACTTCCTCCTTCAATTGTGACGCCGCTTTCCGCAATTTCAATTGATGTGACGCCGTTTCCTGCACATGATCTGATTCGATTGATATGGGTGCGGATAAAAGATACTACAATGAGTGGGTCTCACGGTGGTCGCGACTTATGCAGCTACATTACGGACCGTAAACATCGACTCAACAAGTTCAACAACTCTTCCTTGCTACACCTACATATTTGACTCGTGACGTCATCAACGAATCTTCATAGTCTAAGGCAAGTCAGATTTTAGCTGTCTGCTGTACCTTTGCCGAGGGCGGTCTGCATCTGCTTCGGCTTCGGCAACGGGCTACTCCTTGCTGCATTAGCCTTGGCGCCAAAGGCGGGTACTGTAGAACTTCGTCTCATACCGGCCCCAGCACCCGGTCGAGCTCCAACTTCGATAAGTGCCGTCGGCTGGACCTCGCTCGGCTCCCCGTCCCAGTCCACCACAGCCTTCTTCTCCTGCTGGCGAGTAATACCGCGACAAGGGGGGAAGAGCACCAACAGAACGCACATGTATGCCCAGCAACTTATGCGCGGCAACGTCATCATTTTCTTCGTGTGGGAACTCTATCTTCAGATCTTTAGAATCTCTAGTATCCCATACAACAAGGACTCACTCCACCTATCAACGATAAAAGCAACTCCTGGAAGCCCTCATGCCAACAGTGCATGTTGGTCGTTCATCGTCTAGTAGAAGGAGCGTCAACATTGTAGAGATCGTCCTGGTTGCTGATCACCTTGACGGGCGCCAACTGAGCGTGAGTGTGAGAGTCCCCACTTTCGCCGTGCACAATTCCCGACTCTGAACACTGTCATCATCCATCCTGTCCAAAAAGAGAGCCATAGTTCGGATACGACCACGCAGGCACCATCCACACATGGTCTAGCTAGGTGTAGGCTTTTCATGTCCTAGTGGGCACGGACCGTTTTTGTATTCATCTTCATACGTGATTGATGCGCAAGCTGTGGGAAGCGAATGACAGTGCTTGACAAAACGGCTCTTCGCCTGAGAATGTTTTTAGAAGATTTAGAAAAGGATATAGAGCCACGATCTTTCTTCAAGATTCGTTATCTCGCATAGCTATTCGCTCTCCACCGAAAACTCCACAAAGATCCTGGTAGACATGTAGGAGGGTTGTAGTCAACTATACGTATACTTCTTTCTCGAACATATCCTCACTTCACTTCTCCAACATGTCTTCCACAAATCCTTCCATTTTGTTGCAATATGTCCGTCTCCTCCAGAAGGGAAGCAAATTAGCCTTCTTTAGAGCCGTCTGATATGACACAGAGCACCTGCAGCGCAACAACTTAGAAGGCCCACACGCTGGCTTTCAAATCCGCAGCCTTCGTGTTATGCAGTACTTCTGCCATCGCCAGCACTGAAGCCTCCACTTTTTCTATCGGGTTAGTGTTGTCCTGGATCAGGAGCGTATCAACGAGACTTTTGTCGAAGCAGTGCGTTGCAGCGACAATGGCATGCAGTTCGCAGTTGGTAATGGGAAGCGCGCCGCTCTTCGTCAAAGCGTCTAATAAATCGAACGCGCGCGCTTTTTCGTCCTCCATTCCTTTGGTGCCTTCTTCTAAAGTGTCCGTCTGAGGCGTCAGATTCAGGAAAAAGCTCTTCGGAGCGGTCTTGCGCCACTTGTTTCCCGCTGAAATGATCGTAGGACGCACAACGCCTCCTAGTTGTCCCCGTGCTGTTTCAAGTGAATCTTTCTTAGATCCCGATCCACCTCCTGCAAGAAGAGCATCTAAACTCTTCTCCAACTGGCTTGGCACCAGCGTGTAATCCGAATGCACTCGCTGCTTATTCTTCTGGATCTGGAGCTTGGCCAATATTTCTTGCTCCTCCTTCTTTGCTGTTGTGCTCGAAGAACTTGCGACGCCTGAAGATTTCGAGGCTTGCTGTTGCGCTGAAGTAGATGCTAAGCCCTCACTTTCAAAATCGAGCTGCTCAAGCCGTTTTTTCATCTGCTCCGTCGTCTGGTCTTGTAGTACTAGTTTCGCCGTCTCACTAGAACCGAGCACACCACTAGCGGCTGTTGTAGTTTGAGCTACAGCATTCGTAGTGGAGATCACAGCTGATGCATCAGGAGCAGTGCTGACCGCAACCACAGCAGACGGCTCTGCTGGAGCAGCTGCAACTGATTTCTTAGCACGAGGACTTCTAGAACGATTTCCAGTGGTAGCCTCTGCTGCTGCAACATATTTATCCTTCCAAGGTCAGATCGAGATCATGAGAAAAATATTTGACTAGTAGTCATGAAATATCTCAACACCTGGGATCTGCGTAGTATTTCACCGCTAAGTTGTTCTTGCTCATTCGGTAGACGATAGAAAAGCCGAAAGCCAACGTGACGAAGTAAATGACGCACAAAAGACCCAGGACAGCGAGGTCCTGCACATTCATTCGTTTCACCATAGCTTTCTCGATACGGAGTGTTAGAAGTAGATGAGCATGAGAGGTACACGTCGAGCAGTTACTTACACTTAGTAGAAACAGCGGGTGAGGAACGAAGAAGTGAGACAAAGATCTTTTAAGTCAGGCAAAGACAGCAGCCTCAGACGAAGTAGATTCAAATCGTTCTCATTCTAGAGTAGAGGTAGACGTAGTCGTAGACCACGACTCCTGAGATACTTGTGCATCAATTGCTAAACTCTAGTCCTCAACATAACAATGCTTGCAATTGGCGAACATTGATCCCTTGGCCGGCCCTTATTTGCAGTTCATGTCCGTTCAGTGTGCGAGCCCCTGTCCCACTTGCTAGCATGTAAAACGATTCCCACCAGCTGCGCTGTTGGTCCAAGGCGTCTAAGACCTGATTTTTTGTTGCAAGGGTCATCATGCAAGTACAGTAGTCCCTCTATAAACCTAAAAATGTTCTTCTTGATGTTCTTTTAAACAAACAAAAATTTTTGAAGTAGTTCATCCTAGCAATGAGGCACGAGCACGATGCACTTCCTCATTATACTATTCAGAAATACTTATTCAAGATCCTAATTATGGGCCGCTACGATGATGTAGTATGAGTGTTCACTTCTAAAAAATACAAATCCAAATTTTGCTTTCGCTAGTTTAAAAAAAAATGCCAATTTTGCTTTCCACAGAGGAACCTCACCCGGCTCTAGGACAATGGGCTCTAGCCCTCCAGTCTTTGCGCGTGCGGTGGAAATTGTGATCAAGCCGTTCTCATTCGGTTCGGGTAGATCCAACACGTCTTCATCTCTCGGTAATCGTGGTCCAACGTCAGAATTAGAAAAACTTCTACTTGTTCGGTGGAAAAGAGTACTACTCTTATAATAAGGAATGAGAAAAATTTTTAGGTGAACAAGAACTACTATTTCGGAAAAGTAAAGAGTACTCACTACTACGAGTCCAAGTACTAGCTACTCTTAATAAGGGATAGAGAATATGAACGTTAAAGATGTTCGTGCCTTAAAGTCAGGGTCCAAAGGTGGGGAGGTGAACTTCTTTTTCTTCGTCTCTCCTTCTTCACCAGTTGAGGCTCCTTTGCTTGTCGCCCCACCATCGGCTCCTCTGCTTGTCGCCTCCACCGCACCATTTGCATCCTTAGCACCATTGGTGGATGTTGATGAAGCGGGGGAATCCTGCTTGTTATTACCTGCTTCGTTACTGCCCGATGATGCTGCTGTAGTTGCAGCCTTGGATGAAGATGCTTCCGCTCCAGCTGACGGTGTTGTTCCACTTGCTGCAACAGTAGTGTCCTCAGTACTAGAGGAACCTACGGGCTTGGATGTAGCGGGTGCGACTGCAGGCTTGGATGAATCACAACTGCCACTAGCAGCGCAACTACCACCGGATGACGATGAGGTGTCTTGTTGAGCGTTCGTGACTTGGGGAGCGTTTGTAGCTTGTTGAGCGTTCGCTCCAGCCACAGGAGGTAAGCGATTTGCCTGCGGTTGCGGGAGTTCATCCTTTCCTTTACGACCAAGACCACGAGCAGCACCAGGAGAAGATGTTCCTCCACTCAAACCAGATGTTGACGTAACAAGACCAACTTGTCCTGCTTCTGCCTGCTTCTGCACTACACCAGAACCAGGTGGAGCAACATTCGAGGAACTCCTCGAGGACGTCGACGTAGTAGCCTCGAGGTGTTGTTGTACATTAGCAGGACTTGCGACTGTTTCTAGAAATTCCGCATTTTTCTGCCGTCCTTCTCCTGCTGCTGCTGCTTCGTGTTGTGCTAATACACCGAAAAAAAAATCGTGTTGGGAAGTAGAGGCGCATAACAGTAGACGAGTTGCCCGTGATGTCCTGACAGTTGTTCTGCTTCTGCCCCAGCGACCTTGGCGGTCTTGGAATCTTGAAGAGACGAGGACCATGATGTTGTGATCTTCTTGTTCTTGGTCGTCTAGTTGTTTTGTTTTTTGAGACAACTGGCCCTGAAGGCGGAGAATGGTGCAGCTCATTCAAGGCTGGTATTAAGCCAGACTTGGATGATAAAATGAAAATTGCAATAAGTACGTCGAAGATTATTTGTCGTGACTGTGCTCCCGGATAGAGCAGAAGTAGTACACCATTGATCGCTACAATCAGTGGAGACGGTGACGGAGATGGAGTTCAACAGGGTCGGTAGTTGTAGCTACTTGTCTCCCTCATTTACAACCGAGGACTACAAGTAGCGACCGATCTTCATTTGCAGACCGAAGATCACACCGAAGATGATGATGAGCACCAGAGAATGTGAAGAATAAACCGATTAGCATCATGATCACAAGCATGGACCGACGGAGGTGATATGGAGTATCTATTAGATCATAGAAGCACTACGCATCAATTTTAGAAGCTTCTTCCTCACCGACTTTACTTCTTCCCCAGATATTCTATTTTTTTTCATACTCGTCTACTTAAAGAGAATATTATGGCAGTCGCCAACATAGAACTCGCCGATTGATCCAGTTCCACATGCACAACTTGTTGCTGGCAGATCATAGTTGTTCATGTTTCCGATGCTGGGGTCATCAATGTATGTACATCATGTAGTAAGATCCAAGGTGGAAATGGTTGTGTGCCTCTTCAAGATCAAAAATTTATTTTCATGCATGTTGTTTTTGAATAGAGTCTTGGGTTTGTTGCTATCTTGACGTGATGCTACTGGGTAGATAGACTTGGGTTTTGTACAGGTTTCTTCAGGGAGGGTTTTAATTTCGCGGTGGTCATCGAGCTGGTGCTGAGAGGCCAGAGAAAATAATACTTCTACCTTCGTTTTTTCATTGAGATTTTTGAGAAGTCCAACTACCGTGGTGGTTTAATAACCGTCGTGAGAAACTCTATTCGTGGTGACTGATGTGGGTCGTGTGGGTGTGAAATAAAATAGATATAATTTTTCTACTTCGTTCTTAGTACTTCTAGTTACTTGCACTTCCTTGTTCTTGTTCTGATTTACTTGTTCAGCATTCAAATATCTACAACTCTATGATCATCATCGACTTGCATGTAGTTCTTGTGTGAATGTCATCGATTGTTATTGTCTAACAGTTGTGAATAGTGAATGTTGATATTCAAAATTTAATTTCAAGCTTTATCGTAGTAGTAGCATTTATTTTAACTTTATCGTGACCGTCGTTGTGATTTGTGATATTTGTTGATGTTGAATGAGCAATTTGATAAATTTCGTCCTGCTCCTGGCCCACCTGGTCGACCTGCTCCTGTACCAGTCGACAGAGACACAAACGTTGAATATCTTGCTGCCCCTCGTAGGCGAGGTCTCCTCCTTGTTGTTCCATCAGTAGATTCAGAGCTACCAGTAGAGCTACTTCCTGTACGACTAGTTTGATTCCCGTAGAAAAACGATTTCGAAGCCTCGGCAAAAGACGAGGCGGCAGTGCCGTTTTCGCCCACATCAACAGTTTGTGAGTCATCAATGATGTTACGATTAGAGCTACTTCCAGTGCCGTCAGTTGTCGTCCTTGGCTTCTTTTATATAATACTTACAGATACTAATACTTACTTACATATACTTACTTACTCATACATACATCATAGCTTGTGGATGCAGAAACCCGTAGTGGTAAGGGTAACGACCCTATACCTAGTGGTAAGGAGGGTAACGACGAAGATGAACTGCTTACTTATAAATATTATACCTTAAAATAAACTTACCACTAGTTTTCATACTTACATCATACCAAGTAAATGAAGTCCAAGGACGAATAGACGTTAAGCTTGAGCATGCATTCGTGACCTTAATGCGAGGCGCAAGCCGCTTTTCCCTTGTGACATCTAACGCAAGAACTAGCACTGGTCCATCGAGGATAAGTAGGACAAACAATCCCACTAACGTGCTCGTGCGCATTATTTCCATCATCTTGTTGTTGGTTCTTCTTCTTCAAGAACTATATTTTTGTTGCTATAATTGATCATTACCGAAGGCTGGTGGCTGGACGACCATAAAAAATGATACCCCCGGCAATCAATGCTAATATTGATTCATGATAACTTGTCTTGTCATGTGTGTGGTTTCCTCGTTGTTCATGAACATAATTGAACTGGATCAATACTGTTGTGGTTGGCAATGAAGATGTATAAACATGGACGATTTTTTCCTTGATGCCTTGTAGAAGAAATTAATGCGATGTCAGTCTATTCGCATTCTTGTTCGCAACCAGTAGTACTACTTTTTTCTTAAATGATAGATAGCTGTATCTATGTTTGACTCATGAGGCATGATGAAAAAAATTCAAAACAAATTATTTAGCATACCTATCATCTTCATTATATGGTCTCTTGTTCGTGGATGATCCTCATGAACATACAATACAGCACAGTGGATCTCGCACAAAATCAAAAAGTTAGCGCACGATGCTGCGTCTGTTAAGTTCAACTAAGATACACGAAAAATCTTTTGGAGGTTGGTGGGAGGCACGAGAGGAGTGTAGTTGGACGAGTCAAGTGATAAGGATATGAAGGGTGTGGGAGATCAAGAAGTTCTCGTTTATCAGAATCTCCATCCGAAGATCAATAATAGCAGACTTTTACCGATACTTGAAGCCAACGCCAGATAGATAAAGTAAACTGACAGATTTTAATCAGACCGAATAAAAATTATCGTCAAGAAACTTGATGAAATTGCATCACCGGCATGGTAGTAGTATCTATATCCATATCTGTGATCATGGTCTCACTCTTTGTTTTTCAACCGAGCAAATTTTATTCCTTTGAAGTAAGTAAATGGCTTCACCACAACCTTCCGGCCAACATTTCTTGTCACAGACGAAACTACAGATGTATCTCTATCACTTGGAGAGGGGCCACGACTGACGACCACGACATTCGCGTTTGATTCTACTACTTCAAACCGAATCTTGATGTCCACCACAAAAGTAGTTTGGAAGCACGTGGGTCTTGGGCGCGAGGACGAGGAGGGACAGGCATAGTGAGGATCTTTTGACTCGTACATGATCGCCCACATCAGCATTAGGATAGAATAGGAATGAACTTACCTGCTGCTGCAGGGTAAGCCTGTGCCACAACACTCTGCTGGTGAAACGTATTCGAAATCTTAAAAGAACCGAGTTAGTGACTGAAGTAAAAGAGTAGGACTAGGATTAGGAGTTGGCTCGCCGTCCACAGTTTGACCTGTATCCACTACGTTGCTCTTCTTTCGGTAATATCTCTATTATTGTAAGTAGCTACTCGGTTAATATTTCAGTTCTTCGCATAGATATATTGAAGACACCTCTGAGACTGACTTCCTCTTCCCTGCAACTGCGTCTGAAGAGCAGCTCGCTATTTCCGTACCCCATTCCGACGACACGAGGATGGATGCCAGCTCCTTCCGCTTCCCATCTACTTCTAAGCCATGACAATGACTCGCTTGGAGGGTCAAAAATTGACTAACAGCACATCATATAACGAGAAGGTCCTACATATTAGGAGCTATGTCAGAGAATCCAGCACCAGCGTCAGGAACAACGCTGAACTACACGACCGACTTCTATACAACGATTGCAAACAGAATATTAATACCAATTATACAACATAGAAGTAAACATGGAGCAGAAATTACTTAAACATATATACTTTTTGAAGTTTCTGATTGATTCTCCATGAGCAGAAATAAAATGCATGCTGGGACAAAATAAATGCCTTTTTTGCAAATCCAAAGAACTGCTTACGGATCGCATAGATTTAAATTGAATCAATCAAAAAGGAATTGAATCAAAATTTCTGGTATTCTGTGAATCATTGTGAAGGGTATCACTTCACAAATGAGAATCAGCGCGCATGTGCTTTTAGGATTCGAAATTGAATTAAAAAAGAATAAAATCAAAATTTCTGGTATTCTGTGAATCATTGTGAAGGGTACATGAGAATCAGTGCTCATGTGCTTTTAGGATTCGAAATTGAATTAAAAACGAATAAAATCAAAATTTTTTAGGAATCTTACCAAATGCCTACTTATTTATCATCATACGGCAAAAAATTGAGTTGAGAAATTCAAATTGAATTGCAAAGTTTAAACTGAATTAACAACGAATAAAATTAAAATCTTGAAAGAAGTCATTCTACGAAGAAGATTTTGTTATGATTGAGAAAACTAATGCTCAGTCGTCTTTCAGTGTGCCTATCTAAATTGCAGTAGGAGATAGATTCTGTATAATATTGAAATAGTTTTCATGTATTTTCAAGCTGCTACAGTGTTACAGAATTTTGAAAACAGAATGACTTGAACGTGGCTGCAGACTCAAGCACCTCTAGCAGCCGTTCCGTGACTGCTGGACGAGTATATAGCGTCCTTTGGTGTTTGGTCTGCGTTGCCTTTATGCTTCTGCTCTCGTCCACATCGAAACATTTCGGTCAGCCTGGGCCTGGGTCCATCTTCGCGCTTACTTTCTCCTAATCTATCAGCACAGCATGACTCTGGAGACAAGCGGCTTTTCGTCAGGTAGCGGAGAAGCTGTATTTCTGCACAGAGGATCGAAATACTCCGCCATGATGAAAGCGATCCAGGAATACATAGGCTACGACTCTCATCTCCATCGGCAACGCCGTCTGGTCACGGTAGCGATGTCCTGCTGGTCAGTCGGTACTGTTGTACTTGGCCCTTCTCGGTATTTTAGTTGTGGCTTCCAACCTTAAAGCTGGAGCTTCACCAAGAACATCGCGCCACTTCATTTCGTATTTCGCATTGACTTGTTTGTCGAGCTGGTGCGTCCGTCGATCTCACATCCGCGAATGTCGTTCTTGAAAAGACAGTTGTTGTTCTTGAACTTGCGGACTCCTGAGATTATTTACTTAACAGATGTCCTTACTCTCCTCTCCTGCTAGCGTGTCTTGTAGTCTTGCTCGACCTCGAGCTCTGCTGAGGGGCCGCATCAACAGGATGGTTAGGAAGAAGAGAACCCCCAAACACCAGCCCATCGACTCGTTGACTGGCATCCTCAGTCGTTGACTGGCATCCCAGAAAAGTCGTTGACTGACATCCCAGACAAGTCCTTGACTGGCATCCCAGACAAGTCGCTGCTCGGCATCCTCAGAAACTCTCTTAGGAGACGACGAATCTCGAGAGCTCAGCGGCCAAGCTCCAACAGCATGCTCACAGCGTTTTTGTAATGAGGAGCTAAAACCCAAAATCTGAATCACGTCGTCATAACATACGCAAGACATTGATGTAAGTCATTTTCAACCTCTCGCTTTGTCTAGATTCGCGCACAAATATGTAAATGTTTGCTTGTGGTCTACAAATTTTTCATCTAAAAAAAGCGTGGGTATCCAAGATTCCGGGAGAATTCTTAGGATGATTTCGCCACGTCCTGAAAAAGGTACCGATCGTCTGATGGACCGACACATATTACTTTGATTTCCATGAATATAAGACTCTCGTTCTCCTCGCCGTCAAGTCTTTACAAGTAGAGTCATCTTCTTTCATCTTATCGGCCACTTACAACGTCGCTCTCTCAAAAATACACGCTGTGCAGATGGACCGGTCACGACTTGTGTATGTCACTTCCGGCCCTTTCACCGAACCACAGACGCACAGAGTGGATTTTGTTCAACATATGCGGGCTACAGAGGATCCTCTTACCTTTGCCTAATCGGCGACGCGTCAGATCTAGTTAGTCACGTCACCAGCACGAGGAGTGGTATTTCGGACCCACCTCAGCGGCCACTCGACGTCGTGGCGCCCTTCGGAGAAGGGCCAGTAGTGGATCACACACAGGTATACCAATCTCTTGCTCATTCCCAGTCTCATGTGGACGTATAGACCCTCCGCAGTCAATTTCTAAGACCCATTCCCAAAAAATCTGCAATCGAAGTCATACTCTAAATCTGAAAGGGAAGGCAAGTGTCATCAATCAAGGAAAAAAGAAAAAAACTAGATCTATACTAGGTCATGTGGTCTAAATCCTTCATGCAGAAAAAAAAGACAAAATCTATACACGATTCATTATGAGGAGCTTCAATGTCATTTCGAATCTGTACAGTGATGAAGTGACCATGTGTATGTTCCTCAGACCTCGGATCTAAAAATACTTGGTCTCAATCAATTAGACTACGACCCCCGAATAAACATCCTCAGCTTCTTCGGAATACATGATTTTTGGGATTTTGGTGACGAGAACCATCATCAACAAAGTGCCTTTTCTACCCGAATTTGCATCGCAATCTGATCGAAATCGAAGCGATAGCCACCACATCTGCCACTTCCCGGGTAGATATAGGGATCCGAGCCTCCGACGTTCATCCCTGGCAAGTTTTGCCATCGCTGGGGCCCACGCTTCACCCACCTCAGCAAGAGGACGCCTGAAAGAAGACCTCTTGCAGCTTCCCGGGACCGAAGTCACTACAAAAGGAGAAAGAACACACGGCAAGAAAAGGGGAACAACTGGGGTAGCCTTGAGGTAACTCAAGCTGCGCCGTTTTGTTTTGAGTCTCATAGCAAACGCAATTAGGCCGAAGCCGCTTCCAAGTCCTGTTTAGAACGTTTCGAATCTTGAGCCAAAATGGCTCGAAATGAGAAGGAGAAATAGAAGGCCGGCACCTTTTGCTTCCAAATACATGGCTAAAAGGAAAAAGGAGAAGAGAATGCTAATTAATTTCAAAGACGGAACCGCATGCACGCAGGTTCCGTCTGGGGAGGTCGTGCAAATTTGGACAGATTTGCATGACCCCCACGAGATTCTTAAAAAAGAAAGCACGCGGACCATCCGGACCACCATAAGGATCCAACTAAAGCTAACTGGTCTCCAGCCTCCCTTCGAACCACTTGAAACAAGTTTGAGAACTTTCAAAAGCTAACAACTTAGTTCCTTCAAGGGAGAGCGCTTGCGATTCTTAACCGCAAACCGTTCCCCGCGCACTTTCCCGAAGACCGAAACAGAGCCCCGCTACGTGCTCCCTGTTTCCTACGTATTCCTCGCCGTCTTTCTCGTATGCGTATCGCAGTCAGAACGCGCCGCAGCTCTTCACAAAGACACCCGCGCCGACCTTCCCGGCTGTCGCCCAGGAGCGTCTCCCGATGTCTACCAGAAAATCCCCAACACATAGCCCGGCACCGCTCGGGGACTTTCGACGAACTGGCTGCGCGAATGTGGTCGCCGTTGGTTAGACTGTCACGCCAGTCGACCAGAAAGCACGAGATCGGGCCCGGCTTCTGCTTGACCATGTACAAGCAAGCGACACTCACACCTATAAGCATGCCTTTCCGCTTATTTAACTTCTGCCCGCCCACGCCTATAATAAACCGCATCGCCCCCCTTGAACTCTCCGCCGCTCGTCCCCTGCCTGCTGGCTGCCTGCGGTTCGTCGTTGAGGAGGAAAGCCTTCTCGCGTCGTGCCTTGTGCTCCGCTGGCATCTCTTCCGCAGCTCGTGCGTCGTGGTCTAGACGATCTAGCGCCCCCTCGGTCGGGTCTTCGTCGTCTTCGAATCGTTTTGCGACTGCGGATAGCTGTAAGCGCGGTTTCTCGTTGGAGCGGAATCAGTGGCGGGCAGATTTGTAGCCCCATGCGGGCCGTGAAGTCGTTCCCGAGTGCCACTGTGAGCCATGCATCTTGCTCGCTGTCCCCGGTGTTCTTCTTGCTGCTGAATCTCATCCGGCTCCGAGTAGCTAGAAAGGCGCGCGTCTCCTTGTGGGGGGACTCGATTGGCCACTGACCTCGTGGGTTCTCTCGTGAGGCTAGCTTGAACCGGATCCAGCATCTACGACACAACTTCGCAACGAGTCCGCCACATCCCCCGAATCCGTTGCCGCAACGAATTCCGCTCGGGAACCCTTGGAGCAAGGGGCGACACATTTCAGGCCGGCGCTGTGCACTGCGAGTTACTCCATATCCAGTGGCAAAGCCGACAGCGGTAAAATAGTACTTGGCTGTCTCCACGCCTGGATTCTGGATAAGGACCACGGTGATCGATGAAGAACTTACCACCAAAGCGCCAGGCGGTATCTTGGTAGAAAACAGAACCGGCCTTCGCGTTGGCTGGCTCAACTCCACATACCAAGCAACGCAAATCACAAAGCTCTTCGCGTTCCTCCTCGATGCCAAACCACCAGACACGTCCCTGTCGAGGTCTTTCTAAAGTTGCGCCGAATGAATAGAATGCCCCGCGGGACTGGTCGCGGCTCTCCTTGAGAATCTTCAGCCCGTCGCTCGCAAAGCCTCCGGCACAGTGGTGCACCAGATTCCGCAGACCTTTTGAAGCATACAACCATCGCCGTCAGATCTGTCCTCGCCCTCTTCGATCCTTTCCTTCTAGCCAGCTTTCTCGCCTCTGCTCTCATGCCAACTACTATGCCTCGCCGCGCTTCCTGTCTCCATCCAATCTTCGCTGGCTTTTTCGTCTCGCTCTGCAAGTGCTTGCAAGGTGGGCCCACGCATAGCACTCGCCACGCCGCTACTCCCGTGCAACCTCCAGTCGCGGAAATGAAACTGCACCACCTGCGACGCACTGTCAGGCGCGCCTCCTGCCCATCAAAAGAGCACCGCAGGACTCCGCATCCTCAGACACGACGCCAGACGATCCGGCAGCCTCTCTCAGCAACTCCATCGGCCTGCCGTGCCGAATCCTGAAAAGCTTGCGCGGCCCAGCTCGGTAGAAGAGGACAGCGCGAACTGTTCCCCAACTTGCTGGCCAGACTGAAAACCATCCCGGCGCAGAAACCCACTTGCGAAATGCTGCCAACTCTGTCAACACGTTGCCACGCCACAAAGCCGAATAAAGGTCCCCGGCCCTGGTGTCGTCGGTGCTGTCTCCGTTGGGACTCCCCTTTTCGAAATCTAGCAGAATCGCCCTCAGCTCTGCTGTTTCTCCGGCTGCTGCGTCTTCGTTCGTCTTCATGTTCGTTCTCTAGTTCTGAGGCCTGCCCTGCTAGGTCCCTCGCCTCGGCTTGCTGCTCTTCGTTGCCGTTGTCGTTGCCGTTGCTATCCTTCGGCGCGCTGTCTTGTTGCTCTTTTGGGTCGTTGCTGTTGTCGTCGTCTTGTGCTTTCAGTTCTTGCATGCTCGTTCGGTGTCGCGAAGACTTGGCAGCACATACAGCCACACTGATAGCCGTGACCAGAGTAGCCGCCCCCGGTTGCATCCATGTGCTTCCAATCGTAGCGGGGTGCCGCAAGTCGTTTCTGGGTCGTCGATCGTCATCTTCGTCAGGTCAAAGTCTCGGATCGTTCTCGAGTTGCCTTGCTGCTGTTCCTCGTTCGTTTCCTCGAATTCCAAAAAAATCCTCGTGGAGAAAGCTGGAGGCACGGAGGCTGCCCTCGTGCGTTGTTCGTTGAGAGACTTGCCAACCACTCCCGAAAAGCCTGGGCCAAGGCTCTAGCTACGCGCCTCCAAGTCGGCCCTGCGGTACTTTCTGCATCCTACGCGGCTGACCATCTGCCGAGCCAACTTCTTCAGCCGGCCTTTCACTTCGAGATGCCAAGCTGCTGAGCGTGTCCGAGTCGAGTGGCACAGCCTCAACTCGAAGCCTGCGGCCAATGCTGCACGTTGTGCACGAAACTGCGACAACAAAGGGGGCGCAGTTGTTCACATATGCCGCAAAGAATGCTCGCCCTGCTAACTTTTCTGGCGCGTTGAAAAGCGCCGCAACCACCTCAACCAAGCACACGCATCCCAAGAGCCATTCTCGCGAGCTTCGTGGCTTTCGCTTGCTCTGGTCCTGTTTCTTGCTGTCCTACGCGTTGGCCCAGAGAGAGAGAGAGAGAGAGGAACCTCCCCGACCTGGGGAGGGCGGTCGCCTGGCCGCGACCTGCTGGCGCTTCGGGTGCAGAGGGTTCCCCTCTGGACACCACGCAGCCAGCCCCTGACCTTGAGGCCTTGCCCAGGTGGCGCCCCTTGTGTTTATGCATCACCCAGCCCGGCTACTCATCAGATGGGCTGACGCCGTCCAGTTGTGGCCAGGGTTGTGAGCCACACGATGGACCGCGTGGGCGCGGTGCCGTCAGCTGCTCAGAGGGCTCCCCTTGGGTCTCATCTCCCCGCACTGTCTGGCGCAGCGCGGTCCCCGTTTGTCTCTCCCCTGGGTGTGGGGCGGCAGCCAGCCTGAAGGCCGCCTCCCTGCCAGTCGAGTCCCCTCCAGGATTCGAACCAGAGACCCTCCCAGATTCTCGAAGGGGAAGCCAATAAACCCCCCCGCACGTCTATCGGCGCCACCTTCTTGACTACACTAACAACCACAACGGCGGCTGCATCGTCATCAACATCGCCCCACCGAGTGCGGCTGATCACATCCGCCAAGACGTCGCGCTGACCAAGGAGAAAACAGCGAGCAATACTGCCGCGGGCGAAGTTGTCATAAAGCTCCCCGATCCATCTGCGAAACTTCTCTGCGACTCGTTGATTGGCAAAAAGAGCCCCGCCTCCGCTGTTCCGTTGTTCTTGTGGTCGAAGTAAAAGAGAATCGCGAAGCAGTCAAATTCTGGCGTGCCTTCCTCACAGAAAAGCCCCAGCGCGTGTAATGTGCGCCCCCTTTCCCGGTTCAAAAGTTTTAGCGGTTTCAGTCGCTTTAAAGCATTCCAGCACTCTGGTAGTCTGCTTCAAGATATTGCTGGGGCTCAGTGCCCGCAAGTCCCAGCCCTAGAGCACTCACACCGCGGGCCCCCATTGTCCAATGCATACGCCCGAGCCGAGGCCAAGAAGTGGCAGAAGGTGCTGCTTTTTGTTTCATATTATATTTCCAGCGCGAGGAGGTGCTAGAATTAGCCACCTCCATTTTCGTCACTATCAGCTTCACCCTCAGCCCGTCCTATTCCTAAGCAAGGCCTACAGTTCACAGCACTGCTCTTAGAGCCAGACCCACGGCGCGACGCACGCAAAGTCATCGATCGCCCCCCAGTCGTTTGCACCACAGAGGCCACGCGCCATGGTGGTCTGCTTGTGAATGCTGACCATCTTACTTTGGAAACTTTCACTCCGCGTTTCCATCGAGGCACATCCAACACAGGGGATAGCTGCGGTCGGCATATTTCCCTTCGCCGTTGTTCAACAAAGCGACGCCAGTGTAGGCCGACTTGTTGCCTTCAAGCCTGTCAGTTTTTCGCTTTTCATGTAGTTTCCATGCCCGATTAGGCTTTGCCCCTATTTCTCAACTTTTTCACTCTTGTTCCTTCATCAAGTGGATTTCTCACGATAGGCCGCCCATGCCGTTCTCGTTTCTATGTCATACCCGTAGGCCCGTCCCCAGCCTGTCGCGGACGTTTGGCCACTTCGCGTTCTCAGGTGGCTTAGCATTGGCCCACGTGAGCAGATCGCGGGGCTTGCCACCACGTCACCCAGCCGGTCACTCGTGCGCAGTCCTAGACTTGCGCCCTCAGCTGCGCCCAGTGGCAGTTGGGGGCGGGTGGCCTCGTCTTGGAGGATGCTGCTCTCCGACACAGCTCTCAAGCTTCCCTCCCTCAGAATTAGCTAGCCCGAGCGTCTTCGTCAAGGTCTCCACGACCTGACCGATCAGGGTCTGCTGATCCTGAGCAGGGCGCTTCAGCGCAGACGCGCTTCCAATAGTCGTGAGAGAGCGAGGCCATAGCGCGATCGGCCGTCGAGCCAGCTGGTGCACTCGCCGCCATGCTTCTTTCGACCTACGGTCTTCCTATTGTGTCGCGGGTGGGGTGCCTCGTATTTCGATTGAGCATCATGCTCGGCAAGTTTCTCAGAGTGCCGCTTTTCTACCGTCAGTGGAGTGTCGCTCCAGTCATGTTGCCTGTCCTCCGAGCTCCACGGCATCTTCTCCGAAGCTCTTTGCCGGGGAGATGCGAGGCTCGCCCAAGCCAGAAGCTGACGGAGTTCCACCCCCCGTCAAGTCCTCTTCTACGGCGTTCATGCCAGTGCTAGAGGATGAGGAAACAACTGCCACACTGCGTCTTCCTGCGTAGTTATTCAGCGGGCTGCCAAGGCTCGCCAGTGCGGCGCCCCGCTTTGCCATGCGTGGGTCGCATTCCCATAGAGGAGTCCTTCCGTCTGGAATTCCACCAGGATGCTGATCGCGTCCGCCGCGTTTACTACTACTAGGCGGGTGCGCTTGTCAGTTTTTGTTCCACTCTGGTTCAAGCCCCAGTCAGCCATGAGCTTGCTCAGCATTGGACTCCAGACCTTACACAACCCCGCGCGACCAGTAGTCTTGTGGAGATGTGCGGCTACAGTCCACGTCTTCGCGAAAGATCTCAGCGCCTCCGTGTGCGGGCGCACATTCCCGCCCACGATCAGGGTGGGCGCAGAATTTCAAGCAAGCGCCAATCTCCTCGAGCGAGATGGCGGCCTTTCCATAATCAGCGAGTTTCTCAAGATCACGCGCGCAAAGCGCCATCCGATGTAGGTGCGAGCTGGGCACGTCTTTCGGCTCAGGAAAGTCTGCGCGCCCCCGTAGGCACTCGAAGACGTTGCTGTAGGTCGTCGCGTTCTTTTCATTTCTAGCTTTTATATGTGCGCCGCCCATACACTCATAAAAGTGGCGCCCACGCCTCGCTTTTACTTGATTCGTTTCGCAAAACTTCGCTCAGGTATATTCAAGATTCTCAATAGGATAACTACTCTCAAGTAGTCCATCGTGGCGCGCAAGCGCAAGCTTTTTAGCAATTTTTGCGAGAGCTCAGCGAGCCGCAAACCCTGCCAGAAAGTTTGATGGCAGTAAATCAGTGACACGACTGAGCCACGCTACGTCTGACGCAAGGCCAGAGCTCGCAGAACTCAAGCAGAGGGATTTCCAAATAGCCAGCGAAAACGCATGCGACTATCGCCTCTGCTTATCCTTAAACCTTTCTGGTTTCACAACGTCACGAACACACCGACGGGTGGGATCACGTTCACACGCGCACACAGATCATCTATCTCAGTCGCGATCTTCATTGCGAGGCGGTCTCCCGACACTTCATAAGCCTCCCAAGCCGGTCGACATGCCAAGACTTGCCGACTCAGCAGTCCGTCGCCATCTGTCAAGGATCGTTTGCTAAAATGTGTGCCACTTGTCACGGCGCTCAGTCGATTTTTCCATCAAGTGGCACTCTTCGGTCAGGTAGCTTTCCCTCAAGTGGTATTTTCCGCGTGCTTTCGATCTGTTAGCAATCCCTGCGATTTCTCATTTGCAGGCCACGTCAGTGGACTCGCGGGCGATCGCCACCCCTCTCCCACCAAAAATTTCAACGCTCTCCGCAACATCTCTGGCAAGAGCGGCGACCGCGTTCACCTTTTACACCCGTCGCCACTCGTCGAGTATAAGGATGGCGCGCTTTCGTAGGATGCTAAGACTGAGCCCGCTCATGAGATGTCTCCACTCGCCACGCGTGGGCTGTACATTACGCGGGCCACGCCCCGCGCAACGCCTTCGCCATTGTCGACCAGTTTCACTCCTGCTCGCTAACGGTGTGACCCTTGAAACAGATCGGAAAAAGACGTCCGCGCGCCTCATTTCTCTGACAAACAGCGAAGCTGTCCGAAATCTCTGACGCATCGCAGAAAACCTCAGCAGGGAGGCCTGCCAGCCTCGCGCCAGTTCAACGGAGGCCACCGCCGCATCTACTTAAGTCAAGCAGCCAAGAAGTAAGCCCCCGCGTCAAGTGCGTGCCGTAGTTCCTCCACATGTCGCCGCGCTTCTTCGTCGGTTTCGAAGTGCTTGGGTGGCGCTTTCTTGTCGCTGTACTTTCAGAGCGGTTCAACAGTCTGCGGCAGGCGAGGAATGGGCCCCCTATGGTAGTTTGCGAAGCAGACGAAAGACTTCAAGTTCTCAGCGGTCTTCAGATGCGGCCACTTCTGTAGAGCTTCGCGCCCCTTCGGGGTCGGGGTTCGTCCTTGGGCTGAAACATCAAAGCCCAATACTTCGGCGGAGCGTGCTGCAGGCACGGACTTGTGCAAGCTTAAACAGAAGCCCGACTATCGACACCTATCGAACAACGCGCCCAAACGCTGCAACAACTTTTCATCCGAACACGCGGAGACAGAGAAGCAGAGATCATCGAAGAAAACACTGCACCACTGAAGAGCTCCGAAAACTCGCTGCGTGTGGCTCTGAAAGAACGCAGGCGCCCACTTCAGTCCTAATGGTAAGCGCGTGGGGATGAAGATGAGACCCCTCCAGACGTTGACCATGAAAGGCACTTCGCAGCCTCTGGGTCCAACAGCATCTGACTATAGCCCATCGCCAGATCTAAGACGACGAACCACCTCCGCCCCCCGCTCAGCAAGTTCTTGGCTGGAGGTCCTATCAGCGCGCGGCGTTGCCATATGATAATCCTCGGCCTGCTCGCTGTGTTTTCAGTAGTCAACGACGACTCTGCGAGCCCCGTGCCCTTTTCTGCCAGCTAAAAAGCCTGGCGAAGTCATCGGCGGCGGCGCTTCGTTTTTCGCGTCATGGTGCCGGATCTTGTCAGTCCTCGAGGATGTGCTCTTCAATCAGAAAACTGACCCGCATCGAATCCAAAAGAGTCAAGCTGTGAGGCTGCTGCAGCTTCCATTGCGCTGAATTCTTGATCTTATGCGAAGCGCAGACCCCTTTCTTTTCAGCGATGGAAACTCTGCCCCGCCGTCGTGCAAGTACTCGGCGTCTCTCGTAATCTTGTCGATAACCTTAGCGCGAAGAAGCTCCGGCGCGTCCTTCAGATTTTCTTCTTGTGCTTCTCCTCGCTGTCTCTCGGAATTTTGTCGGAGCCTCCTCTCCGCTTTGCTTCCTTGCTGGCAATCTCTTCGCGGATTGCTGGCGCCTCTTCTTCAGCTGGGTCGAGGTTCCTCCGCGCCTCCTCCTTGTGCTTCGCGTTCATGAACTTGCCCCGCCCTCGTTGTGGTTGTTCTGGCTCATCTGCGTCCCCAGCAGCGCCGCACATATTCACGCAGAGAACCTGCCTTCTGCTTCCTTGCTGCTCGACTAATAGCGGCGCCGGCTTGCCTCCAAGGAGCTTCCCAACACCAAGCACCGCGCCCGCGACTTCTTGCTGGGACAGAGGCAAGCCGCAAGCTTCTCGCGCTACTAGCTTTTCGGTGCTGAGGCTTCTGCTGAGTCTGGAATCATGCGAAGCTTCCAAGGCAATAAGTTAAGAACACCCGGAGCAGAATCGGCATCACCCGGCTCAGATCAGCTCCACACCCTTGCCGCGCTGTCAAAGAATACGGCCCCCCAGGTCTCAGCCTCATGAAGTCGAGACGCACGAGCAGGCGCGCCCCGTCTCCTGAGGGTATTCGAGTCTTCTGCACGGCCTGAGTTGCGTCCCTGGTAGCTTCTTCCGGGTTCTGCCCTGTCTGTTCGGTTTCCGTCGTTTCTTGTTCGGCTCTTTTCTTGTCAGCCTTCTTCGCTGCCGGTTTCGTTTCTCGTTTCTTCGTCCCCTGTGTCCGCTCCTGCTTCGAAGTTCCCTCCACCGCTTTCACCTTCCCGGCTTGCTGCCGGCCCTTCTGGCTCGGCTTTTTCGTCTTTTTCTTGGAACTTAGTCAGGCGCCTTGCGGCGTCTCCTCCGAGTCTGACGCAGCGGCCCCAGACGTCTCGTCGCCGGCTTCTTCTTCTTTGGCTTGGTTCTCCTGCTCTAGCTGCTCCTCTTGCTCCTGCTCTTGCCGCTCCTGCTCCTGCGTTTCTCGTTGCTCGTCCGCTTTCTCCTCCTCCTGCCCTCATGGCTTTAAAGGCCTCGCAGTTTCTTCCCCACTCCTCTCGGGATTGAGATGTTGAGTCTCGTGAGGTTCAGCGCCTCCGGCTCGTACTGCACTCCGAACACCTCAGCGAAATAACGAAAGCCGAGCGCCATGCTGTCACCAACAGAACACACAGCCACGGAACCACCGCGAAAAGAATCCACATACACTGCTGCCCCTTCTTGTTTTCGGCGACTGTGGTGAGGACTTCGACAAGCCGACGAACAAACGGAGCTGGTGCGCTGCGGCTCCTAGCTAAAGTAAGTACGCCTCTACCAACTTCACGAAGATTGCGAATTGCGCCGGGGCTGCGCTTTCGAGGTTGTTCAAAGAAGGCCCCATCGATCAGATGCGGGCCCTCTTCCTCAGCTCCTACCAAACAACAACGATCGAAAAGGGCTTCGACTGGAGCTCCCTCAGCGTGCACTGCGCCCAACGGGGTAGGCGGCTTCCTGCTTCCCTTCAGCTGTTTAAAAGAACCCACAGCCAGCGGCCCTGCGTCTTCGTTCTGGGCTCTTTCTCCGGTTTCTGCGTTGCGAATAAAGAAACGCCAACGCGCGCGAAAATTTCAACGAACCCAAAGCCGCACCGGCTTCCGCGAGCGGAAAGCTCCTTGCTCCTCCGCGTATGCTGTGCAAACTTTTAGCGTGAAGACAAGGACGCGGCCCACGAAGTTCGAAGGAGACGGGGCGCCACTCATGGCGGCTATCAATCACCGCCCCACCTGCGTACCTTTTCGGCTCGTCTTCAGTGATTGCGATACGCAAGAAGACCGCCGCGGGCGCCTTCAGGCTGTTCATCGCCTTAAACCCTTCCCGCTCGCTTTCCACTTTCCTGTCGCACCTGCTAAAACCTTTCGCCAGCCTTCTGCATCTGGTTCGCCGTGGCGCTTGCTGGCTTGTTGTTGCTGCTCTGTTGTTTTCTGCTCTTCGGCTCCCTGCTCTTGTGCTGGCTCCTGTTGCCGCTAATGGTCCTGCTGCTCGCTGTTCACTGCACCGAGGCGACGCGTAGGCACCTCGGCCGAATCTTCTCTGTGCTCGTACGGAGCGCAAGCCATGCCACAACGCAAGCCATTTCCTTCACGTGAATCCTCAGCAGCAATCTTGTCGGGGCAGAGGATGTCGGCGGGGTCTCCGGTGGTCTTGTGGTGCTCCTGGCAATAGCTGCAAAAACCTATCGCAGGCGGGGTTCCGGCGCGCCGCTCCGCTCGATGGCGTTTACGCGCTTGCTGAGCTTTGCGCGGTGGACGTGCCTAATATGGTTCCCGCCGCACACTGCTCCTGCGGGTCTCGCTCCTTGTGGTCGGGTCGTCGTTTGTGTCTGCGTCGTCGTGTGCCTGTTCTGCTCTTCTCGCACTGCCTGCGGGGTCATCGCTCCCCACTTGCTCTCGCCGGTTCGGTTTCCTGTTAGTGTTCGCTACGTTGCTGCCGGCGGAATACCGACGGGGCGCTGCTGCTGCTGTTTCGCTTGCTCTGCTAGCTTGGCCCGTGATCGCAATCCGACATAGGATTGCCTGCGAGGACTGCTGCCCAGGCGTGCCGCCGCGGTCCCCGAAGTAATCGCCGACCTTGGTCACAATCCAAATCAGCAAGCCGCTGCGGTGCTTCAAACTGTTCGCCATGTTCTTGCGCTCCATGTCGCTGCCAACGACATCAGACAAGGCGAGGAACATGCTGCCGGTTTCTCTGCGTTCCTCCATGAGCCACGCGAAGTGGACACGATAAGACCTTGCGAAGGCTACGAGGGCCGCGCCCTGCTCCTTTCCTGCGGTCGTGTACTTGACTGCGCTCAAAAGCCCTCCCAGCATGGAGGCCGCAAACTGGTTTGCGATTCCGAATTCTAAAAGGCACGAAGTTGGTCAGCGAGGAAGTCACTGAATGCAACGCAGACGGTAAAGCCCGGCGGAATCTCATACCGCGTCGAAGTTCGCAGGCGTTCCCGTGGTGCGCTTTTTTATGCCGTTGGCGACGTCCCCAAGCTGCATCCCGTTCCAAGCGTGTCGCAGCACCTCCCCCGCCTGGTACTGTTTCAGCGGCTGACGGTTTTCCACAGTCTCCCACACTGCCTCCAAGTCCACCTGTCTGACCGCTTTGAACTTAAGTTGCGGCAGGTGAGGTTTTGCGAAAGCTCCACCGCTGCCACTTCCTGCGCCTTTCATTGCCACAGCGAGTAGAGTTGTAGCTGCACCAACGAACGCAGACTGTTGCCATCTCCTTGCCGCCCATCTCCATCAGCTTTTGCAGATGCGTCGCGCGGGTCTCCCCGGGCCGAAGCCAGTCCGCGACCAACGAACCGGCACGCAACTCCACGCGAACGCCTCCAGGACCATGAACGCGCGACACGGCTTTCCGAGCTTTTTCCCTGATGTGCTCCCAAGCTAAGCCCGAGAAGTCCGCATAGTTTAAACCAGTCCAAACGGCTTCGCCTGCTTTCATCCCGGCGCCGTCGATGGTGCGAAGAATATCAAGCAAGGCACCCGACGCTTCGAGTTCCCAGACGACCTCAGGGAACCACTCCAGAAGCAACGGGAAGCCAACCGCAGGCGGGTTCTTCGTGGTGCTTTTTCCGTGCTGCAACTCACTGCCTCGCCCCTGCTTCTGCTGCATCTCCCTGAAGTACTTACCCAGGCGCGTGCGCGGCTTATCCTGCTTAAATCCGCTTCCTTGCTCTTGTTCTTGTTCTGCGGCTCTTTGTAGCGTTTCGCGGGCTGTTGGGAACTGGTGATAAAGAAGGCCACCGGCTGGGCGATGTTCTTCCTGATCCTCATAGCAAAACCCGCTCGGCGCTTTATGATCCTGCTCGAAGGGCGTTGCTTCGGCTCGTTTGCCCATACCTGTATTGGAAAGAAATCAGAAAGGCCCTCCCCGGCGTCCCCGGTCGGCATAGAAAACACGCTGCGAGTCGATTCCAAAGAGGATGGCCGAAGGCTTTTCGTCGGTTGTTCGTGTCGCGCTCCTTTATGCTGCAGCTGCAAGTCCTCGAACTGCTCTTCTTGGTGCTGTTCACGGTGCCCGCTTCCTCTTCCTCGTCGCGGTGTGGACAGCGGGCTCGTGTCACGGTTGTAGCGCTCGCCGAAGTGCTCCTCCGCCTCCGGTGTCTGCTCAAAAGCAGTCGCCGCAGCTTGCTGGCGCAGAGGTTGTCCCTGCGGCTCCTCCTTGGTCAACGTGGCATAGAATCCCTGAAAGAAACTCACAGCCGCTTTTACGGCGGCCGTGCCCGGCTGCTTCTCCTGCCGCCGCAGCACGCTCCCCAAGCTCTTCCCCAAACGGTTCCGCCCCGGCACTCGCTGCGCCGACACTCGATTACGGAGGCTCGATCTCCTCAGCCGTGGGTAGCTCTTGCGAATGCTCCAAACGAGTCCCACCGCGACGAAATCGGCGCCCAGTCACGTCAAAAATATGCCCGGAAGACGTTGCAGAGGCGGCGCGGATCGGTTGCTGCCCACCGTGTTGGGCTTCGGAACGCTCTGTCGCTCCTCCTTGAGCGTCGTGGAGAAGTTGCCCCCCTTCGTTAGTTTTCTTGGCTTTGCGGCGCCATTTTTTTGCTCTACGCTGTTCCTAGTTCTAGGGGGTGGCCGGGGATATGAAATTGAAAAAGATAACTGCCCAAGTTCTCCACCAAAGTGAGAGAATGAAGACTTCTCGCAGCTTCCCGGGGCCGAAGTCACTACTACAGAAGAAAGAAAACACGTGAAGAAAAGGGGATAGCTGGGGCTGTCTTGAGGTAACTCAAGCTGCGCCGTTTTGTTTCGCACCTCATATCAAATGCAAACAAGCCGGCGCCGCTTTCAAGTCCTGTCTGGAAGGTTTCGAATCTTGAGCCAAAATGGCTCGAAATGAGAAGGAGCAATAAAAGGCCACTGCCTCTTGCTTCCAAATGGCTAAAAGGAAAAAGAAGAGGCGAGAGCCTCTTAACTTCAAAGACGACACCCCACGCAGATCCATGAAAGCCGTCAGATTTTTTCAAATTCTTCGGGGAGGTCGTGCAAATTTCGACGAATTTGCATGACCCCCACGAGATTCCTGAAAAAAAATCACATTAGTCATCTGAAATACCATAAGCATCCAACCCAAGTCCATTGGCCTCCAGCCTCCTTGCGAACCACTTGAGCCAAGTTCGAGAATATTCAAAAGTTAACAACTTAGGATCTTCAGGGAAGTGCATTTGCGAAGATTCTTAAACACAGGCGGCATCACGTTACTGATATGGAGGACAGAGTCCAGGCGCTGCCATCGGCGAGAGCGGTTTTGCCAGTGGGTCAGCCATCCACACTAGCCCACTAGCGGCATCGAATCACACCAGGACGAAGATACACGATTGCACTTTAGTCCGCAGTTGAGATAAGCCGAAGCGTGCGCTCGACGCCGCCAGGGGCGAGTGTGGATAGACAGACTACCGAAGAAGGGGAGGGAGGGTGAGGAAACGAAAGAAGAAGAGGGCCCGAGAATATGAGTTGACAAGCGGGGGAGTGAATCGATTAACAGAGTCGAGGGCGATCGCGGTGATTCGAATACGATTCGACCCACGCACGACAGCGCGCTCTGTGTGGATGCGCAGCCCTCAATAGATTCGAGTGCTAGAAAAATAAGACCGGCGCCAGCACCAAGCTGCTCGCGCCCGGATTTGTTAAGAGCGGGCCGCTGCGCTGTTCTGGCATCACGGAAATTGGTGACGAGAACGCAGGCGCTACCATAGGCGAGAGCGCTACCTTACCAGTGGGCCAGTCATCCACAATAGCCCACTAGCAGCACCGAATCACACAAGGACGAAAGTACCCGGCTGGCGGGCCTGGGTCAGTCTGCAGCTGATAAGGCAAGACAAGGATGCGAAATGCAACGCACGTGGGCCGGTTACAGACTGATAAAAATAGAAAACGCTAAACGCGAAGGCATTCAGCCCGTGGCAGTTAGAAAAGCCAAAACCCTACGAAGATGCTGCACTCTATTACTTTTAAGCCGTGGAAGGTTGTGGGGGTTGCGCCCCCCCTGAGTTGCGGAAGTTGCGGCCTCAGTTGTGGCGGCTGTTTTCCAAGTTGCAGAAGTTGTGGCGAGTTGTGCGCACACAGAAAGCACACGAAGAGGCCCAGCTCCACTCCCAGGCTGTTCGGATTTGAACAGCATAAAGCTTACGCGGCTCCCAAGTCTCATGGTGTTCAAATTCGAACGGCCACAGAATCAAGCGCGGCTTTTATTCTCATGCGGCTGCCCCATACAACTTAGCGCACAACTTCCACAAGCTACGCCACAACTCAAGACACAACCCCCACAACCCACGGCACAACTGCCACAACCTAAGCCACAGCAAGACACAACTGCCACAGCCCCCAGACTTGGAGCCAGCCTCGAGCGAGAAGCGCAAGGGCGACTTTATAGGCGAACGGCCTCCCTAATGGCAGAAGAGAAGAGGGCCAACCGCGAGGCTGCCGCTGCGCCATTAATCCGGCTACTACCGCAGACCACTCGGGGCGAAGGGTAAGAAGACCCGGGAGGCACATCGCGTAAAAAAATACTCACAGCGCGCCCGATGTGTTCGAAATCGCCAAGCGGCTTTGCGCCAGCGCCAGGGGCTTCACGATAGCGCGAGGCGCTCATAGGGGTCACCCTTGAAAACTGACGAGGCGACACCCTTCAGCCCCACCGCGCGCTTTGCAGCACCAGCAGCAGACGTGAGCGATGACTCCCCCACACGCAGAAGCGGCGCCAACGATAACGAGACGACAGAGACAGCCAAGCCCGTGGCAAAGAACTTTGAGACGAGTACCGCGCGCAAAGAACTTTTGCACTGGCGGCAGAGGCGAAGGGAAGGCTGTGGAACAAAAGACAAAGACCACTCCCACAGCGGCACGGGGGCGAGCGTAGACACGACGCGCGGAATCAGCGAGAGAAGGCGCGGCGCCGTTAGTTACCAACCCGAAAGACAGGGGCCCCTTGCTTGAGCTTTGAGGCCCGCCAAAATTGCGCACAAAGTGGCACGAATTGCCCGCCAAGAAGCAGAACAAGAACTACGAAGGGCGGCCTCCTCGAAGGGGGTCGACACGTGGGCGGCAAGTTTCTCGAGGAACTCGAACACCAGCAAAGTCGACGCAGCTGGCGGAAAGAAACTACCAAGCCCGGCGCGTGATGAGGTGGCCGACGTAGTGAGGCAGGCGGCGGGCTTCAGTCAGATCACACCGTGAGGGAATGGGAAAAATCAAGACTCAAAGGCGGCCGGCGTGTCGTCTGAAGCCATAGCAGCGGCACCAGACACCGGCCCAAGAACTTCCCCCAAGATCTGTAGCCGAGACCTCTCGCAGAGGTGCCGCCAAAGAAGAGCCGCCAGCCATGGAATTCACTGAAGACACCCCCGAAGCTTGAAGACGTCCTCGAAGCGCGAAAGCACATCCGCGACAAGACTGCCAGTCCCCAAGGTTTTCCCTGAGACAAGCCCACGACAATGCTGCGCCACGGGGTTGCGAATGAGTAAAGACACGCGAGACATGTCAAGAGAAGAAGGGGCGCCCGCGTCAGCTGCGGCCTTTTCCTTTGGCAGAAGGGGATAGAATGCCCGCCGACCCACCACCACAGTCAAGAAAGCACGCAGATGGGCCCTGAAACAATGGCGCCAAAGCTGCGAACCAAACTAACAAGACCAAAGGCCGCACCCACCCCGTCCACCCAAAGGGAAGCAGATGCCCACTATGGCGCCAAGCCTCTCAAGTCAAGACTGCCTGATACTCAGCAGTAGCGCCCATCCATTTATTTTGCCAGCGCACAGCCACAGCCCGAAGGCTAATTGCGCTGCCCGATACTCAGAAGTAATAAGCCAACTCCTTCCCTATAGATAAGATAGTTTCCAGAAAGAAGCCCAGACCACTATAACCGAGGCGCTGCCTGATGCTCAGCAGTAGCGCGCACCACATCCATAGGAGGAGCAGCAACAAAGAGCAACGAAGTCACGCCCACAGCCGCGCTGCCTCAGCTGAGCTCTGCTAGGTCCATAACTCAGCCAGGCGATGCCCAGACTAAGTAACAGCAACAACAGCTAAAAGAGAAACACCGCGCCGATACTCTTCGCAAAGCCTTTAGTCTGAGCATCACCCCTAGCGCCCTTAGCACTAGTCTGCAGCACCCTCTGGCAGCACCTCCGTCAAGTTTGGCGGGGCCCTCGCTCTAGCCTACTTACACAGAAAAGCACACACAGAGCGACCAGCACCGACCAGCTTCGTCTCCAGGGTTTTTTGCGCACTCACTACTAGCAGAGCAAAGACTTGGCAGTCACGCTCACCGAGAAAGGTAAACTCTCCCGCTTTAGGCTTTAAGAGTGTGCAACTACCGCACGCCCTTCTTCATTCTAGATACTTCCGCACCTAGCAAGGCACCCACCCAGATAAGAAAAGACCAAACTGCCCACCTGCTAACCAGCGTCACAACTGGAAACACGGCCACACTATACCGAGGGGCCAGTCAGCGGCAAGCCACACTCCGACGAGGGTGATGAAGATGATGACGATGATGGAAGCCCACCGATCGGGTGGGGCGGGGTGTCATCTCATCCCTGCAACAGTTTTGCGTGAGAGGGTTGCCTCCCTTAAGACAAAAGGCTGCCCCTACTCGACCCCGCAGAGAGAGGCCAGACCCGCGCCCGCCACCTCTTCGAGGGACCCCAAGGAGGCGAGGGGAGCCCGCTCCGCTTGCTCCTACCCTCCTGCACTGCCTCCCCCTTCCTTCGTCGGGGTGTCTCCCCTTACGCGGCCCCTTCGTTTCAGCCTTTTTTCTTGCTGCTCTGTTCCCGTCGTGGTCTCCTTGGCCTCATTTCGTCCGGCGGTCCTTTTGCCGGGCCTCCGCCCTTCCTCTTCTCTTTTTTTCACGTCTGTGCTGGCTTTCTTCTTCTCTTTCAGTCTTGCTCTTTGTTCTCGTTGCTGCTTCCTCTTTACTGCTGTGGGGCTGCTCGGTGCCCCCCTCTCGTCCTTTTTCTTGAGGGCGCTGCCCTTCTCCTCCTCTTGGTCTCTTGGCTGCTTCTTCCCTTTCTTCCTTTCTCTGAGATCTATCCGCGTCGCCTCCGCCAGCCGCTTCATTCTCTCCTCCAGCCTTTTCCGCCCCTGGGGGCTTCTTTGGCTTCTTCCCTACCTTCCCTCCAACCGAGACTGGGCCCCCCAAGCCACACCCCAGCCGAGACTTGGCCCGCAGGCAATGCCTCAACAACCAGCCAAGCAGAGAGACCTGCCACTACGGCACTCCAAGTGACCACGAGGCCACACGCAACACCCAGAAGCACGACCTATCCCCACACAGAATAAGGCCCCAAATGCCCACCCTGCAGCATTCAAGGCGCACAGTCCTCACCCCTTCCTTGGGAGAAAGCTCCTGGCGAGTTTTGGAAGCAACTTACTCTGGTAGAAGGCAGACACATACCTAGCCCGCCACTACAGTCAAGAAGGCAAGCGCATGGGGATGGGCCCCGAAACAGTGACACCAAAGCGAACCAAACAAAGCCAAAAGCCGCACCCCGTCCACCCAAAGCCAAAAAGAGCCAGATGCCTGCTATGGCCTAAGGCTTCTCAGAGCTGCCCGATGCTCAGCGGTAGCGCCTATCCGTTTGCCGCTATAGAAAGAAAAGCCAAGACCCGAAAGAAAGCCAAAGCACGCCATGGCCTGACGCTCAGCAGTAGGGCCACCCGACTGATACGAAAGCAGCAACGCTGCAGAACGATAAAGCCCACAGTCACGCGATACGTATGACACCAACAGCCACTCGCTAGTAACTCCCGAGAAGCCTTAAGCTTAACGGGAGAGCGCAGTCTACTAAAGGCGCCAAAACACCAGGCAGCGCTGCGCCATCCACTCCACAACGAAAAGCACCACACCGCAGCCGCGCCACTTTTAACCACGAGGCACACTAACAAAATAGAGAAGCCCCCGCCCCCCACCCTGGCGGCCCCAGCCTCCCGCCCACCCTTTGGCAGAGGGGAAGGACATAGCTAGCCCGCCGACCCGCCAGCCACTACAGTCAAGAAGGCAAGCACGTGGGCCCTGAACCAGTGACACCAAAGCGAACCAAACAAGGCCAAAGGCCGCACCCCGTCCACCCAAAGCCAAAAAGAGCCAGATGCCTGCTATGGCCTAAGGCTTCCCAGAGCTGCCCGATGCTCAGCGGTAGCGCCTATCCGTTTGCCGCTATAGAAAGAAAAGCCAAGACCCGAAAGAAAGCCAAAGCACGCCATGGCCTGACGCTCAGCAGTAGGGCCACCCGACTGATACGAAAGCAGCAACGCTGCAGAACGATAAAGCCCACAGTCACGCGATACGTATGACACCAACAGCCACTCGCTAGTAACTCCCGAGAAGCCTTAAGCTTAACGGGAGAGCGCAGTCTACTAAAGGCGCCAAAACACCAGGCAGCGCTGCGCCATCCACTCCACAACGAAAAGCACCACACCGCAGCCGCGCCACTTTTAACCACGAGGCACACTAACAAAATAGAGAAGCCCCCGCCCCCCACCCTGGCGGCCCCAGCCTCCCGCCCACCCTTTGGCAGAGGGGAAGGACATAGCTAGCCCGCCGACCCGCCAGCCACTACAGTCAAGAAGGCAAGCACGTGGGCCCTGAACCAGTGACACCAAAGCGAACCAAACAAGGCCAAAGGCCGCACCCCGTCCACCCAAAGCCAAAAAGAGCCAGATGCCTGCTATGGCCTAAGGCTTCCCAGAGCTGCCCGATGCTCAGCGGTAGCGCCTATCCGTTTGCCGCTATAGAAAGAAAAGCCAAGACCCGAAAGAAAGCCAAAGCACGCCATGGCCTGACGCTCAGCAGTAGGGCCACCCGACTGATACGAAAGCAGCAACGCTGCAGAACGATAAAGCCCACAGTCACGCGATACGTATGACACCAACAGCCACTCGCTAGTAACTCCCGAGAAGCCTTAAGCTTAACGGGAGAGCGCAGTCTACTAAAGGCGCCAAAACACCAGGCAGCGCTGCGCCATCCACTCCACAACGAAAAGCACCACACCGCAGCCGCGCCACTTTTAACCACGAGGCACACTAACAAAATAGAGAAGCCCCCGCCCCCCACCCTGGCGGCCCCAGCCTCCCGCCCACCCTTTGGCAGAGGGGAAGGACATAGCTAGCCCGCCGACCCGCCAGCCACTACAGTCAAGAAGGCAAGCACGTGGGCCCTGAACCAGTGACACCAAAGCGAACCAAACAAGGCCAAAGGCCGCACCCCGTCCACCCAAAGCCAAAAAGAGCCAGATGCCTGCTATGGCCTAAGGCTTCCCAGAGCTGCCCGATGCTCAGCGGTAGCGCCTATCCGTTTGCCGCTATAGAAAGAAAAGCCAAGACCCGAAAGAAAGCCAAAGCACGCCATGGCCTGACGCTCAGCAGTAGGGCCACCCGACTGATACGAAAGCAGCAACGCCGTAGAACGATAAAGCCCACAGCCACGCGATACGTGTGACACCGCCAGCCACTCGCTAGTAACTCCCGAGAAGCCTTAACGGGAGAGCGCAGTCTACTAAAGGCGCCAAAACCCCAGGCAGCGCTGCGCCATCCACTCCACAACGAAAAGCAACACACCGCAGCCGCGCTACTTTTAACGACGAGGCACACTAACAAAATAGAGAAGCCCCCGCTCCCCACCCTGACGGCCCCAGTCTCCCGCCCACCCTTTGGCAGAGGGGAGGGACATAGCTAGCCCGCCGACCCGCCAGCCACTACAGTCAAGAAGGCAAGCACGTGGGCCCTGAACCAGTGACACCAAAGCGAACCAAATAAGACCAAAGGCCGCATCCCGTCCACCCAAGGGAAGGGGAGCCAAGAGCCTGCTACGGCCTAAGGCTTCCCAGAACTTCCTAACACTCAGCACTAGCGAAGCCCTTCTTCTTGCCAGCAGCTAGCTACAGCCCAGAGAATGCTAGCACTGCCTGGCCCTTAGCAATAGCGAAAGTGACTGAGCCAACTTTTTCGCTATGGTTTTTAGAAGGGAGCCAAGATCAAGAGGCCAGGGCGCTGCCTGTTGCTCAGCAGTAGCCAGACGACCCGCCGAAAGGGAGAGCGCCGCCAGCCCGCCACTACATAATGGCCCAAGGCTTCACAGATCTGCGACACTCAGCAGTTAGTAGCGAGGCCTTTCAGAAGGGAGGGTGGCCAGCAGAGTGCGCGACGTCTTTGGTGGAAACACGTCACTGCCGCCCGACTTGCTGAAGGCTTCCACCAACAAGATAAAAGCCACAGCGCGGCCCCTTTGGCATTGGGGCTAGGGCTCAGCCTCTCCTCAGAGGAAAAGCCCCGAAGGCGACGGCCGTTGACGGTGCCACCCCAGCCGGTGCCGCTGGGTGTTGCTGCGTCGCCACGCACTATGATCGACGCCAAGACTACTAAGCAAAGACCAAGCAAAAGAACTGGCGGCCTGCAGATAACACTGCCACCCACCACAGGAGCCAGCGGAAGCGACTGCCATCGAAGAAGAGAGCGCCTGGCGGGTTGCTGGCGAGCGTCGATCTCCACCAGAAAACTTCTTCCGCGCCGCACTCCGACGGCGGGCCGGGCTTGCTGCTCTTTTGCCACTGGCGGGGAGCGTCAGCGGCCATGGTTTGACGGCTGTCAGCTCAACATGGCACACAGCGGCCGGCGATTGAAGAGAAAAGCGCAAGAGCCACGCCTGCCAGCCCTTTTTTAAAGAGGCTAAGTCTTTGACCTTGCCAGCCCCCGCTGGGTTCACCTAATTGCTCGAGGGGTTTGCCAATGAGGGGGACCACGCAGCCCATTGGCCTCCGCTCCTCGATGTGCATGCACATGAGCCGAATACAGTGCGGCACCCGAACCACAGCCATGGGAATTCCCGCGAAGCGGGCACTCGCTTGCCCTCCTCGTCGTGGCTGGGTGCAGTTTCTTTGCAACCAAGAAGGGCCAGCAGGTAAAGCCGCCGACCGGTGTCCAGACTGGTGAGCTCCCTGGAAAGGCAATCGCCACCAAGTAAAGCAAGCCGAACGCCGCCCACATGATCGAACGCCAAAGCCAGCGACTTAACGCCGCCAGAGCTGTGACGTGCGCGAGCTATTTCCTTTGCGCTGCCTGGCGTCGTTTTCACCATGCACCAAGGAGCCAGGCGAGCACAGTGCGCCTCTCCGTTTTTATCTGTGTGGGGGGTCGATTGGATTACGATGGCGGAAGAAGTCAGAGAAGGCCTGACGATGAAGATAGAGCGTCGGGAGCAGCTCTCTGCTCATGCTATGCCCGACCTGCAACAACAATAGAAGGAACCCTAGAAGCCCACCAGGGTCAGAAATCTCGAAGAAGATAAGAAGAGCGAAATACCAAAGAGATGCAAGGCACCGAGGCCGAGGCCAGTCATATGCTCCTCCGCAGCGCGGATGCACTCGACGACGCTGCAGAGCTAAGCTGTGCAGTTCAGTATCCGCCTGCTTTCCGCGAAACACCTTCGCAATCGCCTCAGACTCACGACGGCCTAACATGTGCTGAGTGTCCACGTCGATCGCGTGGGCAACGCGCTCGGCCGTCGCGCTGGTCATCGAAGAGCTGCCGCCCCTGTCCTTGCTCGCCATCTCCTTGGGCGCGTCGGTATCAGCAGCCAAAACCGTAGACAAGCTATCCTCCTCGACGACAAGAGCAGCAGGAGGCAGATCCCCCTCATTCACAGCGCCGCCAAGATGAGAACCTTGACCATTCGACGCAGATCCAGCAGGCACCCCAATTGGGGCACCAGCCTGATACAACGCCCCACCCAAGATGGCCATCGGCGTGCTAGTTAGACCTCGGCGCAATGGATGAAGGAAGTCCATCAGAAGTCCGCCAGAAGTCTCTGGGGTTTCTTTAGAAAGTTTTTTCTTGTAGTGGGGTTTTCTTTTGTTTCTTTCTTTATTCTGTCCAATAGAAAAACTGCCCGACGCCATCGACTTCACCGCGAAGCGCAGGCGCCGAGGCAGGTCCGGAGCAAGGGCAGCACCATCGTGAGAAAGGTGGCGCTGCCTGTTTCTCTTTGTGTTCTGAGCTTGCTCCTGCTACAGCGGGGCGCCGCGCTTCAATCGAACTCACCTGATCGGTTTCTGCTCGGTGTTCGTTGCGGTGATCTGCGGCAAGATGTGGCAGTGGAAGCACATGAACGCTCGGCGCCATGAGTGAGAGGAGAATCAGAGAGAAAAGCAAGAGAGCAGCTTGGGGCACGGAGTAGAAAGAAAAGAAAGCCACGCAAACAGAGAGCAAAAGCAAACGGGCTTGAGTTTTTATGTTTGTGGGGTGCAGTTGCACGCTTGACAAGTCGCACGCTCAGCAAAGCGGCAAAGTGATGGGACCGCTTAGCACATTGGGCCACTCTGTGGAGGCTCCTCCTGAATTCCGACTGGTGGTTTTTAGTAAGCAAGTCCTGTAGTATAGATATGCATAGAAGTAGTCTGGTACTAGAGGAGAACAGGGGGGAAGCAAGTAAAGAAACCAAGAAAGAGGAGGCTCGCAAGCGTATATGGAAAGCGGCAACGCATATCAAGCCAGCCTGCTGCTGAGTGCTGAACTACAGCGGAAGCTGTAGATAAAGGTAAAAAGATGCAACTCTTCCAGATTCGGTGACGGGGCGCGCCTTGCGTGAAGACGGTGGGATGCGGGGTGAAGATCATAATGCGGGTTGTCTTTCTTCTGTTTATAATATGCACAATTGAAAAAGCTGCCGCTTTTGTAGCAGGTGGCGGAAGTGGATCCTCTTCTTCTTCAGTAGTTCCAAGCAAGCACCGACATGCAGAAAGATATAGAAGCTGACACTTACTTCCACAGCAAAAACGCACTAGAAGCACGAAAGCCATGGAAGCTGGGGCCACTTGTTGCGGACGCGGGGAAAATAGTGGCGAATAGGATAGCATCGCAGGCGCAGTTTGTTGCTGCGCAGGGGCGATTTGAAACAGACGACACAACAGCAATGCAAACGCATCACGAAAACTCCGTGGCGGGGCGCATTCGCGTGTATGCCCATCAAATATTAGCGCTCGCTTCGTTCTGTGCTTGTGCGCTTCAAACTACGAGGGGCCGACGACGTTGGCTTTTGGTACCTCCCAGCTCATACCGTGACGCATCCGAATTCGGCGAACTACAGGGAGGCGAAACGCAATAAGGAAAAGAAACGCTCTCCGAGGTTATCGCGAAGCTTTCGAGGTGGCTGATCAGCTGTGGAGTGCTTATAATCCTCGCGAGCTTTTTAACGCGTTTCCGGAAAGCACGGCCAAAATTTGACCACCGAGCTCAGAGTCGGGCGGCAGCACGCTGAGCACCTTGCTTTACCTCGGTGGGCTCTTTCTGGCGGATCCTTGGTTGCGCAAAAACGTGATATTTTGGCCAGACAGGTGCAAGGCACACCAGGCGGCCCTGGTGTGCCAAAGTGCAGCGAGTGCGTGCGTGTCCCTATGTGGACTGCATCCCAAAGCCTGGCAAAAAAGGAGTTATCTCCAGGCATTTTGTCACTGCCTGCCTCTCGTCGCTATTTGTCCTCAGTTAAGATAGTGCCCCTGCTTCGCAGTAAAACTGCGAGCCGTTTTGTTTCATATTCGTGCGCTGATATAGTAATAGCTTGAGAGAAGCCGACTGCAGTCGCGATTCATTAGATAACTTTCCTCGTCGTTTTTCGTCCATCGCGTTTGCTGACAGAAGGACCAGGTAGCCCCGATCGGTTTGATGCGATAGCTTCTCTTTTGTGAGTCCCGACTTCTCTCATGGATCTCCTCTGCAGGCTCTCTCGGTGAAATTGATGCAGCAGAAAACCCAGAGCCAGTTACGAGGAGTTGCGGAGTGGATCAACGAATTTTCGTCAGCTGCGAGCAAGCCAGCAAAACAGCCAGAACCTGCAGAGCTTTTGACGCGTTGCAGCGTTTCAGAAGCGAAGAGACGGGAGCTACTAAAGGGACGCACTGAAGGCCAGCGGATTCCAGTGCAATGCGAAGGCTCTGCTGCGATGGTGCGCGCTATCCACTCCTTACGTAAGGGGTGGAAACTACCCGTCTGGACGAGGTGGCTGACGGTAGCCCATGCGTGCTGCTGCTACTGTGTGGCGATGTGTTGCTTTTTGTGCCGCGTTTTTCATGGACTGGGGAGCGAGGGGCTTGATTTTTGGCGCGGGCCACGTTTTTCAGTATGCTTTTAGCACAGACTGGAGCAACAAAGACGACACTATGCATTTTTTGCCTCTGTGTGTGGTTTATAAGAGTCACAGTTTAACCGCTGGACCGCTACAGCCCCCTTCTTCTTGGAAATGTCCGATCACGCTACAAACGGAAACGCGACAAGTTGCGGCAAACGTTTATGGGCGACTTCGTTACCACGATGGCGCACCTACATGATCCAGAGAAAGCGCCGCAAGATGTGAGGTCGCTACTCTGCGGCATTGGATCTGGAGCCTTGCAGCCTTCTCCATGGCCGAAACAGATGGCGCCTGGATATTTTTTGAAGTGTAGCACTTCATGGCTGTATAAGTGTGGCGAAAAGTCTTTCGTTAAAAATTACTGCTAGACTCTGTAGCGTGCTTACCGCTGATCTTGGGGGGTTCTACTTGTATTCGTGGCGAGCAAAGCTTGCGCAGAAGTACACTCAACACATATGAAACAGCTAGAATGTAGAGAAATGAACACGCTGCCTCGACTTCTGTCATGATGCTTTACATAAGCACTCGAATACCTTTTACCAGATTAACCTGCATCGCCAAGTTGCGCGAATTTGTCTGATGCGCGCCAGAGTCGTACTATGGTACAGAGACGGCGCAAGCGAAGCGCGCGAGGCTTTCTTGTGGGACATAATCAAGAACCCTGCTGCTGCGCAGGAGCGTATTGCGAACTACACTCCGACGCACATAGCAGGAGACCCTTCGCCCATGGCAATGCGTTCGCTGTTGTCTTGGGTCTCTGCTCAACCACTGAAGAGGCGAGGGCTTCGGCCTGCACGTGCCGCGAGGTTTCTGCTGGGTCGCGAACGTACGCAGAAGCACTGCGAGCGCAAGGTAAGGAGGTACAAGGATGAGTCTCGTCGTGTGAGGGGTGGCCTCAAGAGTACTCCAGGAGCAGATAGCGCAGCTAACAGATCGGACATCATCGCAGCCCGTGCGCAGTCTGTTGCTGAGCTGGAGAAAATTGAGCGGAGGCAACGCGTCGACGATTCACCCGGTGAGGAGCAGCAAAAAGCGAAGCGCCAGCATGGGGCGATCCGTGCTATTGATCTTAAGCGTGGGCGCACTTACGAGGATGGAGGAGCGCCGGCGAATGCTAAGTGCCCACAACTTGCAAAAGAACAATCCCTCAACAGTTGGAAAGACGATGGCGAAAGAATCAAGCTCAGGAGAATGGCGCAGAAAACAACACAGAAACTAGTGGAGACTGAAGACAATCCAGATAAGAGCTCTGACGAAGAAGACGATGAAGCTTTGCGTGCGTCAGCGGTCGCGCGGGAAGGAGTAAACTTCTACACAGCACGGGAGGAGGAGGCGCGAAGCCTTTACCACACGGAGGGAGGAGACTACCGCAAGATCTTGTCCCAAAGGTACAGCAGAGTGCGCCAGGATCTCACGAACGAGAAAGTTCCCACCATCAAAGTAGAAACCAAGAAAGTCCCATCTTCTGCTGCTGTTTTGGCTAGATATTGCCGGGCAGCTCGCAAGCGCGTGAAAGAAATCAGAAAAGAAAAAGAGCCGAACCCCGGCCAGACCATGGGCGAGAGTCTTGGTCTGCTGCCAGAAGACGACGACGAGTCTGACTTTGAAGATGAGCCTGATCCAGAAATTGAAAGCGACAACGCCGCGGCTGTAGTACAAGCAGAAGCAGTAGCAATCCCAAACCGCTTTGCGCCGTGCATCGCAGCACAACTGTGGAACAAAGAACGCAACGCATGTGGCCACTTTTCAACTCTGTCGGTTTGCTACTGTCCGAATCGTTGCCAAAATTCCTATAACTTCAGGGCATAATAATTATCACACGCCGACAAATTTGCTGCACTAAAAAATCACAGACCAGCGGGGCGTAATAATTATTACACCCCGAGCAGCTGGGCTCTTCCGTGCTCAGCACCAAGAAAGACCTGAGCCGACAAAAGCAAAAAACTGGAAACACCGCAACACGAGTAGACTCCGCAAAAAATGGGGCCCCACCTCTCGGGTTCCTTCCAGTGCTACTGTCGGAACATTGAAGCGATTTTTGACCAGCAAAGTGACGAGGTCCGACAGTATTGCATTCCAGGAGTCGAAAAGTGGCCACATACACACAATAGAAAAGACTGGCTTCGAGTACTAGACGCTGCTCTGGCCCCTGCATCATTCAAAGCAAACCGACTGAAGCCCCATCCTGTCACGAATGGGGCGGAGGGATCAAACAAGTTCGAGATGGAAGCTAGACCATTGTACTCAGACGATGAGATCACCAGCTACGACCTTGACAGGGTGTCTCACTCTCACCGAGTAGATTTGCGAGTGGACTCGGAGGCAGCAAGAGCGCAGATCTTTCTGGGCAAGCGTTTGAAGCTTGTTTCGATCCTGCAAAGGTGAAGCCACAACTTCGCTCCGCAATCCTCTCAGCTCAGGGAGGCCATCGAAACTCTCAAGCCGCATGAAGTAGCCGAATCGCAGTACAATTTGAGCCAGCTCCTTCGTCCTACTTACAGAGGAGTAGTAGACCCAAGAGCAAAAGACCGAGTAATTATCATCAGCATGAGTTTGCGGATTGGTTTACCGATGGAGAGCGCAGGCCCTCCCGAGCCTCTGTCGAGCAAAGTTGGAGAAAATGACGCAGCTGACGATACGCAAAACCCTACGCGCCGCTTCTTCTTCTAGTAGCCAAGCAAATCCACCAGCAGCAGCCACGGGGGCGAAGGAGGCAAAGCCATTCTTGAAAGCGAGACGCAAAGCGCAGGCGAAGCCGTTGCCCCTCCGTGTTGGTCATGGCTTAAAAGTTGCGGAAGACTGACACAGATAAGGGCACAGCGCAGAAGGCTGGCAAATCAGTAGCCCGACTGAAGGGCGTTCTCGCTGACAGCATTATAAAGACGATCTTCGTCAAAGTACTACTATGCCAAGGTCTGGAAATGAACTGCGAAGCAAGGAAGCACGCTAACAAGAGCAAGACGCCAACGAGTGATAGTCTGGAGTGGTGCGAGGCTATGCTGAACTGCTGGAGTATTCGCGCCAGATTCATCCGCGAGCGGGCACAGGCGTCTCTTGACAGTCCAAACAGCCGACCAAGCCGAGGAGGCGCGGGCTTCTTGAGAGCAGCACGGCAGCAGTACTGCAGCGAGGTGAGGGAGTACTGTGAAGAACTAGCTCGAGGCGACAAGAAGAAGTTAGAAGAAATGGCCAAAGGACTGCCGATCAAAGATGGACTTCCTGAATGCTTAGAGCTTGGCACTCGCCCGGCGCAGTGGAATGATTTCCCAGACTCCGAAGACGGCGAAGCTGAAGAAGGTGCTAATCAAGTCACTCAGAAGCTGAAGGGGGATGGAAATTATGAACAGGCTGAGGATTCGCCTCCTCATGTAGAGCAACAAGCTCAAACTAATGGCCGCGATTTATTTGCTTCTCTTGGACCACAAGAGCACAAGCCTCCGAGCCAGGTTCGTTTCTCAGTGGAAGCACAGTGTCTGAATCTTGAACGCAAGCAAGTCTCTGCATGCCTGCCTGTGACTTATGGTCACTGGCTGGCATAGTCCCTGTTTGGTTGATTGGGTACGTTGAATCATACACCATCAACATAAGTGAGACTATACATTCACTGGTAGTTCTCCAAACATAGTCTTTAGCAGACTACTGTTTGGCAATAATCCTTGCTCACGGCCCAGACTCTCCGGCCGAACTAGCTACAGCCGAATATAGGTAGTTCGCGACTTAGTATAGCCGACTAGTTCGTGAATCACAGGGGGGGTCTGCCAACATACTGACAATCATAAATAGCCAAACCCTTTCACTTTACTCGAAATAGGTGCGACTTCATCATATATTTCGAGAACTAATTAATCTTACGGCGTGATAAGGCTATACCAAACACGTCCGCGAGACATATCTAGACCTACGACAGATCACACCTAGACCATATTCTAGGATCGCGACCAGATCAGCCTCGTTTTGGCCGCGCGGTAGAACCATCCACAGCACAAGGCGACTACTCAGCACCTAGAGATCGTCCTAGAGGTCGTAGCGTGACTATCTGCCAGACTAAATAGCTCAGGAGAGAGCGAAAAGATCACCCCATTCCAAAAAGGTGCAAAAGAGCATAACAAAAACAAAAAACGTTTTCCAGATCTGTAACAGACGCCCCAGATCTTTATTGACAAGGACCTACTGAAAAAGCAATGCAAATAGTTGCTATCTTATCGAACAGAAGGAGGCTCGAGATCGCTCCACTAAGTAGCATCCGTCTGATCACATAGGAAAATCGCACTGGATCTCTCACCTATTCACTCGACAAGTTAACACGATTCAAAGAAAGACACGTGACTCATTTAATATCTTTCAGAGAAGACTGAGCACACAAATGAAAAGACGCCTTCGGATCTTACGCAAAAATGCGAATAGAAGGATACTGGAGTGGTCATTTAAGATATATGACTGCACATTTACATACTCACATAACTCAAGGCAAGTTGGCCCGTCTTCCATAAGCATTGTCTTTTTTGTCATCACGCATGATTTACGGCCGATTTGCCACAAAGGCGCCCAAGCTTCAGGACTGTAGTCAAGTCGTCCGCCTATGGCGTTTGGCTTCTCATCTGTGCCGACTGTGTACTGGTTGGACCCGTCGCAGTCCGAAAGTGCAATCATTTGCGACATTTGTCGACAGGAAACCTTTTGGAGATGCCTTTGCGCTACATTTGTCGCGATTGAATATTTGCACCGGAAATCGCCATACTTTTAAGACGCGCGACGCGCGCCTTTCTAGGTAGTGTTGCCATTAGGGACCCACCCCCCATTTTAGATGTTTTAGCTGTGTGCTCTTAATTGGTTCATAAGCACGCCAGAAGGGATCGGACTGAGCATGCACCATACGACTAGGCTCAGGATAACCATACCTAGTCTATCCATTGATCACTATGATTGAGCATTGGAAGCAACATCCATGATCATTGGCATTCATGTCCTGCGAGATCATCCCGATGACAGTCGAGCACGAGGCTTCGCGTGAGCCACTGAGAACAGAACAGCACGGCATCCGAGAGGCTTGGGCCATACATGACCAACGCCCCCCCTCAATCGATGCGGATCGCAGTCTGTCTCACGTGACAGCCTCACTGTGTATCAAGTCACGGCAGTCATATCTCTTAGCTAGTGTTGAGTTTAACTCTTTCTTGGCTACGGTATGCTAGGAACCAAAATAAACCGAACGCACTACGCTATAGGAGGCTGAACCGTCCTCATCTGTATCATCATCAGAGGAATCACAGTCATCGTCTCTACTCTTAGTTGTCGGGTTATCTACGTGATGTAGCATAGGTCTACGCTGAGCGGCGCTGCAGGTCAGTCTCGAAAGTGGGTCTGCCTTCATCAAGTTGGTAGGACAAGGCACGATCTTAGGTAACGTAGAGCATAGTGCCCACATTTACGGCGAACGTCTGTTGCTTTGTCTGTTGTGATTGCAGACTGGTCGTCTATCCACAGTGCAGCACTGTCTAAGGAGGGTGGCAAGCCGTTCTGTGTGTGTACCAACTGAGTTGGAAGAGGCCTATAGAAGTCTGCAAAGTCATGCATCTCGCTGAGCGCTATCGTGTCAGAGGCTGCAATGTGCTCACTCTCAGCCGTTGAGTAGGCTCAAGCAGTTTGTCTGTTACTCCTCCACGCTATTGGTGTACCTTTGTAGTACATTATGGATCCACTTGCGCCCCTCATTGTCTTGATGCAGTTGGCGAAACTAGCATCACTGAATATGTTCACTTCTGGCATATCTCTGCCCTCTGGTAGTAGTTTCTAATGTATCTTGCTGGCCTCTTCTTCCTTTTCTGGTGAGTATTCTACTCCTTGATCTTTTGCTGTCACCAGATATTTCAGCACTTTCTTGGCTGCTTTGGCCATTCTTGTTGGCGTGGGTTTACTGACATGTCTAGCCAGCGCCGCTACCGGTACAGAGATGCCCAGGCGCGCGGTTACAGCTATTCCGTATATATATATACTCAGTGCCAAAAGTCCGCTCAGTTAACTACTGGCCAAGTATGTTGACAAAGAGAGGCGCTGAGACTATATATTCACTGATAGTTCTCCCAGCATAGTCTTTAGCGGAATACTGTTTGGAATCTTTCCTCACGGCCCAGACTCTCCGGTCGAACTACAGCCGAATATAGGTAGTCCGCGACTAATCTAATCTACCTTCATAGAGTGAGGCGACTAATTCGCGAATTACAGGGGGGGCTTGCCAACATACTGACAATCATAAATAACCAAAATTCTTGCACTTTACTCGAGATAGGCATGATTTCATCATATATTTCGAGAGCTAATTAATCTCACGGCGTGATAAGGCTATATCAAACACGTACGGGAGACATATCTAGATCTACGACAGATCGCACCCCGGTCACATTCTAGAATCGCGACTAGATCAGCCTCGTTTTCGCCGCGTGGTAGAACCATCTACAGCACAAGGCGACTACTCGGCGTCTAGAGGTCGCCCTAGAGATCGTAGAGTGACTATCTGCCAGACTAGATAGCTCAGGAGAGAGCGAGAAGATCACTCCATTCCAAAAAAGGTGCAAAAGCGCACTACATAAACAAAAATGCTTTCCAGATCTGAAAGAACAGAAGTTCCAGATCTTTACTGAGAGGGACCTACTGAAAAAAGCAATACAAATAGTCGCTATCTTAGCGAACAGAAGGAGGCTCGAGATCGCTCCACTAAGCAGCATCCGTCTGATCGCATATGGAGATCGCGTTTGATCTCTCACCTATTCGCCCGACAAGTTAACACGATTCAAAGGTCGACACTTGACTCATTTAATATCTTTCGGAAAGTACGGAGCACACAAATGGAAGACGCCTCTGGATCTTACGCTATGTGACTAGAAGGATGGAGGAGTGGCCATCTAAGATAAATGGCCGCACATTTACATACTTACACAAATCAAGGCACATTGGCCGCCTTTCATAAGCATTGTTTTCTTTGTCGAGCACGCATGATTTACGGCCGATTTGCCACAAAGACTCTCAAGATTCAGGACTGTGATCAGGTCATCCGCGTGTAGCGTCTGACTTCTCGTTTGTGTTGGTTGTGTATTGGTCGGACCAGTCGCAGCCCGAAAGTGCATTTATTTGCGACATTTGTCGACGAGAAGCCTTTGGAGATGCCTTTGTGCTACAGTTGTCACTATCGAATATCTGTGCCAGAAATAGCCATACCCTCAAAGACGCGAGACGCACGCCTTTCTAGGTAGTGTTGCCATTAGGGACTCACGGCGCCCCCACTTTAGATGTTTTAGCTGTGTGCTCTTAATTGGTTCACATTTTGGAGTGGGCGGGTGATCTTTTCGCTCTCTCCTGAGCTCTCTAGTCTGGCAGATATAATATTCGCCCTACGATCTCTAGGGCGATCGCTAGATGCCGAGTAGTCGCCCTGTGCTGTAGATGGTTCAGGTTCTACCGCGCGGCGAGAACGGGGCTGATCTAGTCGCGATTCTAGGATATGACCTAGGTGGGATCTGTCGTAGATCTAGATATTTCTCTCGTACGAGTATGGTTTAGCCTTATCACGTCATAAGATTAGTTAGCTCCTCTCGTAGTCCTAGGATAATTTACGCACCAACAGGAGGGCGGGGGTGCGGAAATTAGTAGCCACTAGCTACGAAAGTTTAATATAAGTTGCATGCGTAGTCGAAGTTTATGATGAAATCATACATATTTCGAGTAAAATGAAAGGCGCTGACTACTAACGAGCGTCAGCATGTTGACAAGCCCCCCTGTAATTCGCGAGTTAGTCGTCTCTATTAAGTCGCGAATTACCTATATCCGACTGTAGTTCAGCCGGAGAGTCTGGGCCGTGAGAAAGGATTACTGCCAAGCAATAGTCTGCTAAAGACTATGTTTGGCGACTACCAGTGAATATATTGTCTCAGACCTCCCCTTGAGGGTTCTCCCTGAAGACGACCCATCGCGCGCTGCGTTGCTGCCCGCTATGTGCCGCCATAGGTAACCTTTGTGGACCTTCAAGCAACCGGCAACAAGTACGCAGGCAGCTTTCAAACCGACCGAATTAGCATACTACTACGCATCGAAGTGCCCAGGTTGTTGCCATAGATAAAAGGCAGACGAGTACACATGTGCAGTGTACTCATGAGAGGGGAGCCCAGTGGACGTCTATAGCAGTCGAATGATTCTAGTACATTTACCGAGAATGAGTAGTCAGGTCTTGGTCTATATTTATAGCGCTAGAGGAAGACACTTGGCACAACAGTAGTCCAAGCATGTAGCTCAGCAGTACCAGGGTAGATCAAGACAAAGCGCACAAGAAAAGGCACAGGCTTAGCGTAGTTTGCTGCAGGTCAAGTGGTGCACATAGTAGCATCACTGTCCTGTGCAGGGGATAGATTCACGCCTTGAAGCAAGTGAGCAGATTCAGAGCTTCAGCATCATCGTAGGCATGATCGTAGAGTGTTAGCACTAGCAGTAGCAATAGAGAAACCACACGAAGACACGTAAGGCAGGCGCTTTCTCTCCGAACGTTCTCACTTTTTTGGTCTGAAAGCTTGAAACGCAACGGCAAAGAGAAAGAGAAACACAGACGAGAGACAGCGAGACCATGGCGAGACAAATTCCATGGTCGTCACGTGTCCGCAAGGTCATAGATTCCACTGCGCTTCTTTTGCAAGTGCCTGAGCTTTTTTAAGAGAAAGACGCCGAGCCTTTTGCTGTAATTAAGTGGCTAGAGAATGACAAGACAAGCGCTATCGTCAGTTTTATCTCAGTTATTCAGTGGCCCAGTGATTAGCGGGCGCTGTACAAGACCAGCCCAAAACCTCAAAGCTGTCGCCTCCTCATCCCAAACAATAGCCGCCCAAGATCTTCCCCGCTAGCAACGCTAGCTAGAGTAGAGTCCAAAAATATCGAGACCACTCACAGGCAGCGGCTGTCTGGAGCTTTCCCGGTCCTTATTTCCTTGGAATAAGTTGACTGTAGGCCCAGGTAGCAGTTCGCTTGTGCGGGCCTCTCGAGGCGGTGCCATGTGAGGGGTAGTGTGTCATAATCAAGCTCAGTCCGTTTCTGCGAGTCCGTTCCTGCTAACGAATAACACAAGTAAGACCAACGCGGCGCACTTACTTTCACGATATTAATCGACCAAAAAACCTCTTGACCATATCAACGCCCTGCCTCTATAATCATTGAAAAGCCTCCCACTATCGATCATGATGCGAGCTAATCCGAACAAAGATAAGGGTGCTCCCAAGAGCAAACTGAAGAACAGAAGCACGACACTGATGACACTCACCGCGGAGAGAATGCACAAGGCCATGGGGATGTCCGTAAGGTTCCCTGTTTTGTGATGGCATGTCTTTGCATTTTCTAAAACACAAAAGGCGCCCAGCTCAAGTCTCTCGCCTTGTTTTTAGGTGGGTGAACATGCTGAAGAACGTCCTCAGGCGCGACTTTTCTGCTACAGTCCTCGCCCTGTTGAGGGTGTGGCTGTGCTCTGTCCTATTGGATCAAACACTACCAAACCCCACACGAGTCAAGACGCCTATACTCTAACTATGCTTTCCCCTTGCAGGAAACTGCGACAACGATCCAGGCGACGAAGCAGTTGGCCCGCGATCAGGGTCGTGCCAAGGCACGCACTCACGCGCGCGCGGCGTTCATTCAGCGCACCCCAGAGGACGAGACTGATGAGAAGTCGAGCCGGCAACACGAGCGCAACACTGCTCGCACGTTGCTCAAAGTTCCGTCTGTTATTCATATCATTGGCGGCCACTCTCGTGCAGATTACATCGCTGACGCACGCTGTGAGGAGCATGCGCGCTGAGATGTTTGGCGGGCTGAGTATGGAGCAAGAGATCACTTCTGCGGTACTAGAATACGCGACGAGCTATTCCGTTTCCATTTTCAGTCTCGCGCTTTTCTGTCCCGTCGTTTCTTCCTGTTACAAGTACCACGACGCGTCCGCATTTCTCGAAGCGAGTGAGATCGAGGCCTCTTTCGGGTCCTGAGACTGTGCATAAAAATTCACACCAATCAATCTGCAACACCCACTACAGTCACACTTGGCAGATCGCTACGCTTCGACTTCAGACGGGCAGGGCGCTGCAATGGCTTTGCATGCCTGCAGCCACGTTATTCCGTTTCTGGTGTGGACCAATGCACATGCATGGGTCGAATGCGCTTCCACCTCTGCCTTCATTGAGGGCGCGCGCAAAAATCGCAAAGGAAGAAAGACCGACAAGCGCAAGTCTCTCGCCCAGGTACTGACCTGGGCAAATGGCAAAGGCCGCGCTTACTGCGTCCAACAAGATGGCGCGCTGTCGCAAATCAAGAAAAGCATCACCCTGCTGGCCAAGGCTGTTGAAGACCAGAAGGCGCAGGTCTTGCGTGAGCAGATCAAGCCGATCACAGACCAGAAAGACAAGAAAGACAACCCGCAGCGGATCTTGGGCTACGGACTGAGCGACATGCTGAAGATCATTTTTGTTGTTGTAGTCCTCTTGTGTGTTCTCTTCTGTTTTTCTATGCTCTGCAGTGCAAGCGCTGGCTCACTTTCTATCTTTTGCCCAACATCTCGGGAAGAGGATGAGGAACGCAGTGAAGCCCAGGCGGCGCCCCTTCCCCTTGTGTTTATGCATCACCCAACCCGGCCACTCCTCAGATGGGCTGACGCCGTCCAGTTGTGGCCAGGGTTCTGAGCCACACGATGGACCGCGTGGGCGCGGTGCCGTCAGCTGCTCAGAAGGCTCCCCTTCGGGCTCATCTCCCCGCACTCTCTGGCCCAGCGCGGTCCCCGCTTGTTTCTCCCCTGGGTGTGGGGCGGCAACCAGCCTGATGGCCGCCTCCCTGCCAGTCGAGTCCCTGCCTGCCTCTGTTTATGTGGAAGAAGCGCGTAACGTCAGCCCCCAGCCCATGCGTCTCCTTCCTTCGTCAGTAGCTAGTAGAACAAGGAGAAGGCCCCCCGGTCGCGCGCCATCGCGTCCGCATAAAAGAAAGCAGCGACTGAACGCTCGCCCGCACTGGCTCGCCACATTGTCGCAGCAGCGTACTCCCATAGGTCAAAAATTTTCCAAATTGTTACAGAGTGCGTAGAGCCTTCTGCCCGGCCCCCTTTCGGGTCCGGCGCTTTGCTCTAGGCTGCCCGCCCTGACAAACCGCGCCGCACCTGGGAGGCGCAGCGTGAAAGCAAGCGCGAAGCAAAATAAAGCGGCCGCGTGGCTCATCTTGTCGGGGTCTAGTCCTAAGGCAGTGCGCCCGAGATTAGCCTACCCCCTCCCTATGTCTTGACGCGTGGAGTAGTTTCGCCACTGTCTGCCTCGCACTGCTCAAGCCCAATTCTATTGCGATCCGTTTGGTGGCAGTCTCGCATGCGCTCCGATTCCCTTCGAGTGCGATGCTATTTTATCGCTAAGCCTAAGCCCATACTTACATAAGAAAACCCTCGCCCCCATTTCCTAAGTCTATACATCGGCACCCCTTCACTTCCAGGCAGTCAAAGAGGAGGCAGGGCGCAGTAGTCTAGTGGCAGTCCCATGGGCGTAAGGCGTAGCCCGGTTTTCTCTAGTAGGATGGAACTGCGAGCGCCGCAGTGGTCGCTGGCTTGTAATGAAATGAGCCCCAACATTCAGAAACGCCAGAAGCCCAGCCAGAAGCGTTGCACTGCATTCGAATTCACTGCTACCGATCATTTGGCTCGCTTCCTGCTTCCAGCGGTGAAGGCCTCTAAGAGGGCGTGGGTGAACACGAGTGTCAGGATCCCCTTTTTTGGATCACTGTCGCTAAAGGCAGCAAAAGCTGCTAGCTCTTTAGTGTGCAACACGCTGACGCTTCAATAATCATTGTTCCCATCTCAGCTACCTGCCTATGGGCATGTTCACGGTGAGACCATGGGTTAAGAAAACAGTCACTTACTTGCGTTGCTTTTTCGCGGGTGGTTGATTATCGCATGGTGGTACTGGGAGAGGGGTAGGCGGTGTGTTGTTTCGGGTATCGGGACCGGTGTCCGTAACCTCCGGTAGCAGTGCTTTCTGGTTGAGGGTTTTAAGTACATTTGCCCAGTTTGGTTGCCGTACTTCGATGACTTCGGCCAGTAAGTGGCGGAAGGAGGCGCAATCTTCTCTCGAGAAGATCAAGATGTCCGCTATGTTGAAGTGGGTGCTGACGTAGCGGTAGAAGGTGCGCTGCTCGGCTGAAGCGGCGCGCAAGGTGGATTTGGTGATGATGTTTAGCAAGTGTGACGATTTTGCAGTCATCTTCACGCGCGCGTAGAGTTGTGTGACGTTGTCGAGGGAGATGTGCATGAGGTCGTTCGCGGTTGCCCAGGTGGTGAGGGCGAGGTAGGTAGCCATTGCTTCGAGGATTTCGATGCGGATAGTGTTACCGATGACGTTCTCGATGTGCTGGCGGTCGATTAGTACGGTAAATGCTTGGCGCTTTCCTTGTGCGTTAATGTGAAAGGCACCTAATACGGGTTGCCCATCGGGTCCACCGTCGGACGATGCGTCCGTGGCCAGGTAGGACTGCGTAATCCGTGAGGCTGTCTTGCCGTGGGTGATTCGCGGTAGGGTCGGCAGAAGGTGCTGCAGCGCCACAACGTGGACGCGGAGCATGCTGCGGCGCTTCTTGCATTTTTTGAGGGTGTGAAAGAGTGACTCGCCCAGCCATTTGCATAGCGGGCGGAGCAGCTCGGTGCCGATCTTCGATCGGGTGTGTTGCGTGCCGAAGGTCGCCAGTCCGACGAGCCTCTGCAGGTCTTTGAGGACGAGCGCCTTACTTCTGATTTGCGTGAGGGTTGTGTCGAGCGCTTTCGTAAGCTTGATGTAGTAGTTGCTTGGCAGCATGAGCGTGAGCAAGGTGGTGCCGACTGTTCTAGTGTAGTGGTAGATGAGGCCGAGGGCCTTCAAAGTGTTTGTTTTGGCTGAGGACTGGTCCGCAGCCGGTTTCTTGGAAAGCGGCAGGCCGAGGCATGCTGCCAACTGGTGGATGAAAGTCTTCGCAGCAAAGATTTGCTGCGTTGTTGCGGCGAAGTAGTTCTGGTCGTCGATGTAAGCCAACATTGGGACTTTGAAGTAGATGCAGATGGCCATTAGCAACTCCGAGAGGCGGCAAAATGCCGGGACGGAGGGTTCAGTGCCCATATTGAGCGTATAACTGACCCAGAACCGGCATGCCCGCTGCCTTGTGCCCTGTTATGGGGCAACTTTTGGGGTCGTCAATTCCAAAGAGGTAGTAGGCCTCGGATATATCATCGGAAGCCATCTCTGGTGGTGGTGTCTGCGGGTGTCCCACTTCCTGGCTGAGGGAGGTGAGGGTAGCAGACAGGCGGTCCGCGAGGGCCGTGAGGGATTCTGGTGGTTCTGGGAGGGTGGTCGTTGCCGCCGCAGTTGCCAGCTCTTGTTGCATATGTGCATGGGTTTCCTTGCGCGTCTGGCCAAGAGGTGAGGAGATGTAGGCGCGCTCCTTCCCGGTTGGTGTCATGTAGATGCCGATGAGATCTTGAACCTTCCGGGTGCCGTGTAGTTCTAGTTTTTCTTGTGTGCGGTAGTAGTGATTCTTGGCTCGGTTGTCGATGAGAAGCCGGACTTTGCGGCGTTCCTCAGTGGTTTACGATAGTCGTTCCCGGGACCTCCGCGAGGCGCCAGGGCGTCAAAAAATGTCAAAAAATGCCAAAAAATGTCAAAAAATGTCAAAAAATGTCANTTGCTAAATTGTCGCCAATTTTTGTCAAAGTTTGGCAAAATGATGCCAAAGCCTCTCCTGAGTTTTGTCAAAATTTGCCAAAATTATGTCAAAACTTGTCAAAGTTTGTCAAAATTATGCCAAAAGTTGCCAAGAAGTTTTTTGCGCTTTCTCAAAATTTGTCAAAATTATGACAGCCCTGGCCAAAAAATTTTTTGCGCTTTGTCAAAATTTGCCAAAATTTGTCAAAATTATGACAACCCTGGCCAAAAAATTTTTTGCGCTTTGTCAAAATATGCCAAAATTTGTCAAAATTTGGAAAAAATGTTTCTAACTCGACAGCAAAAAGGTCCCGGGGTTTACTTTCATAAAGTGGTTTCATCTTTGGGAAAAGCAATGGCAGGCTGGCATTGGAGCAGGTCGCGGGTGATCTCCTTATATCGTCCCTTTTGAACGTCCTGCGCAATGATATCGATGATTGCCTGGAGAAGGTCATCGTCGAACTCCGGCGGTGTGGCGCGGAGGCGGATGGCCCTGTTGTAGAAGTCGGCCACTTCTGACTCCGGGACGAACGGGGTGTGATTGGCTTTCCAGACCCCCGTGGTATCACCGTTGGCGATAGCGTTAAGGTAAGCCCTTTGATGACTCGCGTGGTGAAGGTGGTGCCAGGGTGGTCGATGAGGGTGGCCAATGTTTCGATGGCGTCCACATTGCGGGGTGGCTCCGAAAGGAGGAGGCCCTGCAAGTGCGCCGGGCTCTCATTTCTGATGCGCGCCTTGCTGGTCTCCGCAGTGTCCTGCTGGAGCTCGAGGAGGTAGCGGGTGGCTTGTGCCACCGTGTTGGTCCATTCTTGAGTGTTGTCATCTCGGTCACGTTTTTGGTCAAGTATAGCTTTAGCGTATTGTTGGTAGAGGCGTAGGTCGGCAGGTGGTGACCAGACCGCTTCAGTTAACTGGTCGGCCGTTTTAATCAATGCGAGCTTTAGTTTCTTCGGCGTCATTTTGCTATTTTTCGCTGCCTGGTGTGGGTGGGTGGGTTTTTTCAGTTTCGCTATCCTGAAGACCATCTGAGATCTCCGGAGCGTGAAGCTCTTATTTAGTCACCTATGATCTCCGATAGTATAGACACCGACTAGAGGGAACCCGAGTAGATCAGCAGGAATTCGCATCTACATTCGTTTCACATTTCGCGGCCTCCGGCCAGACAAGTGCTACACTGCATTAGAATTCACTGCTACCGATCATTTGGCTCGCTTCCTGCTTCCAGCGGTGAAGGCCTCTAGGAGGGCGTGGGTGAGCACGAGTGTCAGGATCCCCTTTTTTGGATCACTGTCGCTAAAGGCAGCAAAAGCTGCTAGCCCTTTAGTGTGCAACACGCTGACGCTTCAATAATCACTGTTCCCATCTCAGCTACCTGTCTATGGGCATGTTCACGGTGAGACCATGGGTTAAGAAAGCAGTCACTTACTTGCCATTTGTCCGGGCGCGGCTCTCGCCAAGCGTCTCACTTCGACTTCACTTTCTTGCGAAGTGGAGCGGCCTGTGATTGTTTTCGTGCCTGGTCTGTAGTGCTGGTGGTGGTGAGTTTCTTCTTGGTGACTTTTTCATCGCCGACTTGCAATATACAGTTTTCGGCGTGACCTTGATTGTGCGGACATCTTGTCCGTTCATTTGGGTAGTGCCTTCCGCGAGGAGTTTGCCCCTCGATTTGAAGTAGGCGGTGGCGTCATGCTTAGTCGACAAAAGAGATTCGATCTCGTCCAGCTCGCGGGTGCGCGTTTCATTGCGCATTGCCTCATGGATCTCGTCTCTGTCCTTGGTTGTGGTAGGTAGGGCTATGTGCTTGCTATCGTCGGTGGTGTAGTCGAGTGCTCCTGCTACGGGGAGTAGGGCTGTCGCTGCGTGGTCCGCGTGGTCCTTCATGTAGCATAGGACGGTCGCGAAGGTACTCCAGCCTCTTGCCTTCATGTAGGTTTCGAAGCCGAAGTGTTTGCCGGAGGCCAGCGTTTTCGCGGCCATAAGGGCACTAGTTCGGCGGGGCGAGTGGAACTTCGCCCCCAGACGTTTCATGATATCCATCATTGTTTTTCCGTCTGCTGGTAGGGATGGTCGTGGTGTGGTTTTGTCGCAGATGGGGCAGAGGTCTTTGTGTTGTGGTGAGGTACAGCTGCAGCGGATGGTAACCGCACGCCCCTCCTTGTTCGCGATCTTATCTCGAATGACTGTTACGAGGATGCGGCCGGCGTGGTAGGTGAGGTGGTGCGGGCGGAGCTCGGCGAAGCTGCTCCACCGGATGCCCAGGAGGATCCACAGACGCACAAGTGCGCGAGCTGCAAGCTGGAGGCGTCGGCGCGCATCCACGTGCATAGGTGGTGCCTTGAGGGGCTCTTGTGCCGCGCACGTACGCCGGATGTCATCTTTGGCGATGTTGAGTGCCTTGATGGCGCAAGGGTGCGGCTGGAGCCAGTTGTGCGGTTGGTTGGTGCGTGGGTCCAGCTCTGGCATGAGAAGGCTGTGAGATACTGCGGCAAAGTAGGTGTCTGCCAGCTCGGAGCTGTCATTGGTGGCCGAGATCCAGAGGCAGAAGATACGTAGGTGTTCGATTGAGTATGGAGGGCGGACTTGTGGGAGCTGGTTCGCCCAGTAGTCGGCCCCAGAAGACGTGAAAGCTGTGCTTGCGGTTGGTGAGGGTGCCCTCGGCATGCGCTTGCAGCTGCAGCGTGATGCTCTCGCTGCTGCAGTAGCGCGTGAGGGTGTGGCGGTATTCCCGTTTTGGGATGGTGGCTTTATCGAGTCTGAGTGACGGCGATGGTGTGGGTAGCGAGAGTGGTGTGGTCTCCGACGGTGGTGGTTTCCACGTCGGGTCTCCCAGTGGTGCAGGCTGTGAGGTTTGTTTTCGTAGCTGGGAGCCGGCGGCCTTAGACGAGGACATAGCCGGCGCGAGCCAGGCGCCATGTAGCGGCGCGAAGAAGCGTGCTGTCATTTTTATTTTTCCAACAAATCGCTCGCGCTATATTCTAATGTGCGAGCGCTACTTTTACCGGGTTTAGTTTTTCGTTTTTCATAGGACTATCCAGGGATGGGTGTCCGATATTGTGTGTGGACTGCCTCACGTTCTCTCGGCGGATGACCTTCTCTCGTCATAGCTTCGTGGTATGCAGCCGCTAGCGAACACATGCACTCAGATGCGGAGATGAAGCGGCCGGGTTCGTTGAAGCATGTTTTTTAAATACTCACACTGGTGCGCTTAGCCTAAAAGCTGGCCCGGGAAGTGGCGTCTCGCCTTTTCTCAATCAGGTCCAAGTCCTATTGCTCATACATGAGTCCTGTGGAATTTGTTCCGAGGTGTAGACGCTACACAGGTAGAGCGGCACTGGGTCTGTGACTAACTGGTGTCGCGTCTTGGTCACATAGAGAGCAGCTCCTTCATCGATGACGTCGTGTGTGTGGACCGCAATCCATACACGGTCGCCACCCTTCGATTTGGTATGACTCGGGTGGTCTCCCCAATGGACGTATTGGCGGCTCATCGGTAACAAGTAACCGACTCGGCCAATATTTGCCAGGGCGTCTGCGGAGGTCTGGCGCCAGATATATCTGTGGTTTGGTAAGGTAGTTAACGGTCGGTGGAGTTTGTGCAGGTAGTTGGGTAATGGTAAGGTAGGTAGGTCGAGATTTTGTACTCAAGGCAGGAAGAGATAGCAACTTGGTGAATGAAGCAAAGTCAGGCTGACACGTTGGCACCCATGGGCGTCGGCGTATTCTTCTGCTTCGGCTTTAGTAGTGAGGCGCTTACTTCCGGTGCATTTTGCCACGGATTGTCCCGATGTGGCGCGGATATAGTGAGCCGGTTCGTGGTAGGCGATTTCAAAGCGGAGTCCACCATGTCTGTTGGTCTGCTCCGCAGCCGCTTGAATGTATTCAAGCGGGTACCAAACGCCGCGCTTGCCATGGTAGAGCGTTTCCTGAAGGTCGCCTAAGTCGATCCACTCACGCTCCCAGCCCTCGGCCACGTGTCGACGCGCCAGTTCTGGGCTGTGGCGGAGGAAGTAGGCGAGCTGCTTTCCGCATTTGTGGAGCAGGTCCCTGCAGAGTATAGCCGGCTGGCCTGCCATGGGGTCAGTCCACTTGAGCTTCTTGATGGACTGGCTGACGGTGTAGGTCTCGCGCGGCTTGTTGATAATGGCCGGAAGGTAATCCATGCCACCAGAGCCGTATTTAAGCTCCTGTCCAGTTTGTGTGGAGGCAGGTAGTTCGTCGCCCACCGACACTTGCGTGCTCGGAGCTTGATGGTCGTAGGCTTCATCCAGGTCATGAGTCCAGAAGGAAGCTGCCGGCGTGGTGTAGTCTTCATCCTGGGTGGACGGCGGGATGAGGGTTTGCTCGTCGTTGTTGTACGGACCAGCACCAGTCGAGGCGCTGCTTGAGGCAGTCTGGTTGGGGCGTGCCTTACCGTGCGGCGCCATGGCGGCCGCAGGGTCCTGAAGGTCCTTTCCGGTGGCGTCTTGGGCTGGTTTCCCACCAGTGCCCTTAGAGCGGCGCTTTGCCGCAGCCACCAGTTTCTCGTGGAAGACTGCTTTTTGGCCTTTACGGGTCGGCGGGATGCCCACCTTCTGGCCCTTTCCTGGTGCGTTGGTGCTCATTTTTGATTGTGAGTATTTGTTTTTAGCACGTATGTGCGGACACGTTAGTGCTGTTGCCCTGAGGTGGTTTGGTGGGTAAAGGTAGATAGTGGCGTGATGGGCTTTTTATCCAAAAGCTTTAGCTAAAGTTAGTAGGGGTTTTGTATGGTTATGTGGTTAACATAAAACGTCTGTAGCTAGCATTTTTGTTGCATGCGAGAAGGCAAGGCGTTCCCTGTACACACAGGGGCACTTCGAGAGCGGCCCAATTCAACACATGATATGGCTTCTTGTTTTGCATTGGTGAGTGGTGCCGAGAGTCGCAGATTTAAGCGCGTGGGTGATGAGTGGCCCACTTTCACTAGATAGATCCGACCACTCACTGTTGCACAGGTTTTGAGTGCAGGCATGAGTCTGGGTTTTCCGGTAGAGAGAACACGGCCCGGCAATAGTTGTTCTAGCTGAAGCTTCGCAAGGTTGGTTTTTTCTGACTTCGTCTCAGCTACAAAATGGCGAGGCTCGTGACGTCATAGCGGTTTCAGCATGTTCATCTGAGAAGTGTTGTCTCGACGCCCTGCTTCATAGCCTAGAGCTCAGTTACGGACTCTCGGGATCCACGCCTCTTCTTTGTTATTTAGACTGAGCTACAACCGCCTCACTCCACTTGCGTTTAACAATCATACTTGCGTCCTCTGTTGGCCACGGGTGGACCAAAGGGCAAGCAAGGCCATTCTCATCGAAAGCGCATTTGTGGAAGATGTGGCAACAGGCACAAGCGTCCTTAGAAGCCAACTGGTATTTGTCATGTTTGGACGCGGGTTGAACCGCTGGGGGCTCAAGAGTCCCGTCTTTGGACACCGGCAGCCCACAAGGAGTAGTATTAATTGTTTTTGCCCATGCGCGACCTGTTTTAGGATCAGAGTTGTTCGTCGTGGCCACAGGGGTCCATCCGTCCGCCACCAGCTCCGTCCAGGAGCGCCACACCGGTGAAGTGCCACGGTGGATTAGCTCAGCATTCAATTGTTTACACTTTGCGGCCGTGGGCTGACCCGGTGGGTTGGCCGGTGCGTCAGTGTTTGGAGGAAGAGCTGGTGGCTGATCCTGGTGGGGTGTCTCAGTGGTCTTGCGACCGCGCGGTATGTAAGTTGACGGCCCATTCGGTGATTAGAGGTGACAAGGTATGTGACAGATGGATGGTTCAACAGAAGCGACAGATTAGTAATTGTGTGGAGTGAGTAGTTTTAGCCGTAACTTGGAGTTCTTGAGTGTGGCCGTTTGTTTCCAGTTGGTGTCATGCCACCAGACACTGTTCTTGGAATCCCAAGACTTGCAGCACTGTTTCTCCGGTGCCCACACCCAATGGCAGGCGTCGGCCTTGTTGGGAGCCGCGGTTGGTGCCACAGCCGTATGAGGTTGGCCTTTTTTGCCTTTACCTTTAGCCGGCGGCGCCTGCCAGTTCCACCAGGATTGGTAGTCGCCGGCGTTGGGCTCGCCCTGCTTGGGAGTGGTAGAGGAGGTGGCCGCGTGGTTCTTCTTCGTATTGTTCTTGCGGCGCTTAGTTCCAGTAGCATGCGGTGGGCCCTGGTCTTCCTCCTCTTCGTTAGCTCGCTTTTCAGCAGCAGCAGGAGAGGGAGATGTTGTGGCGGTGTTCTGTTTGTCCTTTCCCCACTGCGCAGAGCGAACTTTAGAAGATTGCTGTAGTTCTTGTTGAAGTCGTGCTAAGAACTCCATGGAGGACATGTTGTTCCTGCGAAGTTCGTCGCGCACGTGTGCATACAGCATCATTGGTATGAAGTGCAGCACGAGCGCGCTTTTCGCCACTCCGGACAATGAAAAATGAAAAGGGGAGACCAATTTAATGCTTTCGCCAATGTTAGTGGCCTCCCCTATATACATTACAAATTTTTGCGCCATGCTCATCGTCGTCTCCATGGCAAATTGTGCGTCTGTGATCAATTTTTCATTTTCTCCCCACGTGGCTCCCAGCAAGGCACCTCGCAAGTCATCCTGACTTCGGCGCTCGAGGGCGTGCAAGTAGCTGAGGTTCCACCCATTCCAGAAAACACGAGGAATAGTTGGGCGGACCTGTGGGTGAATGTTGGTTGGTGGGGAGGGTAGGTTTGCCCGTACATGTGGGTAAGGTATGTTGAGTGTAAGTATGGCAATATACGTAGAGACAAAATATGGCGGACTCCAGGTTGTTTGTATCGTGTTGGTATAGGAGTTCGCTATGGGTATATAGTTGCACCTTAGCCGAACCAAGGGACGGCAAGCGCTGCGCAGTGGACGCGAGGTCTTGGCACAACGGTCCTCCAATATTCTTAAACAGAATAAAGGTCTTAGAGGAGGTTTCGAATTCCTTTGCAGTAAGGAATTTTGTGAGAAACGACCGCTCAGAGCCGATACCCTGCAAGATTAGCCAGGCCGCCAGCGCTTTGGCGCTGGCCTTCTGCGTGGGCGTGTGTGTTGCAACCCAGTGCAAAAGCGTGGTCGGCGCGAGGTGGACGGTCGGGACGAGGCGACGGCAAGCCTGCAAGTTAGCTTGGCAGTTCGGGTAGACCACGGCCGAAAGCAGTCTGCCTTGGCTCTGGGTGTCGGGGACAGCTCCCTTGCACGAGGCGGCATTCCCTGGCGTGGCCATCCAGGTGAAGGCGAGTTGGTTGTTGAGGTCGAGGCCCGTGAGGTGGAGGATAGCATCATCCTTCCCGTCCCTGTGTGTTTTCGTATGGTGTGTTGCGAGGTAGGTGGTTCGTCAGTGATGTGGTATATCGTGTAGAGGCTGTCTTTAACCGCCCACCAGGCCGATGTTAAGTTCCAACGCGCCGAAGGTTGCACGACTAAGTTTTGGCCATCATCTGGGTCCGGGCTAGAGGTCTTGTTATGTGGCATCGGCTGGAGTGCCTTTGCTCAAACGGTTGCCTCATCCTGGCCCGGGTTGTCCGCCTGCCGTTGGCGCTTACCCATGAGTGGGGTAAGTCCGTTGGCGGGCGGGACAAAACAAGTAGTAGCACTCGGCAAAGGTGCCATGTGATCTGGAAGGAGATGTCCTGGTCTTGTTCATCACCATGCGGAAGGCAGAGAGACCGGAGCGCATTGACCGCAATAGGGCCCGGCTCGTCAGGGTCCTTGAAGCCCGGAACGTCCGAGGCTTCTTTCTTGGTACGGTAGCCAGTCGCCGCCGCATCTGGGTAGATGCCGTGTCCATCTGGTTTAGCGACGTTATAGTCCGGGGTGGTCTGCTCCTCCTCTTTGAACTTGATGACGAGCTCCTTAAGTTTCTCCTCGTATTCCTGGTCGAGTTTCTCCTTCATGGTCGCCAAAGCTGCGGCGACCTGAGCTGCCACCATAGCAGCCACGCACGTCGGCCGGCGGCTGGGCAGGTGGTTGGAGTGGAGCAGGTGGCACTGGTAAGCCTTGAGGTTGGCCGAAGCCGTCCGGTAGTTCCTGTATGGATATTCAGAGGCTACTTGAGGTGAAATGCTGTGTAGTGATCGAGGTACGTTGCAGCTTTGGAGTACGTTGAGCACATGCTTGCATTGCCTACAGGGAAAAACTCCCAAGACCTGTGCTAGGCAGTCGTGAATGGTGTAAGGGGTACCAGGTTGCTGTCGGCGAAGTGTCCGTGAAGGAAGGTGTAGTCACTGTGGATTCCTGCATCCTGTAAACAGGCCGGAGTATCCACATCACAGTGTTCACGGACTGCCTCAATGCCACGTCTTCCTCCCGAAGCTTTTGTGAGTTCCATGTAGTTTGGATGCAAAACAATTTGCGGCAGCGCGTTGAAGCAGTCAGAGATCCGCTGTTTGGTAAAAAAGGCCATGTCAAAAATATTCTCCTTGTGATATTTTTCCACGATCGAAACGTAGGCCAAATAAGCCTTGACCCAATCTTTGCCTTCGGCCGGCAGCGGAGCGTCATTTTGACCAACCCGCATGGTGATGAGGGTAGTCGTGACTCCATCCAAGTCCTCTTTTAGCTGCGGGTGAGGGTCCAAGAGGAGCGCCATGTTCTTGCTGAGGACATAGACCGCGGCCAATTCTGGCTCAGTCAAGTCCCGCGCCAATGTGGCCTGGTTTTGCCCAAAGGCAATGGTAGGACGTTGCTGTGCCTCCATTTTGTCGCTTTGGCTCTTGAGAGTGAAGTAGATTTTTGAAGAGTTTCCTCTTGTATTTTCCCTGTGTTTTGGTGAAAGTGAGTGCTATCGTTGTTTCAAGTGGTGGGGTGGTAGCTATTGTGTATTTTGTTGGCTTAGCCAGTTTTCGTATAATGCCACTTGTAGCCGTCAGAATTCAGGCTTGCTTCGAGTTTCGGCGCACTGTAGTGTGGGCCTTAAGTGGCGTATTTTTGCTAACTTAGATCACAACAAGTCCAGATCGCTGGACGAGAAAAACAGAGCACGGGGTCCGCAAGTTTGTACTCATGACTAATGGAAACAAGAACTGTGCATATAATTTGAAATCGAAACTACTCATAAAAAGGCTTTCACTTACTGAAATATGACAAAGAATGACTCTAATCCTTTTTTTTGGAAGCTTTGCTGCCTTTGACCTCCTTCCAAGTCAACTGGTGCGGTGGCTGTCCCATTCCTAGACACGAGTGATTCTCCGCGAACTTATGCGACCAATGCGCATCCCAGTGTTGTTGGACAGTGCCATGGAGTGGCTTCGACGGATTCGCTCCGCCTTTCGGCTGTGGCACTAGCGTTTCGTCGTACTGCAGCTTGGCCTTCCGCACGTGCCTGGCATCGCTACGGTCCCAGAACAGCACTACTTCAGCAAACGGCTTCCGACAGTACGGACACTTCGCAGCATATCGATCCATCGGCTCCCGGCCTTTGTTCTGCCGCTTTGCTCGCTCTGCAGCTGCTTGTGGATCTACATCAGCATCCTCGAACGGATTGAGCGGGTCAAGGAGGTCAGCGTAGCCATCGCGCGGCGGATGAGGATCCTGCAAAGTGCGGCACTTTCGCGGTTCACGACGACCAGCTGATAGAGGCTTCGCGCGGTACTCGTGCCTCTTCTTTTGCGCCACCTCTGGGTCTGCCTTGTCAGCGTCGCGGATGTCACGCTCATCCCTCAGCTCCTCCTTCAATTGAAGACGCAGCGCAGCCTCATCCCAGTGATACATCTCCGCTGCAGGCACGTCGCGATAATCCAAGGAGTTGAGCAGGTCACCACGCTGCATTTGGTCGACGAAGTAGATGAGCTCGTCTTGCAGGTGGACCTCGTCACCGTCTGGCCAAATCTTCACTCCATTAGCGAACTCGTACTTGTCTGGTCCCAGGCTGATCTGCAGGTCGTGGAAGAACCCTACACGGAGCTTCAAGTGAGAGCTCGTCTTTGGCTTCAGCGAAACATGACCACTAACATGCGGCGTCACCGCGAAACCCGCATAGCATCCCGAGCGCAGCAAGAAGATGAGCAAGGTCTCACCATCCCCGTCTTCAATTCCAACTACTGGGTCTTCTAGTAAGTTCCGGTAGGTGAGCTCGAGGCTCGACTGCAGAGCGATGGACTCCCTCCAGCGAGCAGTAACATCGATGGGCGTTCGCCCCTGCTTTAGCTCCTCCAACATCACAACGAACAGAAGGCCGTCTTGTTGGTAGTCCGCCCAAGTGGTTCCGGTAGCCGGACTCTCAAAACGCTCCAGCAGCATCTGCACTAGACCATTACTCGACGACGATCTCGGGAATTTCGACTGCAAGACGGACGCCAGTCTTTTGCTGATGTCTCCAGTGTTGCGCGCATCAGGTTGCGACTTCTCATGGTCGAGCAGCTTCTTCATCACATCCTCGACGTCGCACCCTTTTGCTCGTTCGATGTATGCACTCGCAAACGTTGCAGAATCACGACAAGGAGCGCTGTCCTTTGCGACGATCTCCATGCAAATGTCTGGGTATCGCGTACTCGACGCCCACTCCACGCGGCGCGCTAGTAAGCCGCGGCCCGTCGATGAGTCTCCAGCATCCCTCTCAGTGCGATTCTCCGACTTCCAATGGTTCTCGGAGAAAAACTCCGAGAACGCTCGACCACTGTTCACTCGATCAGACAGAGCACTCCTTCACACCTGCAAGCATGTTGTTTTTTCCGCAGCAGAACAAGAAGTTCTCCACATCTCCGAGTTGTTGACTTCCACGGTAGATCTCACACGCAGAAAGGTAGTCATCGTAGTACAGACGATGCTCTACACCGATGAAGCCGCTGACATGAAGGCTGTAAGCCGGGCCCCACCGCTCGCATATCCAATGACGAAGAAAACCACCACGAAAGAACGATGACACCTCCTCCCAGTCGTCTATGTTATTGCAGTCCTTCAGTGCCTCGAGTGCCATTGTTTGGAAGATGGCGCTGATGTTTTTCTGCCGTGCCGCATAAAACTCAGCGGCTGTCAGAGCAACGTTCTCTGCCAGCGTCACTGCACCTGCCAACTTGATCGGCTGGTCTAACTTCGTGCCAGCTTTCATGCTCTCCAACTTCCTCACACCTTGGTAGTACGAGTAGACTCCATTGGTCACCTTGATCTGTGCTGCTGCTTTCTCAGGTGTTACAAGTTGGAGCCGCTTCTTCAGATTCGCCGCATAGTACGACGGGTTCTGAGGTGCCACGAATTTTGCTATAGGTGCCTTCCTCCTCCTCCTTCTACTTCCTACCGGTGAAGCTGGACCATCATCGTTCTCAACTGAGTCCAGGTCTCCCAGGAGCCGCTCGATTACCGGCGCAAGCCGAAGAGGAGCTTCACCATCTGAATCCGACTGATCATCATCACGATCAAGAGCAGCACTTTCCGCCTCCCCAGCTTTGAGCGTGATAACGCGGTTGCAAATTGCGATAGCCATTGCGCCATGAGCTAGAAACCACTGAGCCAACAAACGATGACCGAACCAGCGAGAATTGTCAGCCTCTTCCGGGTTGCAAGCTGGGAGCTGGATGGAAGATGTGGCTCAAAATTGTGGCAGATCGAGAGGTGTGCTCTGTGTGTATCATCTCCTTGACAATCGAGTTGACAAGGCGCATGCTGCTGAAACGCTCAGCGCCTTGTATACTCGATGACAAGAGGAGTGACAAGAGGCTTGACAAGAGGGGGAAAAATGACATGATTTTTTAGTTCCAGACAAGTTGAAGTGAAGGGTCTTCCAAGAAGCAAATAAGAAGAGACACGGAGATGAAGAAACGTCGATCATCTCAAAAATGAAGCATCTGGATCGAAGTAATTACGTTGATCCAGAATGTCCTGAAGACGCTTTGTAAGGTCGTGAGCTGCACGAATTGACTGCCAGTTCTCTGGCAGCGTGCCGCTATCTTTGAAGTCCTTGATGATTGCCGCGCGGGCTTGTTGCCAGTCGTTCCTATTGGCACGACTCGAGAAAGGCCCTCGCACATAGGCGCCGAAGCTCAGCCCAATGCTTGAGCTTATTCACATGGTTGGAGAGTCGATGAAAAACTCCGAAGAAGTAAACGACGCTGGCCCACCTCTGCATCACTTTGCCAGCCCTCACCTCTGATTCCAGTTGGTCACTCGAAACAGCGTAGATCTGCGGGAGCGACTGGCACGAGTTTCCATTGCATCCAACACGAGGCGGATCGAGGACACCCTTCACGAACTCCGGGGCACAGTAGTGCTCCAGCATCGCAAAATGAGAGGAGATGCTCTGGCGTGCTTTCTCAAACGCCTTTGGGCCATGCGGCGGCACAGTCTGGAGTGGAAGCGCCATCATGTACGGCTCTCTTGGTTTCTTGTTGGTATCGTTGTTACCGGACAGGAGCTGACTGGAGGGGAAGTAGATCAATAAATACGAAGAGCGGCGCACTGTGCAACTAGTCGTGGAGTGTTAAGGCTGCGGACAACTTCGTGACTTTTCAGCAACACTTTGCCAAAACGTCTCCAAATTGTCCACAGCAGATGAAAAAAGGACTCTACATGCCTTCGCGGCTATGTTCTAGCAAGATCAACGAACGAGCCTCATCAGCTAGTACACCAGAGCTACCAACTCCGACAGAAATAAGGAGTTTTCTACCTGACTCGCACGGCGTGGCTTAGATCCCTTCGCTGATTCATCGACCATCACACCGACGACCCCACTCAAGCCACACCCTGGCGCCAATGCCCTGGGACGAGGCCACATCTGCCGCTGATACGCGCACCACAAAACCGCCGCATAGTCGTACTTCGCTAGTAGTGCCTGATATGTTTCAACGAAGATGACCGGTGGCCGGCAAGAGTGGGAGGAATGCGGGAGGAGTTTCATGGTCGAAAGAACTGAGAATAGACTGTCCAGCGAGCGACACCTTCGAGCGTCTTTTCCAACATCTAAACAGATCAAAAGGAAATGCCTGCTGGTCTCTCAAAGTCGTCCCGGCGCTGCATTTGGTTTTCTTCGTGCCAGCGACCTTCTCGATTTCTTGTATCATTTCTGACTTGCAGGCGCTCTTCTTCCAATCTTGGCCGAACTTGTTGATGATTTTTGCGAACTTCGGCGCCGGTGCGAGTCGCTGGTCAGTGATCCACAGCAGAAGGCTCAAGGGAGATGAAGCGGGGTGCAGAAGGGGAATACTGAAGGAAAGACTCCAGACACAGCTGACAAGTCGAACGAGATCTAGGTGCGCCTAAGGAAGTGCTGTAGTAACAACCTCCGAAGCGGTTCATCACTCTACGAGGTAATACAAAGACGACACGTCAACTAGTGCTACGAGAAGGGACTGGCTTCATGTACTCCGACCATAATATCTCCTCCGGATCAGCCACGCACTCTTGGTTCTCCAACTCTTCAGAAACCGCTCCGAGACCTCCGCTCCGGTCAACTCCAACCAAGTGCGAAACGCCTGCGAGTGCCGCGATGGCCACTTGTTTCTCCACGTCTTCTGCGAAGGTAGAACATCCGCTATCTGGCAACAGCCAGAGAGTCTCGCTACGGTTTTGCCTGACATGCTATTGCAGGTGCATGGCCAAAAAAACTAAAAGCCCCTCGCTTCAGAAAAGGTTGAGGGATAGCACGCAGATCTGCAGTGAGTTTTCTTCTGGTGGTTCTGTCTCTGCGGTCGTGCGTCATCATGCTAGGCCCAGTGAGTAGCTCGATAACGATCCGAAAAAAAAGAAGGACACTCTTCGGCTGGCTATAGTATCCTGGTGCTCAATGTTTGCCCTAGGGCCGAAGCTACTGCATCAGCTGGAGGATAACGTCTCTACTTCATCAACGTAGCAGAAGGGTGCCAGTCAGATGAATCAACATGCGAAAGCTGTCGCTCTCAACGTCGACGAGAGCAAAACAGTAAGAAGATGAATTTCACAAATGCAATGACTGGAATCTAAGTAAGAACATATCTACTAGAAAAATCACAAACCTACTAAGAAGACCCTACTACAAGACAAAATGATGAAGAAATAACATATCATAGAAAAATTCTGAATCAGTACGTCTCTCCTTCTATAGATCTAGAAGCCTTCCACGTCTAAACTTGACGCTCTTCAATCCTTTAGTTGATGTCTCATCTTTCCTCCCCTGCTTCATCAAACAACATCAGCCAGAAAAAGCGGCAGCAAGTGCTTGTCAATTCGAACAGTGGATAGTCCTCCCATGTGTCGTCTGGCATGCAGCGCCGCATCATCCGAAGCGCCGGCGATATGAGAGGAGGCGGAGTCAACAATGAGAGAATATGGAACCACTTAAGGCCTAAGAAACTGAACAACGAACGGGCGTCATGCTCTACGTCTAATAGATTCCAGTATTCAACGTCCCTCCCCTGGGAAAGTAAGGCCTAAAGTTGCAGCCTTCTATCCAGGTGCACAAACTGCACACCAGACGATAAAGGCAACGTGAGTAGTTGACACGGGCGACCCTGTCTCTAACGAGTCGCTTGCTCGCTCTTCTAAAACTACACTCAAAGACTTCACCTGCCATAAAGCACCCGGCCACCTGTAGCCACGCTGTCACTTCACTTCTTGGCCTTCTTGGAGCCCTTGGCATCAGCATCATCTTCCTTCGGCGCACGCTTCATAGCCGTCTTCATACTCGTGGTCGCGGCACGTGGGGGATCATTCGAAGAGCCAGCGGTGGGGTCCGAGCCCAAGAGGAACGGGTCTGCACCTGAATCGACATCCATCGGCACCGTCCCAGTTGCAGGCGTCTGTGTTATGAGTTGGACGATGTATTTGCTTTCTGTCGCATTGATAAGAGGATGGATAGGTCTGCGTTATGTTTGGCCATCTAAGGCAGTGGCTAGTAGTTAAGACGAAGGAGGAAATACCTGCCAGATGTATTTCCTTCGGTGTGATAAATGTTAAGATCATCAGATTTAGAAAATTTAGATCGTCTCTCACTCTCTAAAGTGATACACTCCAAGGAGCAAATGGGTCTTAGTACGTCCTTCAGTGCCAGCATCGGGCTGACTTTCCATGCACGACCGGGCGGCCATCTGTGAGCATGAGAAGCGGAGCTTCATCAGAGTCTTCGAGCAGGAGTGCCTCAGCCTCCATCTTGGCAATGGCCTTTCCACGCTTCTTCGTCATGTGCTTCTTGATGGCAGCCATCCAGTACTTCTTTGCTTCAACGTCTGAAACGCCAGCCATAGCAGCAGAGGACTTCATCTCCGACAAAATGGACCCGTTCGTTACGCGCTGCGGCTTGGTCAAGGTCTTGGGGAGCTGTTTATAGTTTACGTAAGGAGGATGAGAGTATGTAGGTCCTAGGCTGGTGGTGTATGGTGTGGATGATCTTTGCAGGAGGAGGATCTTCAAACTTCATCGCAGTGCTAGTTTTAAGGAGGAGGGTTACTTTCAACATAGACTTCAAAAAGTTAGTAGCTCAATGGGCATCGTCGAATCTAAGTAGCTGGATCCTTCGAGAGCAACCACAGGTCTAAACTGTAGCACCGCAACAGACAAGCGGATGCCGATCATCTCCAGGAAGTCGCGCATCACCTTCGGGTCCTCATCGATGAGAATAATCAGCACACCTTTCGGAAGGTACAGCCAATAGCTGAAGATCGGCGCCATAAGCGGCCCGTCGCAGTTGAGGTAACCTGGAGATACAAGAAAACGATATGGCAGCAGCAGAATGGCTTATGGGAGGAAGAGAGAACCTGACTTAGTCAGAAAAGGGGCTGGGCCTCCCTCTTTAGGTAGATCCGACCCGACACCTGACGTTGTAGCTGTCTGATGAATAGTCTTTCCATTTGTTTCATCGTGATCAGATCGATCTGCTTCATATAAGGTGCACCGGTGTGATAAAGAAATCCGGGGACCCCAGCTACAAGAATTCTAAATACACTACACACTAATAAGAGCAGTACGCGTGTATGTGCTCGCCAAGAATCTGCCATCCGACAAATCGACCTGGACATCGGTGGTCTTGAGCTGCGCGATGAATTTGGCACGAGCAGCGAGCTCCTGAAGCTTTTTCGCGTCGTCAGCTGCGATGCGCTTCTCTTTGTCCGAAAGATAACGGATTACGCGGGGAATGTTCGAGGGAACGAGGTCGACTCTGTCCGGCATTGTTGCAGGTTGCAGCTGCGGGGAACTACTTTCAAAAGTTTACTCTTAGGTAAGTCCTATTCTAGTCGGGAGGAGTCTATATAATCTTCCGAGGTAATGTCTTATAATGAAGGCTTTAGCTACCACCGCAGGCGCACGCAGCAGCAACCTCGTCCAGCATCAGTCCTCCATGGTTCCAAAAAAAAAACTCTCAGCAGTGCTCTCACATTCTTATGCTTCCATCGTGGAGCCCTCATTCCTCCAACAAGAAACCACATGCTTCCCATCATGTCACAGATCACTCTGCTATCATTCTCAAAAAAATCAGAAGCCAAAGGTCAAAGCAAGGAAGAAAGGAAGGACAGACAAGGCAAGAGAAAGGGTTCAAGGTTTTGCGCGTCCCGAGGTGGCGCCGGACATGTGGAGCTGCTCTGGATACGGGTTTCCTGGAGATTCTTGTAGGTTGGCGGCTGCTGACTTTTTCAGGCTAAAAATCGGGTTGGAACCAAATTTCACTCTCATAACTCTTGTAGTATAATTATGATGGTAATTGGCATCCACTTTCGCCTGCGATGCTGCTGCCCGTTCGTTGGATCGTTGCCGAAGGCGACTGCGTGTATCCTACAGACCACTGGGAAGGGAGACTTCTGGAGCTCTGGAGGAGCTCTGGAAGTCTCCTGGAACTGGAAGTCTTCTAGAAGTCCCTTGCTTTCCTTGTCTGAGACCTCCAAAAGAGCTTCACGAACGGTTTTCGAAAGACTTCCAGGAGACTTCCAGACGAGTGCTGGAAGTCTCCTGGGAGTCTTTTTTCAGGCTCCGGAGGGTCTCGGAAAGTGAGGCCTTCTGGAGCCAGAGTGTAGTCGTGGCACGCTCTCGCTGACCGGACCGCCAATGAGTATGAGACTTCCAGGCAGGTGTCTGGAAGTCTTTTGGCAGAAAGACGAAAGACTTCCAGGAGGCTTCCAGCGGTCTTTCTCCTGGAAGTCCTCAGGAATCGCTGATGGTTGGTTGCTTCAAGCCTCGAGTCGATCCGGACCCTCTGACCCAGACACTTGGCTTCGGCTTCCAAAATCCAAGTCAAGGGATCTGCGAAGCCAATTTGTCCAGATCTCCCCTTGAGGGTTCTCCCTGAAGACGACCCATCGCGCGCGGCGTTGCTGCCCGCTATGTGCCGCCATAGGTAACCTCTGTGGACCTTCAAGCAACCGGCAACAAGAAGGCAGCTCTCAAACCGACCGAATTAGCTAGCATACTACTACGCATCGAAGTGCCCAGGCTGTTGTCGTAGATAAAGGGCAGACGAGTACACGTGTGCAGTGTACTCATGAGAGGGCAGCCCAGTGGACGTCTATAGCAGTAGAATGATTCTAGTACATTTATCGGGAATGAGTAGCCAGGTTTTGGTCTATATTTATAGCGCTAGAGGAAGACACTTGGCACAACAGTAGTCCAAGCATGTAGCTCAGCAGTACCAGGGTAGATCAAGACAAAGCGCACAAGAAAAGGCACAAGCTTAGCATAGTTTGCTGCAGGTCAAGTGGTGCATATAATGGCATCACTGTGCAGGGGATAGATTCACACCCTGAAGCAAGTGAGCAGATTCGGAGCCTCAGCATCATCGTCGGCATGGTCGTAGAGTGTTAGCACTAGCAGTAGAGAAGCCACACGAAGACACGTAAGGTAGACGCTTTCTCTCCGAACGTTCTCACTTTTTTGGTCTGAAGGCTTGAAATGCAACGGCAAAGAGAAAGAGAAACACAGACGAGAGACAGCGAGACCATGACGAGACAAGTTCCATGGTCGTCACGTGTCCGCAAGGTTTTTTAAGTGAAAGGCGCTTTTTTTGCAAGTGCCTGAGTTTTTTTAAGAGAAAGGCGCAGAGCCTTTTGCTGTAATTAAGTGGCTAAAGAATGACAAGACAAGCGCCATCGCCAGTTTTATCTCAGTTATTCAGTGGCCCAGTGATTAGCGGGCGCTGTACAAGACCAGCCCAAACTCTCAAAGCTGTCGCCTCCTCATCCCAAACAATAGCCGCCTAGAATCTTCCCCGCTAGCAACGCTAGCTAGAGTAGAATCCGAAAACATCGAGACCACTCACAGACAGCGGCTGTCTGGAGCTTTCCCGGTCCTTATTTCCTTGGAATAAGTTGACTGTAGGCCCGGGTAGCAGCTCGCTTGTGCGGGCCTCTCGAGGCGGTGCCATGTGATTTTGTCCGAGGGGTAGTGTGTCATAATCAGGCTCAGTCCGTTTCTGCGAGTCCGTTTCTGCTAACGAATAACACAAGTAAGACCAACGCGACGCACTTACTTTCACGATGTTCGTCGATCAAAAAACCTCTTGACCATATCAACGCCCTGCCTCTACAATCATTGAAAAGCGTCTCGCTGTCGATCATGGTGCGAGCTAATCCGAACAAGGATAAGGGTGCGCCCAAGAGCAAACTGAAGAACAGAAGCACGACACCGATGACACTCACCGCGGAAGGAATGCGCAAGGCCATGGGGATGCCCGTAAAGTTCCTTGCTTTGTGATGGCATGTCTTTGCATTTTCTAAAACACAAAAGGCGCCCAGCTCAAGTCTCTCGCCTTGTTTTTAGGTGGATGAACATGCTGAGGAACGTCCTCCGGCGCGACTTTTCTGCTACAGTCCTCGCCTTGTTGAAGGTGTAGCTGTGCTCTGTCCTATTGGATCAAACACTACCAAACCCCACACGAGTCAAGACGCCTATACTCTATACTTTCCCCTTACAAGAAACCGCGACAACGATCCAAGCGACGAAGCAGCTGGCCCGCGATCAGGGTCGTGTCAAGGCACGCACTCACGCGCGCGCGGCGTTAATTCAGCGCATCCCAGAGGACGAGACTGATGAGAAGTCGAGCTTGCAACACGAGTGCAACACTGCTCGCGCGTTGCTCAAAGTAGGTTCCGTCTGTTATTCATACCATTGGGATTGGCGGCCACTCTCATGCAGATTACATCGCTGACGCACGCTGTGAGGAGCATGCGCGCTGAGGTGTTTGGCGGGCTGAGTATGGAGCAAGAGATCACTTCTGCGGTACTAGAATACGCGACGAGCTATCCCGTTTCCATTTTCAGTCTCGCGCTTTTCTGTCCCGTCGTTTCTTCCTGTTACAAGTACCATGACGCATCCGCATTTCTCGAAGCGAGTGATTTTGAGGGCTCTTGCTGATCCTGAGACTGTGCATAAAAATTCGCACCAATCTGCTGCACCCACTACAGTCACACTTGGCAGATCGCTACGCTTCGACTTCAGACGGGCAGGGCGCTGCAATGGCTTTGCATGCCTGCAGCCACGTTATTCCGTTTCTGGTGTGGACTAATGCGCATGCGTGGGTCGAATGCGCTTCCGCCTCTGCCTTCATTGAGGGCGCGCGCAAAAATCGCAAAGGAAGAAAGACCGACAAGCACAAGTCCCCCGCCCAGGTACTGACCTGGGCAAATGGCAAAGGCCGCGCTTACTGCGTCCAACAAGATTGCGCGTTGTCGCACCTCAAGAAAAGCACCACCCTGCTGGCTACGGCTGTTGAAGACCAGAAGGCGCAGGCCAGTCTTGCGTGAGCAGATCAAGCCGATCACAGACCAGAAAGACAAGAAGGACAACCCGCAGCAGATCTCGGGCTACGGACTGAGCGACATACTGAAGATCATTTTTGTTGTTGTAGTCCTCTTGTGTGTTCTCTTCTGTTTTTCTATGCTCTGCAGTGCAAGCGCCCACTTTCTATCTTTTGTCCAACATCTCGGGAAGAGGATGGAGAACGCAGTGAAGCCCAAGAGGCGCCCCTTCCCCTTCCTTGTGTTTATGCATCACCCAGCCCGGCTACTCCTCAGATGGGCTGACGCCGTCCAGTTGTGGCCAGGGTTCTGAGCCACACGATGGACCGCGTGGGCGCGGTGCCGTCAGCTGCTCAGAGGGCTCCCCTTGGGTCTCATCTCCCCGCACTGTCTGGCCCAGCGCGGCCCCCGTTTGTTTCTCCCCTGGATGTGGGGCGGCAACCAGCCTGAAGGCCGCCTCCCTGCCAGTCGAGTCCCCGCCTGCCTCTGTTTATGTGGAAGAAGCGCGCAACGCCAGCCCCCAGCCCATGCGTCTCCTTCCTTCATCAGTAGCTAGTAGAACAAGGAGAAGGCCCCCCGGTCGCGCGCCATCGCGTCCGCATAAAAGGAAGCAGCGACTGAACGCTCGCCCGCACTGGCTCGCCACATTGTCGCAGCAGCGTACTCCCATAGGTCAAAAACTTTCCAAATTGTTCCAGAGTGCGTAGAGCCTTCTGCCCGGCCCCCTTTCGGGTCCGGCGCTTTGCTCGAGGCTGCCCGCCCTGACAAACCGCGCCGCACCTGCGAGGCGCAGCGTGAAGGCAAGCGCGAAGCAAAATAAAGCGGCCGCGTGGCTCATCTTGTCGGGGTCTAGTCATAAGGCAGCGCGCCCGAGATTAGCCTACCCCCTCCCTATGTCTTGACGCGTGGAGTAGTTTCGCCACTGTCATGTCTGCCTCGCACTGCTCGGGCCCTATTCTATTGCGATCCGTTTGGTGGCAGTCTCGCATGCGCTCCGATTCCCTTCGAGTGAGATGCTATTTTATCGCTAAGCCTAAGCCCATACTTACATAAGAAAACCCTCGCCCCCATTTCCTAAGTCTATACATCGGCACCCGGTTTTCTCTAGTAGGATGGAACTGCGAGCGCCGCAGTGGTCGCTGGCTTGTAATGAGATGAGCCCCAGCATTCAGAAACGCCAGGAGCCCAGCCAGAAAGGTAGACACACAGCCGCGCACACTCTTCACATAGAGTTCCGTCGCCCACGAGATAACCCTAAGCGGAGCGCGCGCACTACTTAGATAGCGCAACTCATCAAGCACAGGGCCGGGCGGGCCGTCTTGGCTTATCAGGTTTGCGGTAGCCTGGTCTGAGCTTCGGCGGATCGTCTTCAATGTCGCAACCTTCAGCCCATCCCATGCCACCCGCCCTCATCCTTTGCCTTTGAGAGAGAACAGAGGCAAGCCTGATATGGAGCGACTGCATTAGAAGAGCATAAGGATGCGCTGTCGTGCCTCTGCATATCTTCGGACTGTCTGTTCGCTTTGTGTCAGTGTCGCAGAATAAAGCAGCGACGCGGGTATTGTCAGTGTCGCAGAATAAAGCAACGACGCGGGTAGCTGACCTTGGCACAATGACACAACCCAGAGCGCCGCGCTTGAAGAACGAGCCGCCAGCGAGGGCTTCAGCTGGAGCTGCGCAACGTGTGGAGGAGCACGCCCGGCGAGAGAGGTCGGCGAATCTGACACATGCGCCAATCGATTCCAGCGAAGAGCGTACAGGCCCGGACGTGTTTGCGAATTGTTTACGCAGTAAAAGCCAAACGGATTCCCTAACGCGCGAAGTTTATTTCGGACGCTTTGGCCTCATGGCAAGAAGTCGCGGCTCACTCGAATGCAACGCAGTACGTTCCAATTTGCCGCCTTCTCTCGCAAAGTTGTACCGCGTTAGAAAACGATAGAAGGAGAGGGCTCGATAGCGTGAGAATTGTGGGGGTGAATCGGTTAACAGACTCGCGGGCGATCGCGGTGATTCGAGTTGTAGGATCCGACTCGCGCCCGATAGTGCGCGCTGCGTGTAGGATGCGCAGCCCCCAATAGATTCGAGCGTTAGAGAAATGGGACCGATGCGGGCAAAAGGCAAAAGCTCTCGCCTAAATTTGTTAAAGCGAATGCCTGCGCTGCTCTAGCATAAGGCTTGGGATAATCGATGTAGCCTTCAACGGAGATCACGAGCTGCAGCTGATCCCACCAATATAATTCACTTTCAACAGGGCCTTGGCCATCTAGAAAGCCGCGCACATATTCTTCGAATTGATTCCAAATGAGCGAAGCTCCCGTAAGAAGACCGTCGATAGTGGTAGTGCTGAGGCCCCCAGGCAGGTGACTAGCAATTTTGTGCCTGTAATCCTTTGCAAAGTTACCCATCTCCTGACGGCCGACGGTAATGCGCGCCTTACCAGAAGGAAATGCGTACGCTCTTGGATCACCTGAGTTCTTCGGTCACATGACGGAGGGATAGAGATTTCATTGTTCCATCACGTACATCCAATGGAGATCAAGCAGCTTCTTTTTTCAAGTACAGCATTTCATCAGGGGAAGGAGTGAGCGAGAAGATTGGATAGAATGAGAAAAACTGCTAACCCTATGAATGATGAAGTCATCACGCTGTTCAAGAAGGGTTGCAACTTTTACGACAGCGTCTGCGTACCGATTAGCTAATACAATAATTCCTGTTAAACCGAAGTTTTGGCTTGTTCCAGCATCTCGTCAACCAAGGCAGAGCACTTCTCGTCAGTACCTTCCTTCGACGCCGACAGCTCTGCCGTCAACTCCAGCTGCTTGGTCTCTCCGTCCAGGAGCTCGGACACTGTGATGCTGGGGTTCTGTAGTAGAGGTGGCGTGGTGGTAGTGGTACCGCTAGCGCTACCGGAGGTTAGTACTAGTCCACCTAGTTCTTGTTTGACATTTTCGCGGCTGATGTCGAGCTCAAAAACGGAATAAACTACATCCACCACATCCGATATTGTCGACTTTCTGGAGATTCGTAGATGTCTGGTCGTGCTCGTGTCGCCGGAAAAACCACGGTGCAGAATGAGTTTGATATCACCAGGCCCAATCGTAATCTGTGCGTTCTTCAGTGTCTGCAATGCATGCAACAGGTCGTCGTTCAATCTTTGCTCCTTCTCCATGTGGTCCTGCACTGCATCGTTCAGTTCCTGTCCGAGATACAACTCAGTCTCCTTCAGTTTCGTCAGTTTCTGCGCCAGGGCGCGGAGATCCTTCTCGCTGGTGTCCACTTCCTTCTTCAATTGTGACGCCGCTGCCCGCAATTTCGATTGATGTGACGCCGTTTCCAGCACAGGATCTGATTCGATTGATATGGGTGCGGATAAAAGATACTACAATGAGTGGGTCTCACGGTGGTCGCGACTTATGCAGCTACATTACGGAGCGTAAACATCGACTCAACAAGTTCAACAGCTCTTCCTTGCTACACCTACATAAGTGACTCGTGACGTCATCAACGAATCTTCATAGTCTAAGGCAAGTCAGATTTTAGCTGTCTGCTGTACCTTGGCTGGAGGCGATCGGTTTCGGGTCACTGCGGACTGCAGCTGCAGCTTTGCGGGAGCCGGTCTGCATCTGCTTCGGCAACGCGCTACTCCTTGCTGCAGTATGCTTGACGAGGACGGGTCCTGTAGCACTTCGCCTGATACCGGCATGCGCACCCGATCCAGATTCGATAAGTGCCGTCGGTTGGACCTCCCTCGGCTCGCCGTCCCAGTCCACCACAGCCTTCTTCTCCTGCTGGCGAGTAATACCGCGACAAGGGGGGAAGAGCACCAACAGAACGCACATGTATGCCCAGCAACTTATGCGCGGCAACGTCATCATTTTCTTCGTGTGGGAACTCTATCTTCAGATCTTCAGAATCTCTAGTATCCCATACAACAAGGACTCACTCCACCTATCAACGATAAAAGCAACTCCTGGAAGCCCTCATGCCAACAGTGCATGTTGATCGTCCATCGTCTAGTAGAAGGAGCGTCAACATTATAGAGATCATCCTGGTTGCTGATCACCTTGACGGGCGCCAACTGAGCGTGAGTGTGAGAGTCCCCACTTTCGCCGTGCACAATTCCCGACTCTGAACACTGTCATCATCCATCCTGTCCAAAAAGAGAGCCATAGTTCGGATACGACCACGCAGGCACCATCCACCCATGGTCTAACTAGGTGTAGGCTTTTCATGTTCTAGTCAGCCCGGGCGGCCCTTTTTGTATTCATCTGCATACGTGATCGATGCGCAAGCTGTGTAGAACAGAGCAGCAAGCTGTGGGAAGCGAATGGCAATGCTTGACAAAACGAGTCTTCGCCTGAGAATGATTTTAGAAGATTTGGAAAAAGATATAGAGCCATGGTCTTTCTTCAAAATTCGTTATCTCGCATAGATGCCTGTTCTCCGAAAACTCCACAAAGATCCTGGTAGACATCGACATGTAGGAGGGTTGTAGTCAACTATACTCCTTTCTCGTTCTCCAACATGTCTCCACTTCACTTCTCCAACATGTCTTCCAAAAGTCCTTCGATGTTGTTTCAATATGTCCGTCTCCTCCAGAAGGGAAGCAAATTAGCCTTCTTTAGAGCCGTCTGATATGACGCGGAGCGCCTGCAGCTCAATAACTTAGAAGACTCACGTGCTGACTCTCAAATCCGCAGCCTTCATGTTATGCAGTACTTCTGCCATCGCCAGCGTTGAAGCCTCCACTTTTTCTATCGGGTTAATGTTGTCCTGGATCAGCGTATCAACGCGACTTTTGTCGAAGCAGTGCGTTGCAGCGACAATGACATGCAGTTCGCAGTTGGTAATGGGAAGCGCGCCACTCTTCGTCAAAGCGTCTAATAGATCGAACGCGCGCGCTTTTTCGTCCTCCATTCCTTTGGTGCCTTCTTCTAAAGTGTCCGTCTGAGGCGTCTGATTCAGGAAAAAGCTCTTCGGAGCGGTCTTGCGCCACTTATTTCCCGCTGAAATGATCGTAGGACGCACAACACCTCCTAGTTGTTCACGTAGTGAACCTTTCTTAGATCCTGAACCTGATCCACCTCCTGCAAGAACAGCATCTAAATTCTTCTCCAACTGGCTTGGCAACAGCGTGTAGTCCGAATGCACTCGCTGCTTATTCTTCTGGATCTGGAGACTGGCCAATATTTCTTGTTCCTCCTTCTTTGCTGTTGTGCTAGAAGAACTTGCGATGCCTGAAGATTTCGAGGCTTGCTGTTGCGCTGAAGTAGATGCTAAGCCCTCACTTTCAAGATCGAGCTGCTCAAACCGTTTTTTCATCTGCTCCGTCGTCTGGTCTTGTACTAGTTTCTGCGTCTCACTAGAACCGAGTACACCACTAGCGGCTGCTGTAGTTTGAGCTACAGCATTCGTAGTGGAGATCACAGCTGACGCATCCGGAGCAGTGCTGACCGCAACCACAGCAGACGGCTCTGCTGGAGCAGCTGCAACTGATTTCCAAGCGCGAGGACTTCTAGAACGACTTCCAGTGGTACTGGTAGCCTCTGCTGCTGCAGTTGATGTTAATCCAGTAGTTGCAGACAAAAGTTGCCCGCCACCACCTCCACGCTTTCGAGTTTTAGGGGCCCGAGTTGATGCTAATCTAGTAGTTGCAGAAAAAAGTTGTCCGCCACCACATCCAGATCCAGGTCCGCAACCAGTAAGCATACTGTCATCACTTTCATCGGAGTGCGCTCCACGACCTGGCTGTGCTGTAGTACTACTTTTAGAGGGAGGGCCTTGGTGTTTTTGTTTCCCGTTTAACGGTATTGAGGCCATTCAGCGACCTTGTATCTTTATCACGTAGAAATAGTTTACGCGTTGTTATTGCTCTTCTTTTTAATAAAACTAGAACTACTAAGATGCAGTGTCCCTTTTGCATGATGATGCGAATCTACTCGCCGGCAATGTTCCCTTTACATACTTGAATAAAAGACTTAACTCTCGCCAGGTTGGACCCGCCGAATGAGAATGTTGACTGCGGTCGTTGCCTCAGCTCCTCCTCCTCTACTTCGTCTAATTGGCCTTTCTTGATAACATCCAGCACATTCTGGACATTCTTTTTTACTTCTGCTATCAGCTTTCGGTCACGTCCAAGAGCAGAGGACTTCGAGCAGTCGTCTCTTCGCTTACGAAGGTCTCCTGCTCCAGTCTCATCATCTTCAACAAGAAGCACGCCATGGCTGTCCTCTTCCTCATCCTCTGCCGAGTCTTCCAATTTTTGTCCAGATGAAGTCAGCAAGTCGGTTGGGATATCCTTAGACTCGGTTTTCTTGATTCATCTCGGTCCCCTCATCATTTCGCCGGCCTCCTTGTTTCCCAGGAACAAATACAAAGGAAAAGGGCTGCACCAAAATGCTGAGAAGGATGGATATTATCCAAAGCTGAACATAATATGGTACTTCACAAAAAGCTGCATCAAGCTCTGCGTCAGTCGGATCTCTTTGGTCAGGCTGTCCGCTGGGAGGGTCGTTAGAGATGTGAGTTTCTATGCGTAATCTCTTGTCCTCACTGAAGCCGACACGAAACAAGAACGGTTTTCCGTTACTGGCGTTCTTGGTTAAGACCAAGACTGACGGTGAGTGGTGGTGGGATGAGAAGCTTACATATGTTGAGTATCATTATCAATGTGATTACAATCTAAATTCAGTGAGCAACTCGCTCAGCATCAAAGATAGTAGCGATAGTGGGACTTAGAAGAGATGAGACGAGATTCTGGAAGTTCAATATGTACGACCGCAGCTGCAGCAGCTCACGACCGGCTGGTAATGATAATCCTAGAAGTAGAACAAGATGTAGGTCTACTAGTTCTGATGATCCACGTAATCAACATCGAGCCAAATATGCCTGCACTGATACTCCTGACAGGCCATCCATCTACTTCAAGATATTCATACCGCCCTACTGCATAAGCTGATACTGATAGATGTAAGTAGAAGTGATAAGCTGACACTGGTACTGACAGTCGAGTCTTAAATTCAGACACTGCTCCAGTTGTGGCTTGACTTGGATCGTGAGCACACCGAATAGCGTGCTCTGCAATTGCATTTGTCGAAAAGCTTTCGCGAAGTTTTGTTGCTGCTCGGACAGACTCTCAATTGCGTCACGAAAGTCGGTCGCAGTGGGGATCATCGCCAGTTTCAGAGGGATCTCCAGTTCCGCTTTGTTTTGCGCCAGGGTATGAGTGTCGTTTATGTTTTTTCCATTTACTTACGCAGACCACCCTGGCAGTATTTTTCCTTTTTGAAATGAGTCCCAGGATGGTCGTAAGGATGGAAAAACCGTCATCCATACAAGGCAGCATGCGTCGGCTCGAACTCGGTCGCGGATTTGATACGCCCAAGAAGAACAATGACGTGCGAAAACTGCCTGGCGCGAATAGACAAAGCGTACTGGGGGGAACTGTGATGCACAAGGTCGTCGGATCTAGATGTTTTAGAAGAGGACTGGTTGTCCCCAGCTCTATTCCATCCGAAATCGTGGACAAGCCAAAAATGTAGATAACGATCTCCAAAAAACTTGATTTCCGTACTGGCACCGACCAAGAAACTCATCTCCGAGGTGAGCTCTTCTTGATTCATCTGAAGACGTGACTCGGTACGGATCGCGTTTGATGCAACTAAGCTGCTTGTCATGGTATAGACCGGAGTGATGTTACTACTTCCAGTATATCCTCCTGCTCCGCCTCGACCTCCAGGTTGGAATAACCCAAACGAGGACCTTCCACCAGCATCTACGCTTCCATCGCTGGTCATCATCTTCAGTTCCAACGCAGCTTCTGGTGAGTGACGTGGAGTGCGACGCTGGACGTAGCTGAAACCACGCGGCTCGTGCTCCTTGTTGCGAGAATTAGACCAAAAATAATGCGTAGTTCTTTTTTAGACAGTAGCGGATTTAATGTGAATCTAAAATATATCAAGCTTCATTTCTTGGGTTCATTTCTTCGGAATCTGAAATCCAGGAAAGAAACCGATTTTAAAAATGACCGCTGGCAAAGGAAATGATCATCATCTTGAGCCTTAAGAAAAAGTCTCCCTGTTGTCAGATGAAATTTCATGTAATCCGAAAAGTCCTTGGCTTCTAGATGTCTGCCGATAGCATCCCGCAAGCGAGAACGCAGCAACGCCTCCAAATAGTCAACGGACAGAGCCCAAGCTTCACAGGTTTTCTCAATATGCAGTAAAAGAGAATAAGCGAAGGCGGATTTAGCATCTCCGAGGGGTTTTTGCATCATCAACATGTTGTTCTGTTCCACGCGAGGACTCGTCGAAGAAGAAGAAGGACCAGCGGCCGCATCCACATTCAATATACTCGAGTCAAACAAGGCTTTCTTCAACATGCGCAGATGCCGTTTCTCCATCTGCAGCAGTTTAGCGGCTTGCCCAGCTGCCTGAACCACTAAGAGGTTTTCACTTCCGTCACCGTCTTCCTCAACATGATCGCCCATCTTTGTTGTTCCTGCACTTGCATCGGACGAAATTTAGAGGCTTCTTTGATGACACTGACATAGTGCGAGCTTCTATGATCCCCCCCGCTTAGATCTGCCTTCTGATGTATAGCAACTTCGTTATTTACGTGATAGGACAACTTTGTGCAACCGGCCGTAGGAAGGTTCCAGCATCTTATTATCCTCCTCGACCAGCAACGGCATAAGGCCACAATCTTCCAGCCAGTTTGCTTTCATCGCTTCCGCGATGGTAGCCTGAAATTGGGGCCACGTCATTGGTTTCCGATGCTTTCCTCGCGTTCTCGAATTCGTATATTAGAGATGGCGTTATTAAATAGCGGCGACATGGTGTTAGCTTCCAAGTACCCACGTTAGAGTTAGTAGTTCGGTCTTTCTCCAAGATTCGATAGAGAGGCAGAACAAACGTTATTTGTTTCTCTACCTTTACGTAAGAATGAGACTTAGTTGTAGATGCCTAAATTATAAAGCAAGAAAACAAACTACAGACCTTACAACCACCTGGAAGAACACCATGATGAAAAATCTACGAGTATATGTATAATGATCATAAGTTGTATTGGCAGATGCCTGAGGATCTTCAATCAGTGCCTCCATGGAGGAGGAGCCTTTCGAACCCAGAGAGTACGCGATCAGTCCGCCAATCTGCCTGTGCACGCCTTGCACCCATTTAAGCAACCTCTGAAACGCTCTCATGCCCTCCTCTACGTCAGGGTTGCGACGTGGAGTATGACAACTGGGATGCGAGCGGTCAATTGACCATTTTGTAGAAGTGTCTTCTCGGAGAAGAGAAGCATACTTCAGGAAAAAGGTCAGATCCAGAGGCTTGATTCCTGCGTCTGATAACACCCGATCGTCGTGTGGCTGGTTCTTCGATGCAGTTTTCAAAATGCTCTCACCCGTCTTGCGCATGAGAACAAGAACAGTCTTATTTTCATTCTTGGATGAGGAAGCTGTTCTTGCTCCTGTGTCTGCTGCTGCTGCTGCTGCTCCTCTGGGAGGTACGAAGGAGGCACTACCAAGAGGCGCGGCTCGCTGTTGATCATCTCCCGAAGCCTTGCCTTCCCCGTCATGATCTTCCTGGTCATGATCCATTTCGCCTTCATTTGTTCCTTCAGTGAATGACGAAGCGCTGCCAGGGTCTGCGGTTGTGCTTGTGCTGTCGACTCTTTCAGCTACGATTTCGAATTTCGTATGTAGTTTCCAAAAGTAGTCAGTCACGGTGGTCACCGTCGAGAGGGTTGATGTGGTCTTTTTCCCGCCAGAGAAGCCACCTTGGGTCTCTTCTTCCTGTACGATCTTGGTCTTGCTCGCGCTTTCCTCCTCACGTTTTTCCTTGCGTAAGTAGCTGCAACTCATCGCCCGCCGAAATCGCAACACCACCTTGGATGCTTTTTGCTGTTCTCCTGTAGCAGATGCAGATGATAGCGTCAAAGTTGTGTTCGAGCCTTGTTCTTGTAATGCACACAACTGAGCTAGAATCTTTTCAACATCGAGGGGACCTTGTCCAGCAGAAGTTGTTGCTTTTCCTCGATTCATCCCATGATCCCCGTTATCTTGACCACCGTTAACTACTGCATCAGATTCACGACCACTTCCTGCACCAGGATTTTTCAAGTCACCGTCCCTCTTGTTTTTGTCGTCAAACTCCTCCTCAACGCACCCCATAGCTCGGAGTTCGCACAAGGCGTTCAAAACTGACACAAGTGCTGCATTAGTCCATGTCTCCGCCAATCGAAAGGTGTCTGCAAACGAATGCGGCGCGTCAGCGAGGAAACAGGGCTCGCGGGCTTCATTTAGCACCAACTTGGCAGCGTCCAGAGCCTTTTCCAGTCTGGTGTGAAACTGGTAAATTTCCATATACGCCGACTGGCTTTCGCCAAAACGTCCCATTTTTTTTGTTTCTGTTAGTTGTAGTTAGGGATATGGTTGAAATTGGATTTAATTGATTCTGTACTTGTCATGTAGGTAGGTATCGCGAAGATGTTATTTGAGGGAGATGACGTGCTGGGTGTGTTTATCTGAAAGAAGTTAGACACTATACCTATAATTTGTTCAAATAATACCAAATACCAATCTCGTTACTTGTACTAAAACTTTAGGCTGCTTTTGGAATTCGCTCATGAATTCTGAGGAAAGTTAGCGCATGAATTCTGAGGAAAGATAGCGCATCTCACAAAGCGAGGAACTTGCACTATGACGCGCGCCGGCCTCGCTTGCGTTAATCATTTCATTACTCAATAATGTCGCGAAATTGGTGCTCTCTCTTCCTTGGCCTTCATTCCTTAACTCTTACTTTCACTGCCGTGAGGCCGTGCGACTCTCGTGTTGTGTTCTCGCGTGTCTCTCAAGAGAGGCGCATCTCTCAGCAGAGGCGTATTCCACCTTCTGGACGCTCTTAGGAGCAGATCCTTAGAATCTCTCAACAGAAGCCGAATTGTGCATCGAGTCACTCGCACTACGATTGATGATAGTCGGACGATATCACTCGTCTTCTGTTACTTGTGTAGAGTCAATTATAACTCGCGTGAACCATCAAAGCCTGGCAAAGGTGTGTCTCTATCTGTCTATTCAAAAAGTAGGTCACACACATGATCACAATGACTCAAGATTACATCCACACCTCGGCAGCTGCCCCGTCATCGCCCCCAGCTCCTGCTCCATGATTTCCATGCTCCTTGCGCGTTCCATCATCCGGCAGCCACTCTTTTATTCTGTCTTGTTTTTCCAGCAAATCGAACATTCTTTCCAGAAAACCTTGCAAACGAAAGCCACCCCTTGCTATCCGCTCGTCTGAGGTCTGTCGAGCTTTTTCCAAGTAGCTGTCAGATACAAGATCGTTCTCGATGATGCTAGAATTAGATGAAGTAGAGATAGAAATCAATTTAAGTAGAAAATCAACTTGTTGAAACTAGTACTTGTTGAAGACTAGTAAAATGTTGACAGATCATGATTTGCAAGAATAAAAAATGACCAAATTATCATGATGATTGTGCTCTTTCGAGTCTAATCATGTGCAGCCATAACATTTCCATATGCAACCGACTGCGCCAAAGCTGTTGACTCTTTCCGCATTTGAATAAAAAGTGCCACAGGTTTTCCTTTCTTCATCGCATCAACCTCCGAGCCATATTGCACTTCGTAAGTGCTGCGGAGACGCTGTGGTGTGAGGTAGTGACGAGAAGAAACGTTCCTTCGAAGAAATTGTGTTCCTCAAATTGTGTTCCTCAACTTCTTCATGCTCATCATTTCTCATCTTTCGCTTCATCTACCCTTAAGGGTACGAAACTCTACAACCTCCCTTCTTCTTGTTCTTGAGTTGAAGTCGCCAGTTTAATCAATCCCAATTCAAATAACAATGAGTACCTTCGCTTCCTCCGCCACGAAGATCTCCATCGTCGCATTTAATGGCCAGTTTGGGCCTGCTGCGTAGGTGCCGCCAGCCAGATCCCACAAAAGGTGTAGCTCAGCCACGAAATCGGCATGGCCTTCAAACTCGTTGCGAATATTGGTTTGAATCTTGAACAAATTCCCACCCATATCTCCTTCAGGATGCGCAGCGCTACAGCCAGTAGCCGCATGCAGCGGTTGATGGACGTCGCCAAGAAAATGAATCTGAGATGAGTAGATAGGGGTCTTTGAGCAAGTTGTGCGTCGTGGTAGTTTATCTTGATTCTCTTCGATAAAAGTATCAGAATTCACAAGCGGGACTAGGAGTGCCAGAAGAACTTCCACCAAGAATCTATCTCGTAGTACTACTATCAACAAAGCCAAGAATCTTTTAGTCAAGTAGTGGTACGAGCGACCGCATCCAATAGGCTTGCTGAAATCTCGATATTGCTGGATCGTTCCACTTCGACACCTCGCCTGTGATCGCATAATAGGCTGACGTCAAACCAAAAATGACATCTTGAACTACTGGGCTCGGACCTCCTTGACCTCCACGAGCAGTACTTGTAATACCAGTATGAGCATCAACCTCGAGAATATTAGCTGCTGTCTCCATAGCACTTCTTGCTTGTCGTTTTCTCGTCCTCTTGGTCCACGGCGCGGCTTCTTGGTTATCCCTCACGACTAAACTGCGACGACTGGACAGCAAGTTTTGTCCCAAAGTGGTTGCAGGAAGCGTTGACGTTTTTGAGTGGTCACCATGTTGATCTCCATCAGTATCTCCACTGCCATCTCCTTCTTTCCGACTAAAACTATCGACACTGAGTTTTTTCAGCAGCTTCTCGTCTCGAACATCACTGCTACTCCCATCCGTCGGTAACTTGCATTGGTCGTCAAGCTTGACGATGGAATCCGCATAGTGCCAGCCCTTCTGGAAATGAAATGCCATATCGATATTATCCTCCCAGCTTGCGACGCCCGACTATTAGAAGTAGATCAGGAGAGCGAAGTGGAAGAGGAGGACGAATCAATGCACTTAGCAGAAGTAGCACTCAGCAGAAGTAGTCACTAGATGAACTTGAGCACAGTACTGGCTGAAGAGCTTGAACATCATGAAGTAGGACAAATTGTAAAGATTAGACTTTTTAGAAGTATACTAAAAGCAACATATGCCATTCTGATGAATGATGAGCTTCTACAACAACGACTGCCCTAACACAAAGTATCCACTGGCTTGACGAAGTCGCCGGTTCGCGCTGACTTCACCACATCACTGTAGAGCGCGTTGGTGATGTTGTGGAAGAATGCGAGTTTCCTGCTGTCCAACCCATCTGCTGCCATCCGTGCGATGATCATATGCCCTGAGTCTGTCCATGCTTCAATTAAAGGCTGAAGCATTTCGTTTTTTTAGTAGCCATTTCAAGTAGAGAAGGCTTGTAAAAATGAAACGTTTCAACCCTTAACTCAACACCCACGTATTGTTGATCAGGTCGTCCAACGAGGTTAGTTACAAGCGCGGCCAGTAGAGACGCGAGGCCTTGTCTTGAGGTTTTGGTCCGTGATTTATGGTCCCTCATTCGCTGACGCCTATGCATCTTCGAGGGAATCGCGCGTGTGATGTCGGATGACAAGAGCGCTTTTCTTTTCTGGCATCTCTGACGTCTTGCTGTTGCCTCGTTTGCCGTCTGTCGTGCGAGACAACGGGCATTCCGTGCCGGTTCCGAGGCACACTCGGGGGGATGTTCGGAACATGACATGTTAATTTTTGACTCCAAAAGTGGAACCCTCATTTTTTAGGTGATGATCTGTTCTATTATTACAAGTCGCATTGAGGACGATCAGGCCTTTTCCTTCGACTTTAATCGTTTCCGTTTGTGTGATCTTTTCAAAGTCTCTTTTTTGATGTCGAACTAAGTTGATTACGTTGATTACTTCTACATTTGCGAAGCCGCGATCTGAAAAGAACTTCTACTTTTGATGCTACAGCGATGCTCGTTGTAGATTATACCGGATCAAATCCAAAGTACTGCTTTCATACTGCTGCTCGTATCATGCATCTCTCGTGTACTGAAAAAACTGTCGCGGCTCGTCCTCGTGGTCGTGATCACTCGTGATGGATGATTTACAAAATACTAGACAGAGATATTAACACCGCAAACGTGTTACCCTGCTAATCATCAAGGGTGCGTAGGAGGAGCACCCTCTTGTGCCTGTAGTTGCGGTCTGTGTCTGTTCCACTTACATCAAGTTGACGGCCATTCTTTCAAGAAAAGGTACGCAGCTTGAGCTTGTTGATGATAGGAAAAAGAGTCATTTTGAAGACAGTGTTTTCGTCCAGCACGCTTGAAGACTAGTCCCCGTCAGCAGTTTTCAACAAGGTTATTCATTCTCAACTACCACCAATCATCCCGAGAAGAACGAACAACAATTGTTGGATCATTCAACCTCCTCGGCCTCCTCCTGGCGACAACAAACCACCGCCCCAAGAAGATGATTATAGTTGTAAGAATGAACCAACCCCCCCTTTCACGTGAACGTCCACGTCACGACACCTGAACAAAGACCTTCATCTATTTCGGAACTGGATTGCTCTTGTAGCCTCCCTGGCCGTACGCTTTACCTGCTTCGATCGCTGCCGCATTATCTCGTAGGATCCCATAGTAGCTCGAGACGAATTTGAACGCCAAGCCCCCGACTACAAGGGGAGCTAATGCTCCGAGGCTGCCGGCACGGTGTCGGTAGTAAAATCGACCAAACGATTTGTAGAACTCCGATGTGAACGACGAGGTCGTCGAGGAGAGAGGACTTCTACAAGGATTAGGATACGACTAGCAAAGAAGCAGACCACGGGTTCTGGTGATGATATTCGAGCTGATTACCAAACTTAGTAGAAAGATGTAGAAGATCTAGGCGATAAACAGTAAGTAGTGCCTATATCTTGCAACTACCTTCCCTTTCATAGTGTTCTGGTGTCAGCTCTGGAATTTTGCATGGGCTTCTGCGAAAGGAACATCTTTCGACTCCTTCCCGATGTTGGTCCAGTATTTCACGCCAATCGAGTGCGGTTCCAATGAGAACGACATTTTTTCTGAAAAATGAACAGTTGTAGTTCGATAAGCACAAGACGGGACTTCATCTTAGTTTATTGATGTAGAAGTAGTGCAACGACCTACTCGTAGTCGTACGCAGTCAAAGAGAAGAAGCAAATTATTTCATCAAGGAGGATATGGATATCATGTAGAAGCATCTAGATTTTTCGCTCCTGTGACAAAAACAAACTACCCACTCGGTCCTTCTACATCATCTTACTTTTACTGTCACTCTCTGGTTAGCCTCGCCGTGACGGCGGTATACATGCGACAGGAGACTTGGCTGCGAGGTATCTCTCTTGTTGTGCGTCGCGATTGTGTGGTGGTGAGTGTGTCTTTGTGTCATCGAAGTGTCAAGTTCACGGATGTAGGCGCGAGACCTTCTCAAATAGAAACCCCATCTAGCTTGAAAAGTTTTTCTAGATTCAATATGCTGACTCTGCAGCCTCGGGCTCAGCTCCAGCTGCGCTGGCTTCTTTAAGAGTCAATATTTACAAGACAGCGCGATTTATTATATGTGAACCGTGGACGACTGGCAAAATGCCACTTCTTCATCTAGACCACTGAGTATTACATACAGGTAGAAGATGCTGTAGTTCCTGTTGTACACTCATCTTGTAGCGATTTCGATTAGAGTTCGGCTTCGCTAGCACTTATTCTGCGCTGCAACTCCTGAATGAGCTTTGGATGCATGATGCCCACTTGAAATTTGAAAATCGGCTTCGGCCCAGTCACTTGCAAGCTCAAGTCCTGACAGTCGTCGTACGCCGTAACGGTCCCTGACTCGGGTGTCAGCGATTCACGCCTGTTAGCAACGGTCTGGCGCAGCATGGATGAGGTCGTGGAGTCTCCTTCGCTTGAAGATGATGTGCTAGGAGAGCTCTTCGCCTTTGGTCTTGATGATGAATCCACTGCTTTGTGCATCTGTCGGATTTTATCATCCAAAACTTTACTACTCCCACCGCCAAACTGTTCTTGTGTGTTCACTGGGGTCTCCGAATAAAAAGCCCCAGAGGTGAATGGCAGGAGAAGTGGGTTGTCGACTAGCTGTTTCTGGACAAAGGTAGACAGTTCTTTGCTCTGCTCACTGCGCAGCAAAAGGTCTAGATTGATCCTGGTGTTGCTGCCACCACTATGGACTCCTACTGTGGTGTTAGGAAGAAACAGCTGGAACGAAATCTCTTCGTTGTTGGCTAAGAAGTAGTAGTCGCGCAATTTTCCACCTGGTCCGTTAGAGGGGAAGGGCGGACGGAGTGTGCGTATCCCCGATCATGATCATGCCGTTCCTGACATCCGTTGTAGAGATTAGTTCTGAAAGGGTGCATGACCACTAAGTCAAGACGCTAGCAGTACAGGTCGAACCATGACGGTTAGGGGGATGATCAGAAATCGATTAAGTATAGTTCTTCACGTTTACCCAGCTACCAAGTCCTACCAAGTCATCAGTTCCACTCCACGAGTGATCAATACAAAATTGAAACTCGCCTTAAGCAAAGCATCTGCAAAAATCGAACATGCGTTCAGATCCTGCACAGCACTGCCTCCCTTGCTGGATGGTCTTTTATTTTTCTTCGTGCGTATACGCGGCTCTTCTAGTGGTTGAAGATGTGTCTGCTCCGAACAGTAGGTCGGGTTCCAGCCTAGTTCGCCGTTGTACAGCACGAATTTCAGCCACGCACCACTCTGCGTTGCCGCAACATGGAAAAACGTATTGCGATTGAACTTCTGTTCTTGCTGTGCGAGATCGGAGGCGTCCTCCTCACTACCTGAAGATGATCCTGAGCTTCCTAGTTGTTTACTCCTTTCGAATCCAAAGTTTCCGTTGGCGATGCGTTTCTCGTTACTCATCTTCACCATGCGCGCAAACTGTGCGTTTTGCAATGATGAGGGAGCGCCTGTCCTAGAAGTGCTGGCAGCTGCGTCGAGACGATCCTGTTCACTCTGGTCCATCCTGCCGCGTCCACTCGAGGAGTCAGATCCTTTTCCTTGCTTTAGAAGAGGTTGTTGTTGTAGCCAAACCTAGTACAAAAATCACGAACGAGATCAATCCTGTTGTCAATCATCTCATCAATTTAGTTTACTTATTCAGAGGTAGCTTCATATCCACGGAATTGTTGCTGTTCCCCACACCACATCAAGATACTTCATAACTTCCTCCCCTTTCCGCCTTTTCCGACGGCAACATCACCAGCACCACCGTCCACCTCGGTTTTGCGTTGGTCAAGGAGGGCTTCAACACTCGGATACTTCAACGCCGCATCTGACAGCACACTGGCTTCGCTCAAGAGAGAACTCAGCAAGCCAAGAGGATCCATCAACACTCGCTTGAGGTCTTGTTCTAGCAACGGTCGGCTCTTTTCGATCAAGTCGGATCCGATTAGCAAAGTAGCTAGATAGGGGGGATAAAAAGCAAGAATAAAGGTCGTAAATTTCAACGAACTAGAAAAACTATGCTGTAGTTAGAAGACCAAGACATCAAAACAAACACTTCTACGGCGCACTTACTTCATTCTCTTTGAAGACGAGGATGTGAAAAGAAACTAACACAATTATAGCCATATCAAACCAACCAAATCAGGCCCTCGACGGTCCCACATTCCCCCAGAGCGTGCGCCTGAACTACCCGCAGAAGAACTCGATAGAAATGGCAAGTAGACTTCACAGGTCTGAAAGTAGCTCTGCCAAGCGGCCAAACCCTGCACCATGGCCCGCTCATAGAGCTCCGTTGCCTCATCCTCCGCGTCTATGAACTTGTAGATGCCGAGAGACGTTGCGACGCATCCACTCGCGGTTCCGAGAATGGAATCTAAGCAACAAACTTCCTGTTGGTGCTGGAGTTGAAGGGATTGATCGGAAGAAGACGATGATGAAGATGATGTTGAGAATGCGCCACTCCTTGAAGACGTACTTGCATGATCTTGTTCCTTTTTCTTAGCAACATGGTGATTTGCTTTTTTCCCTGTTCCTTTCAGAGAACTGACCGTGCTAATCGCCGCAGCAACGTTTCGAACATCACCTTCATCTCCTCCTACGACATCAAGTTCTTTGGAAGAGCTACTGCTTTTCCTCTTGTTCTTGGAAGAGTTAGGATTTTCATCTCCATTCGCAAGCCCCGAACTAGACTCCCGATCAGCATGTTGCATCAACGCAGCGCAACTGCTGGAGAAGCCAATACTCGCATAGATCTCCGCTCGTAGCTGCATGAACTCTCGTCGCGAACGAAACTCAGGACTGACCTCGATGGACAACGCAGAATACAGCTCCTCCAACTGCGCAATCCAGGTACCGGGTGCAGCGGCTGAAGGACGGCCTCTAGGAGAAGATGAAGTTGTGGCACCGTCAACAGCCACTTCAGAGGCAGACGACGAGTCTGAAACTTCTATTAAAGCTCAGCATTCAGTGGCCACTGACTCCGAACGGAAGCGACCACCTTCTTTCCCTTCGTTTTCCCCTGTTCTCTCAAGGGGTCGCCTCTTCGATCTCAGTGACCAACCCCAATGACCATTGAAAGTTGAGCCTTAATTCTAGTACTCCTCCCTGCTCTCCGCCCTCGTCTATTCCTCCAAGTCCCTCTAAATCAGCTGGTTCTTTTCTCAGCAGAGAGTTAAACAGTTGCCGCAATTTCGCCAGAGCTAACACGTAGTACCCAAGACGATGCTCCCCACCAAACACTGTCCGCACAGCAAGAAACTCTTGCAACGCTAAGGACGCCGACAGAAAGTACGGATGGTGCCGCACACTATGCGGATACACGATCACCTCACACAAGGTGAGGACTGCGGGTTCTTGATGCTTAGAGGTCGTTAGTGTGGATGGAGATGAAGTTCATGATTACTCCTGTAATGAAATCGTATCTGTGGATGGAGATGTTGAAGTTCATGATTACTGTAATGAAATCGGATCAACATTACTACCAGTCTCACAGAACAGGAGTACTTAGCCAACACAAAATGAAAATCCTGCATCCCTAATTTTCGTGATCACGATAGCTAGGTACTGTCCTTCTATTCCACCACAGTCGACAACAGCCCACTTTCCTGCACCTGGATTAGTACCACGTCCGCACACAGTGTATGAACCTATAGCAGAAGATGCTGAGGCAGAGTTTGTAGGCTTAAACCTGCCAAGGTTCCGATCGTCGCCAATGCGAACTTCAAACTCCGATAACCGTTCTGCAGCTTCTAATCGGTTAAGGATGTGAACCTCGCCTATGGGCAGCTGTGTTTCCAACTGCACGGACCACCAAGGATGCATTTCGCCGTGGGGATCTGTAGTAATGGCTGGTAGAGAAGGCGACATGAAGAAGTGGAGAGGGTCGCTCTCGTAGTTGCACTTGCTACTGACGTTCTTCAGCACTACTTACACGGAGGAAGCATTATATTTTGTTGAAAAATTTCATCAAATCATGTAGACGAGTTGAAGAAAGTAGAACCAGTATGCGTGCAGGAGTTTTGTGACCATGCACTTGCTTCTGCTCTTCCATCCACAGCGCGTGACGCTTCCCCGCCCCCAACGCGGACACTGCTCTGCTGTGCGGTTGCCGCCTTGAGCATCGACAAACTATTTTCATTCTTAAAAGCTTGCCAAAAACTCGTATGCCGCTTCTGCTTGATAGCAGAATTGGCAATGATCTCTGTTTCGGTAGCCAAACGCTCTCTCGCCTCTGCCGGATCCACTAGAGAATCCAGCGTTTGCTGAAAAGCGATATTCAGGTCGGGAGCGACCTTTTCGTCGTCACGTCCAGACAGCGAGAAAGGAAGAACCGTTGAAGTTCTTGCGTCTCCAGACAGCGAGAAAGGAAGAACCGTTGAAGTTCTTGCGTCAATTGTTGTTGATATGTCCTGCTGTGCGAAGGCAAGAGGACCAAGCAGTTTCAGCATAATTATTAAGGAACAACTCATCATGGAATTAATATAACCCAGCATCGTCTTGTTCCTGTGAGTACTACCAGTAAACGGCAGGGAGCACGTTCTCGCGCCGCCCGCATGAGTGCCACGTCGAGACGAGTCCTTCATTTTTTTTCCTCTCTGAACTGTACTTATAGTATGGACGATTTCACATGATGTAGTTAGAAATAGACTAGGATGGACAGTTAATAAGGAAGGCGAAACGTCCTCTGAGTGGAAGTAGAAGTCCGATTCGTGGTTAGTAGAGGATTCAAACTGCAGTTCACCAATCTCTCAGATAATATCCTCGCTCAAATAATATTCTCAGTCTCTCGAACGTGTTTGGCATGCGCGTTTGATAGAAGTGGTGGAGCCAGCCTAACTAGAAAAGGATGCTTGTTTGATAGAAGTGGTGGAGCCAGCCTAAGTAGAAAAAAACAAAAGGATGCTCGTTTAGGTCTGTTTACGAAGCAAGTAGCTGTCCCCGCGGCAATCACTGCAGTGTGCAGTGTCTATTATTTTTCGTCCCTACTATTATAACATCACGTTTTCCGTCATTCCCTTTTTGCAAAGAAATCTTTGGAGAAAAACATGAACATAGAGCTTTCCTTTGTCTTTGTGTAGAAAGGGCATGAGGATACTTACACACCGCCTGCATGTGCGTAAAGGTAAACTATGAAATTGAAAAGTACTTTGGACTTGGACTACGGGCTTATGTTGAAGCAAAAAACTGTTGTCGTGATCGAGTCGAGTCATTAGATGTAAAATACAAACACGCTCCTGCGTTGAGAAGAGGACGATCATCGGATAGTCAACTCGTGGTATTAAGCGTCTCTATTCCTGGTAACAGATTTGTGACAGGTACACGACTACTACATCTTCATACACTTCCTTCTAAAATAATTCTCATCCTATGGAAATGGAACTATACTCAGAACTCCGGTCTTCCACGCATTTCGTGATCGCTCGTGTGCAGTGGCGGATGCTTTAGCATCTTTCCTCCTGAGCTCTTCCTGCCTCTCGCTGACATAGCAGCTGCGGAAAGGTCGGCAAAACTAGTACTGCTGCTTGTAGTGCTAGTGTCGAAGGGATAACTGCTTCTTTGTTGTTCTTGGAAAGCTTCTGCCGCAGCCGCCGCGCGTTTTCTCCCTGCGATTTCTTTATCTCTCTCCTTCTGTCTGCCTCTGTAGCTGTGTCTCGGCGCACTGCCTTCTTCGGCTTCCATGTTTCTCCCACCTCTCTTGAGCACCAGATTGGGCAATCGATCTAAATCAACATTCTCCGGTACATCTGGTCGTAGCTTCTGTCCACCCAACAGCGTGATTGCTTTCCGCCTCTTCAATCGGTTCAACTCCGACAAACCACGTTTTTTGATCAGCTTACTATTGTCGCCAGGACTCGTGATTTCGCCAACGATCTCGCCGCCATCGTCATCCTCAATGTGCTGGGCTCTTCGCCTCGGCAACACCTGCATTACACCGGTCTTTTCGTCTTTCGTCAACACGGAGACCGTTTGACTCTCAGTCCTTTCGATGTGCTCGTCAGGGATAAGCGGAATGCCGTAGCCCTTTGGTATCCTGCCTCTCTTTTCCAGGAACTCCATATGCCGTTTCAGCTTCATGCGCTTTTCTAATTCAAATCGTACCTTCTTATTCTCCGGAGACCCTACATTGCGTCTCGGAGGTAGCCCAATTCGCTTTCGGAGCCAGGGATCATTCCCGTATCTGCGCTTCATGTGCGTCAACATAAACTTCCACTTCTCTAATTGCAGAATCTTCCGTATGCTGTTACTCGTGTACTTCATGTCCAGACGAGAAGGATCTTTCGTCAAATCTTGGATTTGTTTCACCAGCGGTAGATCGCCTCGTCGCATGATTGTGGTTACTCGGCCCTCTGCCCCTGCGCGGCCTGTGCGTCCGACCCTATGTAGATAGTCGGCTAAAGTTTGCGGCAAGTCGTACATGATCACATGATTAACGTCGGAAATGTCTAGGCCGCGAGAAGCGAGATTAGTAGCAATCAGCAAGCCAGGCGATGGCTTCTTCATGGGGTCGTTCAACCTGGTGTAACGAGGACTCAAGATGCTACTGCGCAAAGTCCGGACGCTGCCTGCTAAAGGTGCTGGCCCACCTCCTGCATTAATATTTCCAATGCTGGTCGATGTAGTAGAGTCTTTGTTTGACTCGTTGTTTCCGCTCGCGGCTGCGCGTTCCTTCAGACTTGGCAAGTTCTTCAAGTAAGCATCTTCTTTTGAAGCTGAAGATGAGCTTGTCTGAATTGCAGCAGCAGCCCCAGCAGATGAAGACGATGAAGTCGAGCTTGATGTTTCGACACAACTATCTTCAAGCGAAAAGCTGTCACTGAGCTCGTCAATATTTTGGCCGGAAAACGAGCGGATGACTTTCGACCTCTTCCTAGGACCCATTTCACCGTGTAAGACATCGCAGTCCAAGCCCTGTGCCTTCAAATGCTTCTGAATACTGCGACAAGTATGCACCGTGTTCGTGAAGACCAACGTCTTCTGTTTCGTCCAATTCTGGGGGGATTCCGCCAGAATCTCGGTTAGAACGTTCCGTCGGAGCCGGCCACGAGTGGGGACGAAGCATTGGTCGATGTTCTCGGCAACTGTGTGACTGTCATCCGTTACAACGCTATCTACAGGCAAAGCGAGCGACTTCTGTAAAAAATTTGACACCGCGCCTGTCCTCGTTGCGGAACAGAGCACCATCTGTGGTGGACTGGCTTTGCTCATTCGCGCAAGCAACTTGCAGATATCCGCCTCATAGAAGGTGTCGCACAACGTATCCGCTTCATCTAAGACGCAGCTTTCAAGTGCTCGAAAACTCAGGTTTTTCTTCGTCAGATGTATGAGCAAACGATGCGGAGTGCCCACTATCAGATCCACACCTGTGTTGCACAGCATCCTACTTTCCTGCACAAAGGATTGACCGGGACATGCAGCCATGGAACTAACCTCGCTGAAGACACGGACCACTCAAGATTAAAGCATGAGGAGCATGGGGAAGAGAAGGAGGAGTCGTGAAGAGAATGAGAAATTCTAAGTGATTAGTTGTACCTTCATTTTTGAGTGAAGAGAAGAGAAGTTCAAACTTGAGTGAAGAGAAAGAGACTAGTGCCTTCATTATGATTGTCTACAAGTTAGCTACTTTGACATGTAAAAATTATCGAACGCCCAAATCGTTCCAACAACAACATCCACTTCCATACTTGAGAATCTGCAATGCTAACTCCCTCGTTGGAACGACGATGAGGCATCGTGGCTGCGTCACTATCGGGTGGACGTGTGGATCGAACTCCTCTAGCAAATTGTGTATCAATGGTGCCAAGTAGGCCACTGTCTTTCCTGATCCTGTGCCTGCTACTTGGATTAGAAGGGGACAACGGCGAGGTTGGTGCGATTGCGGAAGAGATCATACTGCAGTTTGTAATAAGTAGATTGATTTGTTTCCATATCAATTGGGTGATTATATTTTCTCTATCAGATTGACATGATTGAGGTCGTTGTGTTCGTGCGGGCGTCGTACATGATCATGAAGAAGAAGATGATACTATACATAGTATCTATACTACAAGTACTACAAGAACAAGTAAAAGATCAAAAAACCATCTGGCATAGCAACAGAAGCGACGACTTCCCCTGTGCACCTGCCCACGAAGTTCTTGCGTAGTTGTCCATGACTGATTGGAAAGGGTCCATCCCATTCTCTTCTCCGGGTTTCTTCTTCCGCATCAGCAATCTGGGGATGCAGGACATCTGTATCTTTGTCGGAACGCGGATGCTCATCTTCAACAACGCAGTTTGCACCTCGCGCCGAAGTGGGAATTCTTGAAAACTAGGAAACGGAGATGCTCCACTTGTTTGGACGGCTGGGAGGCCTGCAGAAATCGATGCACCACTTCCATCATCGGATCCCCCTCCTGCTCTCCTTGCCTGCTCTTGCCTCTGTAGATCTCGCCACGAGCCGTTTGACGTTGTGTTAGAGGTACAACCGAGAAGGACAACCCATGTACTATTAGCAGATCTTTTTCTTTTAGCACTTTCCAAGTAGAAGAAGTACAAAATGGCTACTGAAGTACTTAAAAGATGCTATGAGACGAGGTGGGTTCACGGTACTAGCCATAATTGTTTTTTTCCTGAAGGGAGAACGTGGATTGTTTGCTTTTCCTGCGATTTTCATTTTTTGCTCCAAACCACGCAGACAGAGCTTCACATCATGGCCTCTCCAGTTATGCTTGGAAAGGGACACGAAATATCGCCTAGACGAGGTCTGGTGTGCCGACATCTTCAAGAATGCGGTAGCATTTGCTGTGGACGAGGTGAAGGAAAGAAGTGGGTTCATCGTACGTTTGCCGTCATGTCCCGGTTTTCGCTGGACGTGGCCATCGTCCCTGTCAGCTGAATGTCTTCTCCTGCAGCCACTGCTGCTGCTGCTTGTGCCGTAGCCACCCGCCATCAGGCCCACTGCTATACAGCTGCTCCTGCATGGAGCAGCTCCACCGACGAGTAGTCCTACATTTATTCGAGTACTGGGCATCATCGTGATCTTCCCTCACCCTCTGCTCTCTTCTTTTTCATGTGATTTTTAACTCAACACATTGTAGTTTCATCTCCCAGCACTTCATCTAAAAAGTTCTGCCAACATTTCTTTCTAAAACTAAATAGACTTGGAAAAAAAACCTATCCTGGGATCCTTCCAGTCCTCAGACATGCTACTTCGAACCCGTTGTTGTGGTCCCTCAGGGCCGAGCCCTGTTGTTTTCGTGCCGAGGCCGAGCCATGTTGTTTTATCATTTTTTTGCTGTATCATTATAAATTTTTTATAGCGTTTCTTTATTCTGAAGGTTTTCTATTGAGCACGTTTAGTCACGTTAAGCTTGAGGCCAAGGTAATGGGTCTTCAAGATGAGGTCGTGGGTGGGAGTCAACAACATCTACCAATGATGATCATAAGCTGAGCGGCTATTCACCTAAGCAAAGAGTTTCATACTCTAGTGGGCAGCGGCCCTTCAGGAAAAACCTGCAACGTCAGGTGAACGTACCCTGAGAAGGACCACCAATCATGCTCCAAAAAATGATAAAAGAAACAAGAACTACGTGATTGAAACTCCGTCGAGCAGTGCCAACGCTGCAACATATACCTGCGAGTATTGCCTTAAAAAAGAGCTATAATGTGTAGCGCACATATAATGGCGAAGCCCCTTCTAGATCATTCGAGAGCTGAGCTCTTCTCGCTGTCGTGCAAGACTAGAAATCAAAAACGGAAACGACATACTTTCATGAATGCAGCTCTGCGAAGGTGCGCGCTTCTTCACTTCCCGACGCAACATCTTGATCAAGAAAGTCTCCAGGTCACACAAGCTTCGTTGTTCAGGGTCGACTTTGAGAGAAGTGAACGTCCAAAGTGCTAGAATATAAAGCAGACGAAGTCGCTGCTTCTAGAACGCCGCGCTGTTTTGCTACCGTTCTTGTCCTGCACTTTCTCGCTCCCTCCTCTTAAGCACATCTCTTCCAGCTCACTAGGCGGGTGGTAATCATGAGTATTATAAGCAAGGAAGTGGAAAGAAGTTGTTGCTTCTGTTCTTCTTCCAGAGTTCATCAGCTTTACAGCGAGTTTCTTCTGCAGACATAGTTGTTAGAGCGTATCTCTGCTTATGCCGCTCAGCCTCAACACCTCTGCTGGTTTCTTTAGTGGATTTTCGTCGCTTAATGGCACCTCTCCTGGTCTCCTTATTAAGCTGGGTCCGCCACGCCCACCACTTGATGTTAAAAGCAGAAGTCGAGGATGGTTCATCGTTCCACATCTGTGCCGCAACGACGTAAAAAAGTGTCACTCCAACTACTGCCCAGATATCCTTCTTAATTGCATCAACTAGTAGTCGACTCATGCACCGTGAGTCCATCCCAAGAACTCATCATGTATCTCCTGCACTGCCTGAGTTAGAGGTTCGTGCAAAATTACATTCCTCGGCGTCTCAACTATGTACCGAATGTTCACATCCAGCACATGTTACGGATCTGCACATCACCCAGACGTCTAGCAGTACCACACTCCAAGTTTGACATGGACAGGACGAAGCGCATCAACATGAACATACGCGATCCTAGTGAAACTTTGGAGAACACGTGTAAGTCGATAGAAAGTCGCCTGCGTCGTCCACAAATGAAGATGCGGATCGAGACCTTCGGTCAGTTGAAATCATTGCGAAACAAAACGTGTTTGCTCTTATAAGTATGCGTACCACTTAGAAGGAGCATTGGTCATAAGCATAACTGCTAACATCGAATATTAGTGTTGGTGTAAAAAGAAGTTCATTAGAGATTTTTATCCTTTCAACACGTTCTTGGGGTTCATCAAAAAAGGTGTTATTTCATGGACTTTCACCGCTAGAAGTCCTCTATAGGCGAGAGTGGAGGACTTGGCTCATCTTTGCGCGATTCTTCTTCGTGGCGATTCTGCCAGTAGAAAGGCTGGCAATTATTGTCAGTGTCAGCTCCAGAATGCACCGTCATGATAAAACAGGAGAGGCATTCATGATCTGCTTAGCTGCGGCTGTCGGTTGTCAACGACACGTGGTCAGTGAAGGAGTTCACTGGTTCAACACTTATCGATGACCTGATTCTGCTGTATCATGTCTATTGCGGTGGTGAGAGAGGGACAACATGCGCGTAGAATTTATCCTCTGGAAAACTTTGGTAACGCAGGAATCGCCCATCGTATTTTCGATTTTGCATCTTCATCATTACTTGGCTTGCATCACCCATCGACAAGAATTCCAAGAAGACATGGCCGATCTGGTATTTTGAGTCATATTCTTGTAAGGCGATAAAGAATTATGCAAAACAGATCTACTTCTTGTTCTTCTTCTAGACCAGTTTCAAATAAAAAAGTCATCATTGTTGTAGATTATATCGATCACCAAATCCAAGAAAACTGTTGTTGTACCTGCACGCTATCCGCAAGGCCGGCGTCGAGCAGCAATTGCAGGTGCTCTTGCTTGATAATGCGCGTGTTGGCGGCATTGATCTTTCCGTGCTGTGAACACCCCTCTACCATATCCTCCACTGTATCAATGAAGTCTTCATGCACAGTGCTATACGGATCATACTGGAGAGCATCACTAATTTGGACTATACGTGACGTGCATACTGGCGGCGCCGCAATTGCGAGAGGAGCGCCGGCGACTGTGGTTGGTAAAAGTAAAGATATCACTACATGGAGTGCCCTCTGTTCCTCAATGTCAGAACTGGGGGAGTGGTGGAGACAAACAAGGCGATAAAGTTAGTTCTTCTTCTTTTTGGAAAAACTTGTAAAGAATCAACATACCTGCTCCAGGCGCAACTCCCGGAATATTTCTGGCTGCAACAGAACTATCGTTTGGTCGTTTTATCTGCACGGGGTTTCCGTTCACAAGCATGCCGTCCAGTCTTGCCAGTACTTTCTCTGCCATCTCTACACTCTCAAGCTCTACAAAGCCATACTGCTGCTCTGGATGCAACCTGGAAGAGCGAAGGTTGAGTTACAACAGACACTTTCGAATATAATGCATATCTATTGAAGATCTCGTTGCACTCACTCATGCGGAATGATAGCTACATCAAGGGCGACGTTGAGGAGGCTCCTACAATAGAAGGAGCTGAGCTTCATCAACAAGACTTCGCCATAAAAACCTTTGCCATGATCTTTTGTACTTTTACTGCTACAACAATGTACCATATGAGCAGCTGCATGGACTGAGAGTCGCGATCTGACGGAATAATTTCGGACTCCCGCATTTTCTCGATGAGCGATATCTTAAATAGTTCCTCACTGCATCCGACAGGGACATTGCCGAGATATTAGAAGTAAGAGTGGGGATCCTTTTACATGCACATAGGGCCTCTTACTGCTCAAGCGTATTTTTAGCATGCTAAGAGCTGCATAATTCCCAGAAGAACGTGTGTTTTCTTAGCATGTAGTTACTTATGGAGTACGGCTATGGACTCATGATCTACTTGAGTTGAGGAAAATGAAAAAAGAAGAACGGTATCATAAATATAGAGGCGCTTTAGTTTTCGCTGTGCTGCTGCGGCTGCGTTGTTGGTACTTGCTTCAGACGGAATCCATTGAAATCCATCCCAAAACATTCCCGCGCGTGTGCCTGTAGAGGGTAATTTTCGCAGAAGATAAGTTGAGCAGGTTTGGGTTTCTGTATTCAAAAATATAAATTGTAATATTAGTGATGACGAGCTTCTTCGTCAAGGTCAAGAACGTCATTCAGCCTGACCAAATAAAGGAACAACTGTTTACCAGTAGTTGTGAAGATGTTGTCGAGTAAAGTATTCTTTAAGTACTTGCATTCATGCCTCCTTTTGATGATCCTTTGTTTGACTGGTGTGACATAAACTCCCTCTGCTTCCGCCTGCGTCGCTTTTCTCGCTCCCTTGACCTCTCTGCTGACTCCTCCGACCGACTACGTTTTTTCTTCCCGTCAGCAGGCTTGTCATCCTTCTCTCGTTTCCTACCACGACTGCGCGAACGAGAACGGGCCATCTTTTTAGATATTAAACGAGTTGTATTCTTAGAAGTTGAACAGTGACTTTAGTATCTATAAGTTGAACAAGGTGATATAATCTTGTAGTTAATCCATTATGTTGTCCTTTATTTACGATTTCGTGCCTGCGGAGGTCGGAGTTATTGGCGAAAATCAAGTGATGTAGTTTTAGTCTTCAGATACAACATAGAAAGAACATTTAAATAAAGATGAACTCCTACGAGTGCGACGTACTCAAACTAGAGCAAGAAGTGAAAAAATTATAAGTAGATGATGAGAAATTTTAGACCAAAAGAAGTAACTTATTCAACGACGAACAAGTCGCGAAGAATCAGGATCACGTCAAGAAGCACGACTAATATTACTCCTTTGGGATGAAGAAATGTGTGCGGGCAAGACGAGGGAGCATGTGAAGCTAAAGGATGAACCAAATCATGATTGGCGATAGAGTGCCACCTTTCTTTCAAACTTTTTACCTTATTAAGAGTTGTCCATCTCGATCCAAGCCATCCGTTGAGAGGTTCTTATTCCAGTACCCGAAGATGAACGGAGAAGAAGTGTCAGCTTCATTACAACAGACACGGAGTCGAGTCTTCAGATGAACCAAGGAACTGAGGAACCACCAACCACCGTCGGAGGTTCGACATCACGAGGAAGATCCAAACCTGTGGCTTTTCAGTTTCAGGGATCTCGATCGAGTCAGGGAGACCAACATGTTGCTCATTCGCCTTATAATCTAAATGTAAAAATAACAAACCGAATAAGTCAGATCATTGGGAACAGCCGTTGCGGTCCGTCAACATTATATAGATTTCATTCTTGAAGAATAAACTTTGATAAAAATCAGCAAGGAAATCTTCTCGTCGGGACACCTCCTCTGAGGATATTGAGGAGCAGAGAGAGTGAAGAGACCACTCAGATGATGTATTAGAAGTCAAGGAATTCGGAAGCTCATTTCATGTGCCATGCTGTGTTCTTGATATTGAAATCCAATCAACATCTTGGTTGGTGAGGTAAAAAGATGAAGTGTATCTCCTGACATTTTTTATTGTTCGCGACCACCACCACGTTGGAGACGTAGTAACTACCGAGTTGACAACCTGCTTGACAGCAGGGTATAATTGATTCACATAAGTAATATGTTTCGCAGCAAGATCACAGAGAGTGCACAGTTGTAGAGATACAGAACAACATCTAGATCTAGATGATACAGAGGACCGATTATTTGTGATAATGAAAGAAACTAGTCTTTCTAGAATAGAAAACGCGAAGAGAAAAATCAACATGGAAAAAGTCAAAACTTGTATGTGCTATACGGCAGTCAATATGAATACTTTTTGTCGCGGACGATGAATGAATGAATGTGCCTAAACCTAGCGTGAGGTGTTGGCTTCTAACAAAAACAAATGGTTTTGGATCAAAATCTAGCATTGATAGGGTTATATCATGTTCGCTTTAGTTCATAGGGAGGCTTCCTCCTTGCTGGTACTGACCTGACATGTAAAAATGCAAGTAGATGAGTAGTTTCTTTCGTTTTTCATTTTACTTGTAGAAAACGTAATCGCCCAGAATTTCTTGTTTTCATTTTCTCTTTTACTGATTGAATCAAATAGAACCAACTAGCATCAGGTGGCATTATTTTTGTTCTTCTCGAAGAGAAAGTTCTGCGAAGCTGAGTCGCATCTCTTCCTGCACTCGGTCTCGCCACGCATCGGTCGTCACATCATCCCCCGTCATGGAGTCGGTTGGTAAAAACTTTACTACTTTAGAAGTGGGATTTTGGCTTTCTGCAGACCAGGAGCCTCGACTTCTCTTTCCTATAACTGGAAAACAAGTCAAGAATGAATGGGTTGCAGACGCAGAATGCAATGTGGAAACCCTTAACTACGACCTTGCGTCGTGGTGCCTTCTCTGGAGTCTTCCGTTCGTCAGTTGGACTTGGAGGTAGATTAGAAAGACTATCATGATCATGATTGTCATACTTTGAAATTGGATGGACTAAGTCACCTAGGATTTATGAGGGAAAACTTCTAACCGCACCCGGCAGGAATTTTTATAGTATACTAGAACAATTTCTAGGGGTGTCCGGTCCAGGATGGGATGGATCGGATGGATCGCATGGAACGGATGGACTTCCCCGCTTCGCTAAGCGTTTCAAGTAGGAGCCAAGGATTTAGTAGGTCCATCCGATCCATCCAAGGCCATCCACATCCTATACAACCCGTTCTATAAATTATTCTAGCTATAATACGAAGAAGTACAAGATTCATAACAATTACATGACGCTCTAGCCAGGTAGGAGTACTAAGCGGGCCCTCGAGCTCACTAGCAGGAACTGTCTGTTGACCGTCCTCGACATTTTTTCGATAGCGTGCAACCACTGGACCTAGTGGTTTTTCGTTTTGGCCGCGGCCTGGTAGAGTTCCGTCTGCTACTTGTCCACCGTCAAGAACTACGCTAGCATCTTTCTTGTAGTGCTGCGATAGTGTTGGGCCACCAGGTGTGGAGGAGGTGCTTGTACTAGGATAATTATCTTCTTCCTTGTAGTACCACATGGTTTCTGCGAGATTGGGTGTGTAGCGCAGCATGATCGGCCGAATCGATGCACGTGGATTCTGGAAAGCTCCAGATCGTAGATCTAGTATTCCTTCATGATTCGATAATCCACCCTCACCAAAATGGATTAGAAAGAAAATATGGCTTCTTGAAGTTGCGCATGCAACATCAAGAAGGCAGATCCGCAACTTCTTCTACAACATCTTCTATGCAGTAGATGAACAGTTGATTGCAGTACTAGATGTTGTATTCTATTCATCATGTTGATCAGCTTCATCTTCTCGAATCATAAAACGACTAGTGGTTCCCGTTCGTCTGGGTCTGCAGCCAACCAATGATCAGTATGATCGCAGATAGCTTGTGCGCATTCTTTCTTTGAGGCTGGGCTCTTTCGGTCTACGAAAATGCCACCAAGTTCACGACACACTGAACCAAAAGCCGGATATTTCGCCACCAGACTATGACTCACAAATCGGGGGGCACGCACAAATCGCGAACGGCGGGATCCACGATTGCTCTTGATAAGTTTGCCTCTCTTCACTTTGGTTCCTGTAGTACTGGAAGCAGAAGTTCCACTTGATGTAGTACAACTGGAAGCAGAAGGAGGTGCTTTTATGAAAAGAAAATCTGTTATCATTATCAAGTTTCTTAAGTAGAAAAGTACGATAATGATAACAGATTTTGGTTTCATAATCTTGGTTCCTGTAGTACTGGAAGCAGAAGGTGGAGGTGCTTTAGCAACATTAGTATCAAGTAGGATGCTATCAACACCACTCTCAGTACTCGATGAGGAACCCCCCCTTCCTCTGGTCGTCAGTACAGTAGCATCCATTGCGGCTTTTTCCACAGCGGAACTAGTACAACTAGCACGACTGCCGGAACCACCACCTCCAGGAGCACTAGTTTCGCATGCATCCTGCCACCACGTAATTAGCATCAGAACCAAGGGATCTAGCTGCGTGCAGTGATTAGGTACCAAGACACTGGCGTGACGCATCATCTCTCGTACCAGAATACGCTGCGAATCCCGATCGTAAATGCGCATTACTTCCTTGTTCGATGATGAGTGTGATTCATCTTCTTTTTCTGGAAGTTTTCCTTCATGACGGTCTTGACTTTTTACTTCTCTACCTCCTTCTCCATCGAAGATGTTCGAAGTACAACTACTTGTTCCCCGTGTACTGCCTTTTCTCTTTCTGAATACAGGTCGCACACCGCCATCAAAATCAAACTTTGTCCAGGACGAGTCTGTTACCTTCCCTCTAGGGTACTTCGCCACCGTTGCTGGACCAAAAAAGGACGCGATCTGTGCTTCTTTTCCAGAGACGGTGGTGATATGGTATGAATGGACAAATTTTTACAAGAGTAGACACGTACTAAGAAATCCTTAAATATTTACCTAAATCACGAAATTCGTGATTTGAAAAACCTTCTGGAGCAAAAGGAAAACGGGAAGATTCAAGGAGCAGAGCGTTTAGTTTCTACAGCGGGAACGAGGAGAATCAAGAACATGGGGATCATCATCACCGTCATCTCAAGATGTGATCTGTGCTTCTTTTCCAAGTCCTGGTCGTATATAACTTAAACTTTTTTCCTCTTCTTCATCCGCACCACCGAGCGCTAGAGCGCTGACGCCACTCGTTTTGCTAAGTTGCGATGAGAATTAGACGAGATTTGTTAGTAACCAAATTAGTGCATCTCCAACACCCTTGCCTTGTTTTTTTTTCGGATGAAGATTTATCAAGTCACTTCAGCCTACCATTCTTGATGATAAAGGTACGCGTTGCTACGCTATGCATAAAACAAGCTTGTCATGTGTGCCCCGCCTGTTTGTTATGGTCATTCGCGACCACCGTAGAGTTTTTTTTTTTTGCGTTAGGACTATATGCCACCCCCCTTTCAAGCAATCAATTAACATGCTCAACTATGATTGTCCAAGTTACATACTGTAGAGACAAAATGGCAGCCGACTTCGAGGCCGACTCCCATATTAGCCCAACTGGGAAATGCATATCATCCCTCTCTACTATCAACTTCTCAAGTACCAGTACTACTCTTAAATCAACGCTGCAATGTCTGCGTCGTCGTCGTTTTTTGCACAACCAGAGACAGTCGACGAAGCGCCTTCCATCTGCATGTCGTCTCTGCGTGTCAGATAGCCTGTACACGACAGACCTTGTTGCCTATCAGAAGTACCGTTCTTGCAAAACATCATGTCGGCTGCGGGTCCTCTACTCGTTCCTCGTAGGATATCGTGCCCACGCGGTCTACCGCCTGGTGCGCTTGGTGACGTAGGTCCATCAGAAGTAGATGGCAGAACGTCGAAACTAGACCCTGGACCGACTAGAGCTGTGTAGGTGTTCATGGCGCCTTCTAGTGCGGCAAGAGAAGGCGCGGCTGTACCAGTGTGGTCGTGTAGTTGTTCTAGTCTCTGCACTTCCCTGCTCTGACACGCTGCCCTGGTGACATCATCTACTTTGTGTTCCCTCGGATTGAGGCTTTTTGAAGAGCGGACACCATCAACTCCTACAGCATGTCGTTGAAGATCGACGCGTCGTTCAACTTCATCTTGCCTCCAGGAGGCATCAGTATCAACATCACCTACCGCACCTCTGATAGTAGTTGGAATGAACCAACCTGTGCTATCGTAGACCGCTACTGGTTCACCTATGTCCCGGAGCCAGAACATACCAGTCTCTACGTCATGCATCAGTGTCACCTCGCCACTAGTTCCACGCTTCACATACTTTCGTCTTATACTAGTGGTCTGCTTTATAATAGTTCTATTTTTCGATACGCAAGAACTAATTTTGACATCTTCATCGTCAGCATCTTTTTGTTCTCTTTGTCCATCTCCATGAAGACCTTCTTCCCCGACCAAGTCATACAAACCAGAATACTTCGCCAATATACGCCGGCGCCCAGCATCTAGAGGACGAGAAGTAGATGACACGCCATTGCTACTTGCGAAGAACCCATGATGTTGTGCTCCACCTTCCACGGAAGAGGAGGTCGGAAGATCAACTTGCATTGTCATGCGTTGCAATATATTTTGGCTCTCGTGTTTCTTGTTGTTGAGCAAGTAGTTCTTGTACGAGTTGCTCCTCTGGTCAAGATCTTCCTCTTCCTCTTCTACTGGAAGCATTTGTTGCACGTCGGCTCTTCTCCTAATATTCGTGCTTGTTTCTTCGTCAAGACCTTGCAGAATTTCTTCGTACTCCTTCTGCTCCAATTCCAGTACAAAATCCAACTCGAAGGGCCAACCACTAATCAGCGTCTCGTTAGCGCTGCTCATAGTCTCCGCATCTCTTCTGTCTATTTATCGTTACCCTAAACCCTTAACGATACCCACCCTATCTCTATCTACCCTAAACCCTTAATGATAATTTTCTGCCACTAAATAGTCTATCTTTGTTAAGATTCACTCTGAGTTGTGAATGAGATCAGAGAACATCGAAGATCTGAAGAGAAGAAAAAAATACTTCTGAGAGAGATAACAAAAATCATTCCAACAAGCCTTCTTAATTTCAAGTCGCAGCAAGGGTCTTGGCTTCAATATTTCCTTAGGATTACGGCGAAGGACAGCAAACACCTTCCCTGGTAGATAGCTGAGCGCAAAGAGGACAAGATTCTTGCATAGCGAGCTCCAACGCTTGACTTTCAAAAATTAGACGCGGCTGGCTCTTCTAGAAGGGAACCCGACTAGCAGCGGTAACAGATGCTGATCCTGATGCTTCTTCTAATCAATTTTTGTAAGTATAATTCATGTCCATAACTAACTCTAAGTAATTTTCGCATTCTTCACATCCATAACTTAGCCAAGCGGCCCAAGAGAGTACCCCAGATCTCACTTCCGGAGCTAGAGGCGGAGTGTACGGCGGTCGAATCTTCAACAGATTGATGTTTTCATTTGCTGATGGTGGTATGTGGCGAACAACAGGTGAGGCTGGTGCGGCTTCCAAAGTCGTGGTAGGGACAATAGGAGTTGTGGAAGTGGACCCACTAACATCGCGCTTTCGTAATCGCAAGTCTCCAGCACTGCGAAAAGCAGAAACTACGGAGCAAAGGCAACAAGAGACAGTAAAGATGACAAAGTGGAGAACAAAGAACAAGAAGACAGCTTTTCTTCTCGTTGTTCTACCAAACAAGTAGAAGTAGAAGTTGTGATGTGCAGAAAGTTTCGTCATCTTGAACGATGACCAAGATATTAGTTGGTTTAGTACCTGGGAAGATTTCTAACTTGGACTACTTGTTACTTCTAGGCATGCTTGAGCTTGAAGCTCCTTGCAGCGATCCTGGCAGCGATCGCAGGGGATGACATAATTGGAACCTAGAGGGATCGACAACCATGCTTAACTTCCGGTCTTGTCTGTCAGGCCAAGCAGCAACACATTTCTTGTGTCAGTAGAACATGAAATCACTCCGTCTCTACAGTTCATGCTGCAGCAGCTGGGTTTGATGGTTTTCCTTGTTTTAGTATATCAATTTTCATCTAAGATATCAAGTACTCATCATGTATGACCAAGTTTCAATTGAATTCCATGCTTGTGTCAACAAATGACCTTCAGGTAGTTCAGACACGTTTCCTCTAATGAATTACTTCATGTGTTGAGCACGAGGCTCCCGCAGTTCTTCTTGATTATACCACGTCGAGACGCAGTCCCAAATGCTTCATCTCGACGACCTACTTCACCTGCTTCTAGGACCAGACACTGCTTCGTCTCGTCCACCTGGTCCAGCACCAGGTTGCACCTTTAGTTGTCCATGTTGCTATGATTGTTCATCTAAGGTGCGTGTCCAAGTCCAACCTGATACTTCTTCCTGGTCCAACTCCAATCAGCACGCAAGTTCTTCGTCCCACTCCACTCAATCATTATTATCCTGTTCTCCAAGAGACACCTCCTCGTTCTTCATCCGCACGCTCACGCCATTTGTGTAGCAGCCATCAGCGCCTGCTTGCAAGCAGCAAGCTCAGCGTTGCACTGCGCCATATCCCGATGTAATTTGAAATACAGGAAATGCGTACTCAAGGCATCCAACGCTAGGTTCACACTCGGTCGCGGCCCTCGCACTCGCACTTCCGAAGCTGTAATCGATGTAGTCGATCCCGGAGAGGGTGAGGGAGACGGAGATGATGAAGAGGACGCTTTTATTAGAACATATCAACAACTTGTTGTATTTGTAGGTTGGAGACCACTGAGTTCATCTTGTTGATTTAGTTTTTCTAGATTCACTACATCAATTCGTTCCGTTCATCATGTTCACAGAATTTCGAAAGAATTCATGTTTAGAAAAGTTCGAAAGAATCGAATACATTATACTTATACAACAAAACTATATTTATATTGTGTCATAAAAAAATATCTTGCTTTTTTCCCGCTTTCTGTAAGGTGACGTTGGCACGCGTGCTGCGTGAAATATCTCGCAAGACTGCTGTATTCTGAGCACAAAACTGATAGAGAGGGTCGCTGTCAATCTTCACACTCTCCTCGGCATACGTAAACTCCTCTGGTTAGAAGAACACGAGGCTCGTTATCATTTTTACTTTCAATCTACTTTCCTAGTAAGCATGGTTGAAAGTAGTGAAGAATGACACGGTTCTCAACTAAGCACACTTTTTCGGCAGTTTTTCCACCACAACTCAACGGAGCTCACAGTAGACGAAGGAAGGATTGCATATGTAACTGCAACGCATCTTTCTAGATTCTAAAAAATCATTTTATTGAGTACTTCGTTAATCAGTTAAACAAATGCTGGAAAATTGTGATTCATCATGGTGGCCATAATGTGCGATGACCGGGATGTCGAGTTCTGAACCGCCACTGATTCGCAAGTAAATCATTGACCCCTTTGGCTGGAGATCATCCCCAGGCGATTCCAGTGGGGAAGAAGTCTTGCTGGCGCATGGTATGAAAAAATAGAAGGGTTGGTGTAGCTGTAGGTGTTCTCGGACGATGAGTAAATAAGGATCTCGTTCTCGTCGTACAAGGATATGCAAGGAAAGTAAAGAAGTTGACTCCTGTCTAGAAGTGCCAGCTCATCTTCCAAGTAGAAGTTTTAAGAGACGTAACGTGGTAACAACACTACTACTTCTCCAAGTTGTAAGAGCTTTATTAAGAGAGGTAATGCTAATGTGGTAACAACACTACTACTTCTCCAAGTTGTAAGAGCTTTATTAAGAGAGGTAATGCTAAAGCTAATGTGGTAACAACACTACTACTTCTCCAAGTTGTAAGAGCTTTATTAAGAGAGGTAATGCTAATGTGGTAACAACACTACTACTTCTCCAAGTTGTAAGAGCTTTATTAAGAGAGGTAATGCTAATGTGGTAACAACACTACTACTTCTCCAAGTTGTAAGAGCTTTATTAAGAGAGGTAATGCTAATGTGGTAACAACACTACTACTTCTCCAAGTTGTAAGAGCTTTATTAAGTAGAGAGGTAATCCTAATGTGGTAACAAGAACACTACAACTTCGGCTACTAAGCTATAATTGCTTTTGCTACAGCTAATCAGACCAAATACTAGTCCCATAACAACAGGTGGCCCATTCTCATCCACTTCGATTTTCACCTCGAATTTTTCCTCCACTTTTTTTATGCGTTCCCGATTTTTCCCAAACAAAGCGCCTGCAAACTTCTGTTCCACGGGAATCAAACGGGGATCCTCTAGTGGCCGTTCTCTGATGTTTTGTTCGATGAGGGTGTAAGATGTCTACATACGAGTATAATATAACTGTAACTTATTTTTAGTAAATACGTGCGCTTCCGCGGTAAATAGGGGGGATTACTATAATTTTTACCGAAGTACAGATGAAATGTAACTACAAACTTGCCGTTGCCGCCCCTCATGCTCATCCGCTTGCACTACTAACGACGTGCACCACTACTAGAAATAATCATGTACGAGAAGTGTACTAGTAAGTACTTTCGTTTCCGCAAATAACGTGTGAATTTTTTCTCGTTGACGGACCAAACCTTGGGCAAGGGATCGGGTCTAAAGGATCCTCCAGAAGCTGAAGAACCTTCCAAGCCATGACCCTTACTAGCAAACTGAGCCGCCTCTACGGGCGTCAATTTCATCGTCATTTTGTTGCTTTTAGGAGTGCTGATGGAATGTAGTTCCTACTTCGTTGTAGTACTAAGTTCTCGAATATATATCATTCAATGAATATTACATAGTACTATCATGGAGGTGAAGATATGTAAAAATTGTTGCTCTTACTTATGTTATTAGGTCTATTTCTTGTCCTGATCTTCAGCTCCTCCAACACATACCTATGAGTCTTAATCTTCCTGAAAATGTGTAGGTAGCCTCCTAGCGGCCTATCTTAAGCGATGTCGTGAAGATCAAGCTGATCCTATTGGTAAATATACACACAGCTCATGGTCGTCGTCGTCTCTCACGGTCTCTCAGTGACTTGTTTATGTATCTTCCCTCTCTCTCTCTGGTTCTATCTTAGTACAATGTGACACCAATTATAAGCCTGCCAGTAAGCCTTCGCACATTCTCCGCCTCCACTCGTCGAAGTACTTACTTAAAGACTTGATGCGCTGGTTCCTGTTTTTGGTTTTCCGTGTTCGTTGTGACTCACAACATGTAATGAGCGCGTAGTTCACCTTAATAATAGTAAGAAGAAAGAATGCAAGATCTTAGATGAAGTATCACCAGGTAAAACATAACAAGCATCGCCTTGCGAAAGCAACAGCTTCTTCGGATGAACACTACCGCTTAGGTGATCACCACGACAAGATTACGTCGATCAGAGCTTTTTATCGTGTGCAAGAATTTCTGACTGTCCTATTCTGTGTTATGTCATGTCATGCGCCCTCTTTATTTTACTACGTTGTCAAGTAGTAGTTGTGAGGTGATCCAGTCATCTTGTACCTTCTAAATAGAAGAGCAAGACGACCGACTGATTCACTATCAAGTTTAACCAAAAGTAGCCACGGATCATGCCCGTTGCCACGACGTTAGTTGAAAGCTCCACTCGCTAATTGTCGTTCACGTACAATCAGGAGCAATTCTTGTTCACCCCCGTAGGACATCACAGATGCGAGTAAAGACTTCTTCGGATCATGCTCCATTTATATTCCACATGATCTTCCGACACCTTTACCAAACACAAGTAACGTTAGCCTCTTTCGTGTCCTTTCTCAACACAGCGTTGTTTCTTCTTCATCATTAAATAAATATAAATATAAATATAACCAACATCACGATATGATGACGATGATGATATACCCAGAGTTTCAGCATGCATTATAAGCACTATTGAGAAATTAGTGCTGTTGTTGTACTAGTTATTGATATTGTTGTTGCAACCTACAACCTACAACGGTCCTGTAAGTCAACATGACCTTCTCTGCTAATTCAAGTGCTTAGTATTATGCTCGTCCTGTTGATCCACCAGATTGACAAAACCAAGTCCTCGACTTCGCCATGCCGTTTCCGGTACATTTACATCCCAATGATTTCTCCACATGATCTCGGCACCACGTCCACGTCCACCATGAACATAGTAACGCCCAAGCTCGTCATACAAGCGGGTGCATAAAGGCGGGGGCTCAAAAGCCATATGGCGGAAGCTATTCGGAAAACTCTCGTTGCACACTTCTCCCACAAACGTCTCAGCACACTTGGCTAATTTCGCTTCTACTTCTCCTTGTCGTAAGGGAACAGGAGAAACAGCACCTCCACCACTTGCTCCCGCAGACGGTGAGGCGGATTGGGCTTGATGATCATGATCATGAGATTGAGTCTGCAAGAGAGAAGTAGTTCTTGCTTGCTCGGGCAAGTCCTGCCCCTGGTGCGCCTCCTCCACGCAGCTTTTTACCGTCACCAATGTCTTCAATCGGGCACGAGTCCCCTTCAGGCGACCTGCGTTTACTCCCCGCTCAAAAATCTGCATTCCCTCGTGTACCCATGCTCTCTCCCATGGATGCAATTGGATCTCTTTCGCGGCTCGAGCAATATGCAGCAAGAAAGGTAAAGGCCTGCGATGCGCACTCGCAAACGTCACGGTGAGAACCAATCCTCCTTCGACGTTCCAATGCATGTTTCGAATTGTGCGCAGCTTCGCGGTCACGATAGGCAACGAGCGCCATTCTCTCTCTTGTGGAGGATCTTCAGGCTCAGCTTCTCCTTGTCCTTGTCCTGCTGGAGGATCTTCAGGCTCAGCTTCTCCTTGTCCTTGTCCTGCTGGAGGACGAGCTGTAGCTGTGTTGGCAACAGCAGGAGGAGGAGAATCAACATAAACCTCTTTCCCGGCAAACGATTTCTCCGTAGCAATGAGCGCCTCAAGCATCGGAATCAAGTCTTTTCTCGCAAAAATTTGATTTTTCTCCCGCATAACTTCTCCGCCGCCCCACTGCATTCCGAAAAAGGCAAGGAAATCCAGCTCATTCGGCATGTACGTGGCAAATATCTGCTTTGTGAAGTTTTCCATTTCTGCCGGAGTGAAATCTTCCAAAATCTTACCGAGATCAGATTCAATGTTGAGTTGAGGATCAGCCGCAGCTGCAGCCCTAGCTTCTGCAAGGGCAAGAGCCCTAGCTTCTGCCCTGGCAAAAGCGTAAGCCTCAATAGCCTCATCCCTACCAGGTCCTATAGGTATAGCAGCTACAACAGCCTTAGAAGAAGCGTCAGCTTTAGCCTCAGCTTTTGCCGCGATAACTCTTTCATCTAAATCTATAGCCTTTTCGGTAGCGATTTCTTTCAGCCTCTTTTTCAAAACGAAAAGAGCGGCTGCCGGATTAAAGGCACCCTTTTGACCACTTAGCCACATGAAGATCCGAGACGCGCCTTGCTGTAAAGCGGGAAAGATCGCGAGATTATCAACGTAAGCGCCATCCAGATACATGGCATTCGTTTTTTCGATTTTGACTACTGCCTCTGCCTCCCTAGCATCAACAACGTCGGGAGCAGATGAGGACGAACGAAGATCTTCTTCTTGAGCAGCCAAGGCCGCGTAAGTCGGATACGCCTCGTTCCCAATCTGTTGCATAATTTTAATCTTCTTGTTGTTGCCTTCGGTCTTCATAGCAAATGCCGGCAGCTGGAATTCGGCGATGGGCGAGAAACCTTTGCCCATCAGATTTGAAGCCCCGTTAGCCGTCGCCGCGGCCGCTAGTGCGACAGTCGGCACGCCTGGTTTGCGCTGTTTTTCCGTGGCATCAGGAGAATCCCAGAACTTGAATCGCGCAAGAAGTCCCAAGTAGTTCTGGACAAAGTTTCCATCCTTGTATTCTTGGAAAAAAACGTTCTTGTTCATGTCAGAAATAGAGCGCGAGGAACTCTTTGGCAACTGAAAAATGTCCTCAGCACGACCATTCCCCGACATCAGACGGGAGTCATCAGCCGGGCCCGGACAGCGTTGCCGTTTGTTCTCATCAGCCACAGCCCGGACAGGAGCTACGGCCGCTGTAGTTGGTGTTGCAGCGAGTTCAGTCCGAATGAATGGGTTATTGTTGTCTCCACCCGGTTTGCCGCACATCCAGTTGGGAAGCGCAAGACGCATGCCATCACGACCCATGGTGAGCATCAAATACTGATAGTCGTAGAGTGGACTGTCTTTCGTAGTACGACGTCGAGGACCGCCGACGAGGTTAGAAATATATCATAAAGAAAACTAGAAAGCGAACGCAAGCCATTTTTTGGATCCGCACACTACCAGTCCAAACCCACTAAATCCATTTCGCCGTTACCAGCCCAAACCCACTAAATCCACCCCCCCCCCACTACCAGCCCGAACCCAATAAATCCGCCCCCCGCTACCCGCCTGGGCCTACTAAATACACCCCCCCATTACTAGTGGAAACCCACTAAGCCTGTCTCCCCACTACCAGCCCGAACCCGATAAACACGTCTTCCCACCACCAGCCCGAGCCTACTAAGCCTATCTCGTCCCCACTACCAGCCCGAGCCGCCTATTCGAAAAACTGAAATAAGCGAGTAACTACTGAAAATATGCGAGAGACTGAACAAGTAAGAGTAGCCCTGTCAAAGCTGCCTCCCTTATTTCAGTCAATAACTCGGTTATTTTCAGTTTTCGAGTAAACCCATCGCCCTACTACCAGCCTGAACAAATTAAACCCATCACCCCACCATCAGCCCGAACGAAATAAACCCATCGCCCCACCATCAGCCCGAACGAAATAAACGTAAACCCATCACCCCACCATCAGCCCGAACCCCCTAAGCCCATCCCCTCACTACCAGCAGAAACCCACTATTAAATCCATCTCCCCACTACCAGCCGAAGCCCACTAAATCCATCCACCAACCACCAGCCAAGACCCAATAAATCCATTCCCCCACTACCAGCCAGAGCCCAATAAATCGATGCCCCCACCACGAGCCCCTGGCCCCACTAAATCCATGCCCCGACACCAGCCTGGGTTGTGTCCCAGGTTTTGAAACCGGCAGGGGAGGTGAGGCCGGTCCAGCCAGTGACCCACAAGAACCGCCAAAAACACCGCAACAACGCTGGCGCGCACTTTTTGCCCCTTCCCTCACGGTGTTCCCGATTTCTCTGACATAGAGAAGGGGGGGCGGGTCAGCAAATGACTCACAAAAACCACCAAAAACACCGAAACAAACGACGCCGGCGCGCGCTTTTTGGCCTTTACCCCAATGCGTCCCCGATTTTGACAGAGAAAAGGGAAGGCGGCCCGGCCAATGATCCAGAAAGAAGAACCGCCAAAAACATCACCAAAAGAGCGCCGGCGCGCACTTTTTGGCTTTTGCCCCACTCTGCGTTCGCGATTTTGACATAGACAAGGGAGGCCAGCCCGGCCAATGATCCACAAGAACCACCAAAAACACCGACGAAACGCTGGCGCGCACTTTTCGGCCTTTGCCCCGCTATGTTCCCGGTAGGTTTTGACCTAGAAAGGGGAGGCCGGTCCGGCTAGTGATCCACGACCACCGCCGAAAACTCCAAAGCTTGCAGGCGCGGGCGCGTTTTTTGATCTTGGCCTCACTGTGTCCAGGCGTCTGCCGCGGAAGTGCCTAGCTTCTCCCCTCAAGGGCGCCCCTCCCTTAGCGCTGTAATAGATGCCGTTTCCCGGGCTAGTAGAACAAGGCGCCTCTTTTGTTGAGTACCTATGAACACTACACTTTCAATGGGTGGCCATAACTTTAAGAACAAAGCTGACCTTGTGCAGCGTGATGCCAATAGCAGGCTCTGCCAATGGAGCGCCGAGAAGAGACACTCGCGCGCTGTCCATCAGCGGTGGCGACTGGACTCCTGCACGCAAGATACCAGCTTGCAAATTCTGTGCCGTGTGTCCGAAAGAGCTTCCCTTCGCAAATCCTTTAGAGAGTTCCGCTGTGAAACAGCTTTGGCGCAAGTCATTCGCCGGTGCTTTGAGGCCACAAACTGTGTAATCCGGTAACACGAAACCATGATCGGCTGCTGCGCCTTGGTTTGCGCGTGCTTCTAGCTTACACGTGTCTCTCCACACTGCATCTTCTTGTTCTTGCCCTCTTCTCCACTGCTTTGCCCTAAGGTATTCAGCTCTGTGCTCCCCATCCGGAAGAAGGAAGACGCTCCTCATTTCCGCACCGGTCAGTGCTTGTGCCTGGATCGCGTTGCCAGCAGCTACAGCGATTGCCGGACTGTTACCCTGGCTGTCTACCACAGGTGAAGCACCATGACCTTCATGACCGGTAGAACGCAGTCCTCGTAGTTGTTGTTCCAATGAAAAACGCGCCCCTGGGTTCACATGCCCGACGAACTCCAAAAACATTTCTGCGTTCTTCTTGGCCACGTCAAACTCCGTCTTCGAAGGTTCTGCAACTGAAGTAGCTGTAGAGAAAGACAAATAAGGACATAGATCAAGAACAAGTAGACAATAAGATGAACCTGGTCCTCGTGGTGACACAAAAGATTCCAATTCAAATTTTTTTAGTGTTTTAATCTTAATAGTTAGTGTCGTGTTCGTGTAGTGACAATCAAATAGATATGAAACTGATTGTGAGAACAACTACGAGAACCTTGTTTCAATGGCACAAGTGGGGTACCGTCTCGTATCTCCGAATGCTGCGCGTCAGCGCGACTCGCGGGACCATACACAAGCTGCGAAATAGCCCAGCCGCCACCAGAATTAGAGAAGAACTGAAGACATATACACATACTTTATTGCATGCTTCTTGAAAGGAGTCTAAGTTGTATGTCATATAATTATAAGACGAGGGAAAATTTAGTATTTGTATATTCTTTAGATTTAGTAAGACGAGGAAACCCCACCTGTGAAGTATCTTAGTTTCTTTATAAATATTAACCGCTAAAACTCACATATACGTCACTCATTCACTCCTTCGCTCTCACAAAAGATCTGTGTAGACTCCACCAGGTCTCACAAAAGATCTTCTGTCTATATTCACCTCTAACACTCACATAAGTATCTATACGTCTCTATAACCTCTAACTACACTCACATAAGTATTTTACGTAATTTATGAATATGCAGCTTTGAAGATGAGTCTTAACAGAGACACCCGCGAAGATATCAGTCCAGACATTATCCTTCGCAAACCATTCAGCTGCGAGCCCCAACGAAGAGATATAGGCACGAAATCCACCGCCAGCGAATGCAAGAGCGCTCACCGGACGTGGCATACCACAATACAATAGTTGCATTGTCATGGATCCAGAGTCCGCTTCTGGCTCATCATCTTTCTCATTCGCTTCTTCTTGTTGATGTTGATCAACAACAACAAAAGTCACATTGCCAACTTCTGTGTTATACTTTGCAGGAGTGACTTCGTCGCGTGGCGTTTCCGTTCGCGTCTGATACGAATAGGTGAAAGTCACCTCATCTCCAGTCGTAGTGCGCGGAACCGGAAGACAAGATTCCAATCGTACTTGTTGACCCTGGTGTCCTTGACTTGATTGCGAATCCTGCCACGAAAGCCAAGCATGAAAGTATCTTTGCGGGTTGCCGTTCGGTTTATTTGCAGCCTCCCAATTTACCTTCTCACAAAATTTCAGCAAATCGTTCTGCACTTCGAAGTGACCAGGTGGTTCATCGCTGCCCACGCCAGCATCCTCCCCAGTCGGGATACTGATATGCGCGAGGTCTTCCGGGAAGTCCTTCTTGTTTTTCAGAAGCTTTTCTCTCGGACAGGAAATGGAAGAGACAACTACCTTGTTGTAGTTCTTGTTCCCATGTACAAGAACACCAACCACCGCAAAAGAGAGCACACAACAAAGACCCTTCTTCACCACCATTTTAGTGAAAAGAGAGCCTATTTCAAACAGAAGGCCAACAAGGACGAGAACAATAAGGAGGGAAAACACGAAGAAGAATAGATGAGCAGTCTATAGTTATACTCTTCAAGTAGCTAGGGTCAAAACACGAAGAATTAGTTATATTCTTCAAGAAGTAGGGGGAAAACACGAAGAAGAAGAATAGATGTGCAGTCTATAGTTATACTCTTCAAGTAGCAGTAGCTAGGGGCAAAACACTAAGAATTAGTTATATTCTTCAAGAAGTAGGGGGAAAACACGAAGAAGAATAGATGAGCAGTCTATAGTTATACTCTTCATGAAGAAGACAAATAAACTCGTTCTGTATAAATTTGAGTATAAGAGGTTTCATGTATCAATCGTAATGGCTTGAAGATACAGATACTAGCTTGGAATATTAGGATGACGAACTACTTTTTTGAGTCTCTTAGTCTTGTCTCAAGACAGATCGGCATCGGTCCCTCTGGTCACGCATTCACGTCAATCTCTGGATCGTCATGATCATGATCAGCTAAAATGGTGATCTTCAAAGATTTATGGAAGTGTTCCATAAAAATCTTGATCTTCTGAACAACATTTCGAGATATGGTGAAGATCTTCAAAACAACATTTCGAGATCCACGTTCTTCATGCTCTGTAGTAGGATCTGGATCATGAAACAGACTACGATTTTTGATCTTGCACTGTACTTGTACAACGTAGAAGTTGTACACGACTTTTCACGACATCGAAGAAGCCACCTCCAGGCGTCCTCGCAACAAGTGTTGGTGTTCTCAAAAAATTGTAGACAATCATGATCTTGTATTTCATCTTTCAGGTGACGTGGCAACTACAGATATAGGAAATAAGAGAGGCTGATGAAGTGGATGAAAAGCATACAACTTCATCATGTTCTTCGTGGTGTCAGCAATCTTTGCCTTGGGGACCACGAGTGTGTCCATCTCCACCTCGTTGTAGATCTAACACGGATCATACAGCAATTCATAGTGTCCTGGCCTGTAGAGGAAGTCAATCCGTGACGTAGCCTGCCCAAACAGCAGCTCGTGGATAGTGCAGGCTGTTCCGGGACTCTGATCCAGGTAGAAGATTCGCGCTGGCACCTCAAAGTACCGACAAAGCGCTTGAACCTGCAACTCGTCCGCTTCTCGCCAGAGGGGGTCGACCTGGACGATCGGCGTTAGATCGGGTATCACAGATGAACATGGACACACGGACTCGTAGAAGGAACAAAAATCACATCTTCAAGTATTTATCTTGCATCATGAAGAAGGGATCGCCTAAAGGTACTAAATAGAGGAAAACAAGCCGGCTGCTTTAAGTGCTGTGAGCGTCGCTGGACCCAGACGACCTTCGCCGTTTTACGGGCAAAAAAAACTAGGCGTAGGCGTATCATATTTATATAAGTAATCAAGTAAGTACCTCGATCTTCACATAGAATCAATGCCTCAAGAATTGTCGTGGAGTACATCCAAACATACGCATTAATACCTCGCTCATGCAAAATGCCTGAATTGTCGTGTACATCGTCAAAAACGGCAAGAAGTCGTCTTTATTCTGTTTCATGAAGCTGCTGGTCAGACACCGGAAAAAGCATATCGGATAGTTCATATCGTCGCTTTGAAAAAGCTTCTCTACTTCCGCAACGTCTACTGGTGTGTCCACATCCTTGAAGACGCCGTTGTTAAAGGTAGCTAGGTTGTAGCCGTACATTTCTAATCTGATTTTTATCTATGGTGAAGTGGATGATCCTTGAGTCTGACTCCCTCTTCGTTTTTTCCTCTCAAAATCTTCAAGTTCTCAGAGTCAGAGTGGTGCTCGCACAATCACGAGAAATATAGAATCCCACTCAGGATTTTAGCTCCACCTTTACCTTTTCACACAGGATAGTGACTACCTTCTACCCACACAACAAGATAGTAAAAAGAGTGACTAAAAACTACAGTAAGAGAGAGTAAGATCAAGATAGTGACGGCCATAACATTGAGCACTTCCATCAATTCCTCATGCATCTCCTCTATGGCGAAACGGTCGTAGCCAGCCGCCTCACAATACGCCAAGCTGCTGTCGAGCAAAGTTCGTATCCTTTTTCGGAAGGCGACGTCCGTGCACATACCTTCGTTGTGGAAAACTATGAGCGTGAAGATTGTAAATACTTCTGTTGATGTACGACATGGGAGCAGTACTGTTTGATCTTCTACGAGGATAGGATAGGATAGGATAGGATAGGATAGGATAGGATAGGATAGGATAGGATAGGATAGGATAGGTTGACGAGGGAGTACAACTGTTTGATGTTGATCTTTGCGGTATTTTATCAGGAGAAAAACTCGTTAGTACCATGAAAGAGTCCAAAAAGGTAGCTCCGGTAAAAGCAATTCCCGTCGCGGCGGCATCTCCTCAGTAGCCGAAAAGGCAGCGCGTCTACCTTTTGGGCGAAAAGTGAACCCGCCTCAAATTCCTGGAGGAAAAGAACTTAGAAGGAGCGTTTGAGCGTCCTCCAATTTGAGTACCGGAAAAGAACATTATACAACTTATAACAAAAAGGGTTTTTTTAGATGAGCGTCTTTCGAATACATGAAGCGTTTTAGAAGAAGCGTTTTTTTAGATGAGCGCCTTTCGAATACTTGATAGAAGTTGAAGCCAGAAGGCAGAAATACTCGTAGGATCTTTTTTCTACTGTAGTGAGTGTTGTGCGCATCCGCCTTAGTGAACAAGAACGACTACATTCACCAGCAGCGTCAGCTTGAAAAAAGATGGATCGAATACACTACATGCTCGAATAGTCTTAACAACTTTTCGCTCCGTCGCTGCTGCTACTCTTATCTGGACGTATAGGCTCCAAGCATCCTATGGCTCTCGCTTCTTTCGCTTCTTCTCTAAGGCTTTCCATTTGGGCCATCGTGCCTGCATCTTGCGCCTGCCTTTGCGCATCAACATCTTCAACGGGATCACTCATTTTTGTGATCTTGTGATCTACTAGGACCAAGAAGAACGAAGAGCTGCTCTGATGATGATCGCTTCAGAGTACTTAATACTTAGAAGTCCACGAATGATGTACTAGGACTAGGAGAAACAAGAATTGAATAACGGATACTGATGAATAGAAGTCTTTATCACAGAACCAACAGCATAGAAGAGACAACGACTGAACATCAGGATCAACATGTTTACGTTGGTTTCATAGTAACAAACCAAATAAAAGCGAAATAACATGAAAAGTAAGTACACTTCTCCTACTCCCTTACACAGTGGTATCAAAACAGACAGACCGGAAAATTCATATTGATATTTCCTGCTGACCAAGATTTAAACATTGAAAGAGTTCGAAAAAGTGATCGGATATTCGGTTGGACCAGTCCAGGATCCTCGGAGCACCTTGTGTTCCTTGGATCTTCAGTGTGACAGTCATCGTATGGTCTTCGGACCTATAATTGATAAAAAAGCGATGTCGCGCCAGCATCAAGAAGAAGAATGCATCGATAAAAAGGGAAGCAACATCTTCACGACAAGCGTTTTATTTCATACACAATTTCACCAGTCACAGCATATATTTTGGTGACGAAGAACGAAAAACGAATCTCAATCTTCTGCGTTACGCAGACAAGAATTGTTGCCCTTGTCATAATTTTTATCCGGGTATTCGTATTGTCATCTTGCCAGATGATTGCTCGGATGCAAGAACGCCTAGAAGACGTGTACTGAACATTGAAAAGGTAAAGGAAATTATAAATTAACAAACAAGACTATACATATCAATGATTCACAACAATGAATGAAAACAGAAATATGCTGCAGATCAAACTTATATAAATTTTTTCTTGTGCAGCGACTGCTGCTGCTCCTTGTAAACCATCTTCCGCCAGCACGTTTTTTAGGCCAGCCTCTAGTACCAGTACCAGTTGTACCTGCTTCCCGACAAGTAGCACATTTCATGTAGTTGTCTTAGCCTCGCTATTCGCCCTGATGTAGTACCTGACATCACAGTCCGTGAGGTCATGACTCGCGACACCCTTCAAGGCTAGTGCTACATTGTATTTCAGCAGTGTCAACAAATCTAACAGCGTCATGGGGGACTGTGGTTAGAGCTCCCCCTAATCCATCTAGAGACTCATCTTGAAGCATTTTTCCCCTCATGGAACAACAGTCTCAAGATGCTTCAGCTGGAGATGGATTACTGGAAGCCATAATGTAGAAATTTCTTAGATGCGGGATGATGAAACACGAAATGTCGATCCTCTTCGCACTGCGAAGTTTCACCGGCTGTACTCCATTTTTTCCTGACAAAGCAGTCAGCTATGCCTAAACAAAGTCCTTCGGATAAGGGAAATGGATTGTTGGACTCGTCGTTCTCAGCGGAGTCAGAGTCGTCGGAGTTGTCAGAAGTAGTGGTAGTTGCGGACATTGAGGTTGATGCTGATGGAGTTGTAGTTGTTGTTCCATTCATCGTAATCGCATTCCTCTCTGCTGATGCAGATGCTGAAGACAGCACACCTGAACTACCAGGCTCTATAAGCAGATGCCGCACTTTTCTGCGTCTTGACATCGACATCAGCTGAGTCGTATTCAGAGGGCGATAGGACTGCTGGAAGGTGCCAGAAGAACTTGCTACCATTGAAGAGGACGTTCCCGGACCCCCGTACTTCTCCAACAGCATGGCGAAGTATAGATCCAGCAGCACAGTCCCCATCGATTTTGGGGCCCCAGTGTTGTCTTCTGTAGTTGTGTTCCATCGCTCAGGTAGGACGTCGGAATATAGCCCAACAAGCTCATTGGTGAAGTAAGATCGCGCGTCAACTCCATGATACCGCAACAAGGAGACGAAGAAGGCATACTTGTCTTGCTTCTTGGGGTCGTAGCTGAGAGGAATTAGAGCTGGTCATCATGTGAAAAACGAGATAGACTAGGGGTGTCGTGGAAGGATGGAACGCGAAAGAATCATGACCCTACGAGACCGCACTGAAAGAACGAGCAGCAGCACTAACTTCTTAGCGACCGCTTGCATTAAAACGATGATGATATGGAGTAGTTTTATGCGAAACATTTCTGAAGTTAGAAAGTTTACAAATCATAAGAGAATGACCAACTCCATCGGCTGCAGTGCTTTTAGGGGCAGTCTTGGAATAGACGCACATACACGATGCATTGCCTCCTTGTAGTGCTTCAACTCGGCTGTAGATATCCAAAATTCATGGGGCGGTATCTCTGTTTCCCTACTACTTTCAGTGGCCGCGGCCCCCTCAGGCTCAGATGAAGTTGTTGTACCACTGCGAAGAACTTGAAGACTTCCATCATGCTCTTTTTCAAGCACTACATTCTGCAGGTTGTTGTCGTTGTTGTCACCCCATTTTCTTAATCGATCGGATCCGTTTCCGTAGCCGTTTCCATTTCCGTGCCTAGTATTAGGGGCTGAAAGTTGGCATCTCTAGCTCGCATATCTGTGGCTTTCCTACTTGAAGAAGACATAGAGACGCTCTTAGAATTAGATGATAGGTCAACTCCCAAGCCTTAATAGTAGCATATCTACCACTCCCACTTCCGCTAAATGCTCGTCTCTGTTCGAGGAACCAAAGTTCCAGTTCTTCTTTTTTCTGCCATATTTCCGCTGTTTTGACTGGAACTTCCTGGACTACGCCGTCTTTGCCTGTTTGATGATGTATGATCCTCAAGTTTCCCAGTGCTGCCGCGTCGATATCGGCTTGACTCAGGACCATAGTACTACCGTCTTCAGGATCGCGCACGTCTTCTTCATTGGAAGATGGGGTAGATAAATCAAAATCTTTTGCCGATCTCTTGTTCTCCTTTTCCGAACTTCTCCGACTCGGCGTAAGTCCATCAACGACAAAAACGTCCTTATTGTCTGCGAAGAATTCGAAGCATACGTGCACAACGACGCAAGGAACCGTGACTGCTTCGCTTCCTTTTCTTCGTAACAGGTTGTGGCAAAACTGAAAGGCTAAGCGCATTCCAAACGGTAACCCAGAAGGATGTTGCAGTCTGCTTTGATGGCCTATTTTGGAGGCTATGTTGAGTTTGAGGTCATCCATGTTGTCTGTAGTCGTGCTCTCCCTAGTCATGCCTTCGTCCTCTCGCTTTCCTTCTTTATCCTTTGTAGAAGTAGTTGTTGAGTCATTCATCTTCATGTTCATCCCAGCCTTCTGGTCGTGATTTCTCTTACTTTGCGATGCAATCCAATTTCTTCTTTTGCGCATCTTTACTTCGCGATTCTGTACTGCCTCTTCCACTATCCTTGTTTGAAAATAGGCTTCATAGTTCCTTTCGCTTGCATAAGCGTTTTCCAAATAGGGTTTGGTTTCAACTACTTCAGCCAGTTCTCTGTTCTGGATCGCCAGTGCGGCATGGACTTTAGCCGTCTTTTGCTTTCCAAAGTTCCCGATAACGCCGTCATCGGTCCACGTCGTCTTGCGTAAATAGTCTGCGTCAATTACCACGTGCTCGAAAGAGGAACTTTCGCGTTTGGTGGGAGGTGTTACCTGGTGGCCACTTTGATGAGTTTGACCTGGGACGAGGCTATAATATTTCTCTCCACCACTAATTATATTTGCAGTCTCATCAGTCCGCAGAATATCATCAATCACTGACAGTTGACGTCGAAGCGCACTTTCTCCGATGCCAGTATGATCTGCTATGCGCAAGAGCAGTGTCCTAGCTTTCGGGAGTGTCGCGTCCGCTAGTTCGTCTAGCTTTTTGCTAGTTTCAGTGTCCAGATCTAGAGTATTCATGGAGTCGGTCGTTTTTGGAGGTATACTTGGCAAACCCAAACTCGATTCACTATCCAGCGAACCGTGCGCGCTTGAAGATATTATCGAAGAAAAAGACGCGGGAGGTGGAGGAGGAGGTGTGCTAGTGTCTCGTCCTTGTGAAGCTGGCGACAGCGACGCCTTGTTCTTGCTATTCTTGTCATCTACAACTGCAGAACTTCTCGCAGCTGTAATAGGAGGATCTTTATTCCCAGCATCACGACCAGCGATGTTTTTCTTCTCCCGCTCCTTCCTAAGTGCCACACGCGTGGATGCAAGTAAGAGGTTGAGAACTGTTGTCACCTCTGGATCTGCAATTGTTCCGTCAAATGTCAACAAATCGTCTTTCATCATGTCAAACTCTAAGGTCCCCACGCTCATCGAGTAGTGTTGCTGTTGACTCTTTGATGATGTTCCTGAGTAGATATTAGGGGGACACGACTTATCCCCAGAAGAAGTGCTGGCGCAGAGTCGCCCTCCTGTTGTGCTGGATAGGTCCCCAGACAGAGACCCGGTCGTCGATTTTTTCGTTCTTGCTTCTTCCATCAAGACAGCGGAGGTCGTAGTAGTTGCAGTCCCATCTGTGGAGGACATGTTGGGAGAAGAAGTTGTGCTGGGTAACATCTTCTGTGAACTGGCGGTCGGTCTTGATGACAACGAGGAACTACCAGTTACAACAGCCTTCAAATCATCCAAAAGCATTTGTAAGAGTGCCCAAGCACCCCTTGCCCATACAGAGCGTAGTTGAGATTTCACGCTAGAGCCAGATACGCCTGGCAATGGTAAGGGATAGTCACCTCGACTGTGCTTGCTGTACGTATCCTCGATCACTTGGAAGAAAGACAGATCGGCCTGAGTACTAGGAGTTGGCTTCACCACCCGTCCTAAAACTGCAAACTCTGCGTATTTCAGCGCATCCCGTTTTTTATACGGCAGTTCGTACTCGTCCATCAAATCCAAGGTGCCTGCACAATTCACCACAGACCCCCAGCCTGCGCATTTCTGCACTGGGTAAAAACTCTCCGGAAAGTAGATGTCGTGGCTCATCTCAAAGCTCCGCGGTAAGATTGAACCGTTATGCTGAGGCGGAATGTTCAGGTAGTCGCAACCGACATAGAGCAGACGCCCTTTGGAGTTTAGGAGTTCCAGGTGTCGGGCTTGTTGTGCTGATTGTTGCTTGGAAGGAGAAGTAGAGTTAGAATTAGAAGTTGTCGAAGTCGTGCGATCTGCCACTGCCTCCTCCGCTCGTGAAGGAGTCGTTGAGGAGCGGCTGCCAAACCGAGGAACCTTCTTTTCGAATGGAATTTGAACACTTTTTACTACTGCAGTTTCTGCCCGTTGCTCGTGGTTCTGATCATCGATCTTCAAGTGGAGGACTGCATCTGGCAGATGGAGAAGACTTTCGCTATTTAGTTTCGTCGAAGAAATGACCGCTGTGGAGCTTGTTGGTGATGCGTGGTTTTCATCTTCTACGATCTCTGCACCTGCACCTGCAGCAGGAGCTTCCAGTTGTACTTTCGTCCTCCCAACCGCCAGTGTTGGCACCTCCACTCGAAAAGGCTTTAGTGTCGACGCTTCGACGTAAAAGTTTACCTCGTCTAAGATCCCGAAGGCTTGTTGGTAGCATGTGAATTTCTGATCCGTCATCCGACATCCTGCCCATCCATGCGCGTAAACTAATTCCTCTGCCAGTTGATACATACGATTCGAGGCATACGCATGATAGTTTCCCACTCGTCTGGATTTCACGAAGATAGAGGATAAAAGACGCTTGATGGATGCGACATCTGGTAGTGGTTTAGCACGTGTGGGGGTTACCGTCTGCTCTGACTCCTCTGCTGGTGTCGGACTTTCAAGTGCCTGAAACTTCTGGTACTCGTGAAAGCTAACACGATACAGGGCTCGAACTCTGGCGTCATGAATATTCGGGAAAGAAGGCAGAAGATTGCAAGAACTATAGGAAGCTTCAATCTCTGAAATTCGGTTCCGTACGCTAGCAATTTTCTCATTCAGAGCTAGCCTTTCTACTGGAGTCGTAATATCCATTACTGGTTCTACTGATTCTCCTACAAGAGCTGGTTTTTGTCCCTGCTTTGCTTTTTTCCGCTGCATTTCTGCTCCTGCGTCGAGGTCACTTTTCCTCCTTGTCAGTTGCGCTAGCTCAACGCGGACAGAATCGAATTCATCAAAATGGATCATGGGTGTTTGTTTGCAGATGGATCCAGAAGTTGATGAGGATGACCCCTTATTAAACTCTGCCACCTCATTCATCGTCCCATCGCCAAGCATGTAGTTGTAATCGTGTTTTTCCTCCAAAAATCCCCCAAAGATTTCATCTTCCTCCTCTAAAAGCATGACCAGATCGATATCCGGGTCTACAATGTCTAGCCTCCCATTGGCGTGGAATCCCTGCAAAGCACCGTAGCGCAGCAATCCTATGAACGACCCGCCGACTGGAAACCACCGCTCCGCACCTAAAACCTTATCGAAGCTGGCTTTCACGTGGCTGAAAAACACACTCGCCAAATTGTACTCTTTCATTTGCGCTTTCCTGGCTTCTCCGCCAGCGCGCAGGTTCATCAGCGTAGATTCCGCCATGAAAGGCACTGGGAAGCCACTAGATGGCTCACTATAGAAGTAATATAAACTGTTAGCGCGCCACGTACGACGAGTCATTCGGAGCTTGTCGATCGCGCGTGAGTGAGAAGAAACGTATATCTGCGTCTCGAACGTTTCTTCTAAGAAATCAAGCAAATACTCCAAGTCCCAAACCCAGCTTGCTAACGTTCTTAGAACTTTCTCTCGCTGCATCAGGTGCGTTAGATACGCGACCAAAAGCGAGTCGTCAGGCCCAAGGGCAAAGGTGCTGCCGAAAGTTCTTGCAGTAGGAGTTGTAGCGGTACCAGGAGAATCAGAAAACGATGGGTCGCTTCCTGTAGATCGTCCTTTAGTACTCGAAAAACCTCCACTGTTATTTTCCAGTCTTTCACGCACAGCGGCTCGGTTCAGTTCAAGGTAACGTGGTAAGAAGGAGTAGCGGAATTTTGGCGGGAGGACATCTGACAAACGCAGGTGACTACGAATGTAATCGTCCACCTCCACATCACTTCTAGTAGTTGTCGGTGTATCCTGCTGAGATGTTGGACTATGTGTATCCATTTCTTCTTTTCTGGTGTCCTCTGCTAGTTCCTCATTGTTGTTGTCCTCTTCTACTTCATCCTGGAAGAACTCTAGTGCCTCGTCAGGTACTTTTAGTACTTCTTGCAGTGTCTCAGTGAAGCGACTGCGATTCAGTATCCTCTGGCGATGTGACAATCGCGATGGTTCCGCATTGTGGTCGCGCATGAAGTGCCGCACATGCCATGGGGTCGTGGAGGACGAGGAAGCACTACTTCTACTTGTAGTTGCAGCTGCTTTTCCTACTTTGGCATCATCATCGTGCTGCTTGTTGAAGAAATCTTCCTCCAAATGTAGCATTCTACTGCTGAACATCCCAAACAGGTTCGTGTCTAGCATTACATCATCCAGCACGAGGGGTAACCACCTTCCTAGCTGTAAACGTAGGCGTTTGCGAAGTGATTCCCGGATCAATGTATTATGCGCCAAGTGCCCACTAGCAACGGCAGATACGTAACCTAGCAACACGTATTCTTCTTCGACTAACCGGGACAAAACGTAGCCAAACCCGAGACATTCACGCTGCGGGAAAAGCTCTACACCACCATGATCGAGCGGAATAATCTTCTTCTTGGGAGGACCAGGTGCGTCTAAGATGTTGTTATCTCCAGTACCTGAACGAGAAGTAGGACCCACACTTCCAGAAGTAGTTCCAGAAGCAGAGGACGTCGCTGTTGTAAGCAATTCTTTCACCGCTGTGTTGAATTCACGCGTCATCGCTGTCAAATTCGCTGAGAAGCGTTGGTACACCATGCCCCTATTGACGTTCCGCACATATCCTAACCGCCGTAAGACAACAGGGTCTAGAGAGCCTCCAAGATTTCGATATCCATCCGCAATCTGCGCATTCAGAGGAGAAACATCAGTGCCAGCGAGACTTTGCACAGAGGCAGCAAAAGCTTGGCCACTTCCAGCAGATGTTTGTTCTTGAGGGCCCGCGCCACTTCCTTCTTTTATCGATGTTCTGTCACCTTCCAGCGCCTCACGCTCTTCCCTTTCTGCTAGGATCCTGCTTTGCTTCACTCTCCAGTCAGCACGGATCAAGCTTTCTAACTGCTCCTCATAGGACGTGGTACTAGTTGTTGACTTATTATTCTCTCCTACTACAACACTAGTATCGTCACCCTCGTCTTCTTCCAGCATCACTTTGTACAGGATCTTCTCAAATTCTTGAACCGCATCAAATACACGCTTCTTCGTCAGCTGCCAAGTTTGAGGCTGGTGCGCACTAACTACATGAGCACCATCTTGTTCAGTGCTCTTCCCATCTTCAACAGCACTAGATGAATCACCTCTAACATCCTGCTTCACCTCGTGTATAATCTCCTCTTCCTTTCGATCTACACTCTTCACAGCCTCGATTACTACTTGATTCAGGATCTTAGGTGCCCACCGATCGGTGCTGCGTCCCAGTCCTACAGCATTCGTCTGATCCTCAGCTCGGAAGAAGTATTGCTGATAACCTGCATCCTCCTTGTCGTAGGAAGCGACGAGAAACTTGATTGGATTCTTGATCACCCCAGGTGGTAAACCTGATGAATTGGTAGAGCCGTAGTTTATGGTAGTACTGTTTGCATCGCTGGCGTTAGCTAAAGAAGATGTTGAAGATGTATTCATCATGGAGTCCTCGGTTGATGACGTATTTTTTATCTTCGTGTCCACTCCCGACGACGACCAAGCTCCCGACGTGGTACCGTTGTTCCCTGCAACCACACTACTAGCAGCTGCATCTTGTTCCTCCACTGTTTCTAGAACCAAAATTTTGTTCTTTGATCCGTTTACCACCTCCTCTTCCACCGTCCTATAGCGTTTCGACGTCAGCTTCTCAGCAGTGCTGTCCAAATGGTTGTACACATCGTATCCCTCTTTCAAATGGTAGCTATACCCATGCAGCCAACTCTCCCTGAAACTAGGTGTCAACCACGTTGCTGGAAACGTCCCACCAAGGACACTTTCTCGTCTGCTCGCTCCGTAGAAGATGAAGAAAGAAGTTAGAGCGACCGCAGTCCTCAAATTGGGCTAGGAAAGCTGGTCAGTAGAGCTGCAGACCAACCCAAATTTGAAAAAACGCGATACCCCGGTCCCCAAATTGGGCTAGGGAAAATTTGTCTGTATAGCTTGCCACCGTAGTGCCACCCAAATTTGAAAAAACGCGATACCTCGGCCCTCCAATTGGGCTAGAGAAAACTGGTCTGTCGAGCTGGCCACCGTAGCCGAAGCAGAACCATCCAAATTTAATAAAACGCGATACCCCCGTCCGTATATTGGGCTGGGGAAAGCCGGTCTGTAGAGCTGGCCACCCATCGATACCCCAATCCTCAAATTGGGCTAGAGAAAGCTGGCCTGTGGAGCGGTGTAAAAGTCGAAAAAGCGGCGCGATCATACCCCAATCCTCAAATTGGGCTAGGGAAAACGGGTCTGTAGAGCTGGCCACCGTAGTGCTCAAATGCGATACCCAAATCCTCAAAATGGGCTACCTTTTTCGCAATAATTCAACATATCCTGCTAAGAAGGTCAACATAGTCGCGTCAGATTCCAAGAACGAAGGAAACTGAAGCAGCTATTCTTGGAGTCTGACACGACTATGACGTTAGAATATAATGGAGGTGAATTCTCGTGAACCTTAAAGACGGATGTTCAGGAGAATTTTCCGCATAGCATTCTTCTGGCATCTCGACAATCTCCGAGGGACCCTGGGGAGTGAAAAATCTCTCCTCTGCCCATGCATGGCGCATATCTGCAGTTGGTAATCCTAATAATGGTCGCGGAGGTCGTGGTGAAGCAGCTTGTGCTTTGTCACTACTTATGTCGTTGTTCGTTCTGCTTCTGTGCCTCGTCTGCCCTCTACTTCTACTACCTCTCGTACGAGGATTCCATTTTCTTGATGCAAAGTTAACGAGTCGTTGTTTTAGGTTCTGGTACCAACGCCAGTGACGCATATGAATGTCCATTAGCCTCGATGGTTCTGGTCTTGACATTGACTGCGCACCGGACGTCATAGAAGTGAGCAGCGGAAGCAGTCGTAGGAACAGGAGTGCAACCCTGTGCGACAGGCTCCACCTTGTTGGCAACGACATCGTCGTGGTCTTGCTAGGAGGCGTCATCGCTTGATGAATGGTAGGGCCTTCGCGGCAAGACCTCGACACCCTGCGAGCGGGCCTTCGTTCCATCTCGACGGGCGGACTTGTCGTCGCCGGCCACTAGAGAATACCCTCTACGAAGAGCAGCGTTCGCGTGGAGACAAGCTCACGACATACACATCCTCTTCCTTTCATGGTTCAGTGGCGGTGACGGGGTACTTCTACTTGTACCATCTTCACGATATTATGCATCTTTGAGGACCTTGATGTGCCTTATATATAAAAGATACATCACATCACAGTTTTTTTATCAATAGATTTCCGTGGAGAACCGAGCAGGCGTCGGGGATTCAGTTGATGTTGAATCGCTCTTAGAGACCAGGTACGTAGAGCTTCTCATTCTCTCACTCTTCAACTCTTCGTCATCATCTAATTCCTTCAGCATGCTTTACTCGTAATATAATTACGAGCGCATAAAGACTAAGACGTGGAACAGAAAGGTAACTCAACAACGCCGGGATAGTGAGCCTACGATCTGCTGCTTTCACCTGTAGTTCTGTCGATGAAGATGAACATGTCGTGAAGTACTTCTTTCTTTGTCGACTGTGGAGATGATAATCATGATGAGCTTATGGAGATTTGTTTTCGTGTCGTCAACCTCAACATCCTAGTTGTGTATCACTTTGTTCAAGCTTTACATCATCATAGTTTCATTATCGTAGCCGATCATAGCTGCAAGGCGATGTTTCCGCGAAGGAAGGGGTATGCTCGATTAGTCCTTGGTTAGAAGACTGATAATTTCTGTAACTGCATATTTATTAGGTACAAGCTCCTGAAACAAGGATAACATTAACATGTTGATGACGAAGGGGGTTACCCCTCCCGTAGTGTCGTGCTCCTGGCTCCGACATCTTGTTCCCCTTACTAAGGAACAGATTCAGATTCAGATGGGCTCCTCCTGCCTCAGCCCTGCGCATCAAGCACCGGATCGGCAGAAATCAAATTTGAGTTCGACAGAGAAATACGAAAACGAAAAGTGAGAAAAAGTACATTTTACTTCTAAGGAAAACGAACTATAAATATGGAGATCATGGATTGAATGGAAACAAAAAACGAACATTGGACGACCGTAACCAGAACCCAATTTTGTAACCCGACGGCCGAGCTCCACAGCCGGTAGCTCGCGCTCGCTGCGTAATATTCCCTCCTATTTTTCCCGGTAACACATCATTTTTGACATGTTTACGGCGTCCCCTATAAAAATCCAAAAAAAATCATCATAGCCGTATCTATTCACATTCATCAATCAATGAGACCGAGGGACATGATTAACATTAACACGACATAAAAAATCAAGTAGTCACGGCCAGCTCACGTGAATGATGTTCTTCAATTATCACAAAAAATATTATTTGGGACAGTGCGCGCGAAAATAAAGGCCTCCAATCGTCCCCCTTCTATCTAAGAAGGAAGTGATCCGCCAGGCACATAAAACCTGTTCTTATTCTGATATCTTCAAAAGATCGAGGAGTTCGCCTTCGAGACTTGACCCTCTAAATTTACTACCTCTTAGTAGTTACCTTGCAAGTTGTTGTTGTTACCTAGATATATACATAGAGTAGATTTGTTCGATTTGTAGCGGAATAGATTTCTTGCGTAATTTGCTTTGCGAAAGTCATGTCATATATACGTGAAACTGAATACAAATAGCGTTTTTTCGTTTACGTCATTGACGTGTGTGGAGAAAAAGGTACTTAAACCGTTTTCAAAAGGTGGGTATCTACAAGGAGTACGTTCAATCGATTCGTTTGCGTTTTTTTCAAATGTTATCTTGAGAAGTTGAATCCATGATCCGGCAAAGTGCCAAGGATTTCTTCATCCCTAACGACTTCATCTTCTAAGTCGCTTTAATAACAACAGACAAGACAAAGCAGACCTTCGTAGAATTTCTATTTCTATTTGTTTCAACATGATTTACAGACGATCTTGATTTACTCCCCTTCCTTTACGTCCTAATCTTACGCGTCAAGCTCAAGCTATGCTTCACGTTGTCCTCGTTTTAGACGCTTTGAGCCGCTTTCCTGACCCGTTTGCGGAGGTACTCGCAGCAGCGCTACTCTGATCTAGCTCTCTAGTATCAGAGGTGTCATGAGATCGTTTGCGAGACCCGCCGAATACAAATCCACTGCCACGATGAGGATTAGAGGGAAGTAAAGCGTAAGATGTAGAAGTACTAGTACCTAATAAAGACGGAGAGCATGCCAGTTGTGATCGTGTATTAAAAAAAAAGAGGAAACTACATCCCTCTTCCGTAACTGTTGTATCACTGTCTTTCGATATGCCCCTCGCAGCCTTGAGCACGGCGTCAGATATGAAATCAGATTCGCCCTCACTGCCTGAGTCTCCAACATCGTAGACGCCGTCCGTGGCAAATGCCTCTGTCAGTTCAGCTGCTAAAGGCGCTACTGGTGGCTGGAGGCCTTTTACTAGTCGACTAGAAGAGGAAGAAGAAGGAGTTGTAGAGGAAGTAGATGAAGTTGAGGAGGGAAGTGGTGGTGTGGTTCCTGCACCCCCGCTGAAGTCAGCTACAAGAGCTCTCACAGCGTAACTCGGATGGAGCATGTTGTTCGCGCCTGCATTTCCACCACCTCCTGCTCCATTCATCGGTTGTACAGATACACTACTACTGGACGATGCTGCTTCGTCAGTTGTAGAAGCACCCGTTATGTGGCCTGCTGATCGGGGCAATGTAGCCTTGACAGAGTTTATGATAGCTTCGGCTAGTCGGTCTTTGTTTTAGATCTCCCCGAAAGCCATCTTGAAAGCCATCTTCTGGGGTCTCTTTTTCCCGTAGAGGGGTGCCCCAAGATGCTGCTTCTGAAGATAGATGGATTTCTCCCGAAAGCCTTAATTGTTTTTCAAAAACGCGTTGTTCGGACGCACGATGATGCCACCAAGCATTTTACTGGGGGAAGCAGTGCCAGCACCAGTGCCGTTTCCCGAGGAAGATGATGCAGAAGTGCTAGAAGGAGTCCCTGCAGCTCCAGTTCCAGAGGTGGATCCAGATGAACCGCCAATTTGCATTTCCTCTGGTATAGCGCCTAAAGGACCACTGCCATTGCCAAACATGTGATGTCCATTACCAAGAGCACTCACTCCACCTGCAGCGAGTAGTTTACGCTTTCTCGACGAGGTTCCTACATTGCTGGGCTCGTAATTTAGGTGGTATTTCTCCGCGTAAAACTGTTTCTGGCACCACTCCTCCACATCCTTGTCGGACACCTTTTCCACGTTGCGCTTAGCTTAGTAGAGTTGTTTCAGCAGCTCATCCAATTATACTACAATAAACCCTACAAAAAAGTACATCTTAGGAAGATTCGTATTCAACATCTTGGGGACAGCTGTTCTTCTTCTTTTCCTTTTATAATGGGAAAACGAAAAGGAAAACAGTTCTTCTAAGATGTACTACAACTATCTTGAGTAAAAAGATGGAGCAGGAAGATTACTCTTATTTAGGTTACAACTACTAAGAGAGCAGCCGTAACGATCCCTACCACCTCCTGGGTTCTCCGCAAGAAGCTGCAACTTTCGCTGCACCGGAATCTCCGTAGTAATGAAACATCTCAAAAGCGGATCTTTTGCTGGATCCGCTATTTTCCGCGTAAATCTCGTCCATCCTATGGATAAGCCCTCATCTTCCGTCAACTTCTTCTTGTTGATGCTGTCAGAGTCATTGTCAGAGTCATTGTCATCTTCTCCTCTTAGTACAACCGGTTGTACATCTTCATCTACTACCGGTACACCTTCATCTACTAGCGGTACATCTTCATCTACTACAGGAGGTGCATCTTCATCTACTACAGGAGGTACATCTTCATCTACTACCGGTACATCTTCCTCTACTACGTACAAGTAGCAGGAGGTACAGAGCTACTAGTAGCAGGAGGTAGTTCATCAGTGGGAGACCTCCCGTTGGAATGAGAATTCAAATCGAAAGTTGTTGTATCAGAAATTGAATCAAACACAAATCATACATAGAAGACATGGTCATAGATAGATAAAGACTCATACCAGATTGACTGATTGATTGATGGATAGATTTAGATTGAGAAGTAGAAAGATACAGATTGATAGTAAGTAAGTAACAACAACAAGCTCTTGTATTATATGGAGTGTGAGTTAGATTGTAGGTTTTTCAACTTTACTAGCCTCGCTAATAGAAGAACTAATCACAAACGCAAGTTGTATTATATAAATATAAGTACGTCAAGTTGTATTATATAAATATAAGTACGTAATGTATTTTTATATATATTTATTATAAGTGTAAAAGTAAGTAGTACGATGGATTCCACGGTTGAAAAATTGGTCCTCCTTTTTTATCGGTGGTTTTGATGGGTTCCTTGAGGAGAGAGTTGTGCCGTTCGGTTTCCTCCTCTTCCATGCCCACCTTTTTGTAGAACTTCTTGGCTCTATCGTTATTGCTGTACACCGAGAGCGACCAGTTCGAAATAAGCGCTCGTCGTATCCATGGCTTCTGATCGTACGCCCTGTTTATGTGTTCTCCAGCACCGACAAAAATTTGAGAGGAGAACTATATAATTTCACCTAAGTATTGAGAAGTTGCAGATGAAATGAATTACATTGAGCCATAAGAAAAGCAATTTCGCTAGCCCCCTCTGTCCTTCGGAGTCCTCTACTTTTAAATGACTGATTTCCATCTTTGGGCAGTCACTGTGGTCGAGCAATGTAGCGCTCGCCCCATTGACTTTGGGACTGCGACTACGCGAACCTGCTGAGGATACATCCGAGTCATCCTGGTCATCGCCGTCATCGGCATCGCCGTCATCGAAATTGTGACGATCGAAAATCGGCCTATTTTCACAGTAGTTCTCAAAAATGTGCTGCAAAACAGGATTCCGATGCTGATTTGGATGTGGTCGGTCAGGTTCTCCTTCTCTTCTCGCATGCAGGACACGAGGAATGGATTAGAAGAGTACACGTGGCATGAAGATGTTCCTAGTAATGTGAAACACGTCAGCTTCCCAACATAGATTTAGATGTGACTACTTAGAAGATAACTATAAGAGTAAATGTGAATGGTGCTGGTATTTGGTAACCTGATTTTGATCATGAGGAAAACAAGAAGGGAATCCTTGTGATCGAATTCAGGTTACCACATACTCGAACCATACAAATAAATGGGATATTTTGAAAAAGGATGGAACTGCTAGAATATGCAAAAAATGCTATGTATCTATAGACTCCGATATATATTGCTGCATGGGATAAGCCTAAGTTTTAGAGGTAAAAACTAACCGTATAATATTAAGCCATAATTGGCATTGACGTCTGAGTCTAGTGGCGACATTAGCGCGTTCTTGTGCTGCTGGAGTTGTCTGTGCTGACTCCGAGGACTTCCGGGTTCGTCGTGAGTCTTCTCCTTTGGCAATACCGCTTTCACAAAACAGAACCCCACTATACTTTCCTCTCGCCCATCCCATTTCACCACTTTCAGGGTTCCTGGTTGGTAACGGAAATTGAAATCATCCTTCCTGGTTGGTAACGGAAATTGAAATCATGATTCCTGGTTGGTAACGGAAATTGAAATCATGATTCCTGGTTGGTAACGGAAATTGAAATCAGATCATGATGTTGAATAATGAAGGAGCTCGGCTCTTTTTAGAAAAATCTTGTTCATGTCTTTCGTCCAATGTAGCGGACAAAAGCAACTTCCTTCTCTTCTTTTCCTCCTGGTGATAAAACCTACATAGTTGCTTTAACATCCAAAGATGCCTAAGATCAAGCTGTAATCAAAATATAAAAAAGTACTCGAATGTTTGTTTTTTTCTGTGCAGAGTCTTTTGATGACTTTTTCTCTTTGCGTCCTATCCACCGAGAGTCCTACGCTCTTGCATGCGACGCTTTTTGGAACCATGTCTCCACTGCGAACGACCCTAGGATGTGCCATGCTAATCAAATCCCGATGGTTCTCGATGAACTCCTCTTTCCTTAGAAGAGGACGATAGGCCGCATAGACGGAGAGGGCGGTAGAGGGAGACGTAGAGCTAGCGCGAATGACAGAAGCACAACATAAGAACAACCCTCTCTGCTAACTCCCTTATAAGAATAAGTAATTGAGAACTACAACATCAACTATCTTATTAAGTTTCAAAATCATAACTCCAACTCCGTGAGGCGTTTGGCATCACGCTCTTGGGAGTAAAAGCACGTGTATTTGCACCCATTCTGGTACATGCAAGCGAGAGCTTTGTATTCCTTCTGTGTCACACTAAAACTAGTCGTTTCCCGCGTATGCATCGGATCCACCATCAGGTACACTGGCGTTGGAGTAGGTGGAGTAAGTGCAAGTGACGTCAGTACATGTAGTACGTGGAGTCCGCAAGAAGTGCGACAACATTATATCAAAAAATATGCAGCTATGAATCAAATAAAGTACCTGTATTGTCGTCCGTTTGCGAATTTTGCGAATAGTGCCGACGCTTCCAATGTTTCTGAGCCTTGCCCTGACATATTTCCGTCACTAACGGCAGCATAGCCGCGTGCTTGCTCTTGCATTGTGCTGCGCAAGGAGTTGGAGAAAGAGATGCTAGAGAAGGACAGGAGTATGAACAATTATAATGTTGCGAAATAGAGGTTCGAAAGTGAACAAGGAGGACATACTCATATTTATATAAAATATGAGTACGTTCATCAAGTTGGTTTTGGTTCTAATAGTAATATGCTTGTTTTTGATTTGCTATAGTAGTCACAACTCCTGACACTGTGCTAGAAGTACTTATTTTCTTGTTGCATTAAATTCAAAAACTACATTGAAGTAGAGGCGGGGCGCTGCTAGAAGTACTTAATTTCTTATTCTTGCAACATAAAAGTTCAGCGAACTGGACCAAATTCAGTTCCCTGTCCCACATCTCGGGACCACCTTGCCATTGGGCCCCCTCGCCTGCCCAGAGCTGGCGTCCAGGTCGCCACATCACGTTGGGTGGTGACCCAAACGCTGCAAGTAGTCGCACTGTCATTCGCTTCCGCCGGTTGGTTCGCTCCATGTCACCCTGGTGAAATTTTAAGTGTTCATTGTCATCATTCCGTCTCAAGTGATCATATCGAACCACCGGCGAGACGACATATTTCCCGCAGCGGTCAACCCATCATTCTACTTGTCTATCTATAAAAATCAGTTTGAGCAGTACCAGTCCCGTTTTCCTAGATTTCACTGTTCCGGCCATGACTCCCATCGTCCCGCAGCCGTTTGCTCCCGAGAGCCTCTTCTCTTCCCGACCGACGAAAGTATAGACGTCCCATATAGCCCAATGCATGGGTAATAGTCCGCCAAAGCACCTATCCCTCTGATCCAGCGGGAATTTCTTCTTAGAAAGGACCTTCTTCGTAGTACTAGATCATCTACTCGACTATTTATGAGTATGCAAGAACATGAGGATCTCGATCTTTCTTCTGGAATATTGATATTCTTGAATATTGACAAAATCTAGTGATGGCCTTAATCTTCTCCGTCAAAAGCCACCTCACGATTGGTGCATGCGCTTCCTTACAGGCATAAAACATGCACGTCTGGTGAAAAGTGTCCTTTGCAGTGGTTAGAGGAATCAACTGGGAGCAACGTCTTCAGGAGGTGCGTCTTGTTGCCATTCAGTGATCATAGTTGTACCTATTCATTGTTATCATACCTGAAATGCTACTACTTCATTTAAAAATCAAGGACATCGACGTCATAGTGAAATATAATTTCATGTCCTCCCTCTGAAACCACGCCGCTGATGCTCCTGTATATATAAGGAGTCTCAAAACGATTTTTCCCTCATGCATAAGTAGATGTCCATGCCAAGAGGGGGTTTTCCAGTCCGCGGATCTCGTATGTTACTTGGGCAGGACTTTGAGAGTGCATCCAACTTTTTCACTATCTGGAGTGGCCCATTTTTGATCGTGTTCTCCTCACTGTTATCGATCGTGCGTGCACAAGCGTAGTGGAAGTACGTCCGACGCTGATCCCTGCCAGGTGGAGGCTCGCTATCGGTGCAATGGCCTTTTGATATAATTTTTGGGTGTAATAAGCTTGTGAAGGTGAACCACCTTAGATGATAGTCAAAAAAAAATATTATGATTGTAGAAAGAGAAACTCGTCGGTCAAACTCAAATCTAATGTATCTATACCTAAGAACTCAAGTACCAAGAAAGACCATGCTTTCCAGTGTTTGAAGGAGAGGTGCTATGTCGCCTTGTCGTATCCTCTCTGCCAGGTCTTTGTCCCAGTTTGGCGCAAAAAATTGCCCAAGCCATGGTGAGGACGAATTGGAAGATGCCATGCTGCTTTAGTTGCCCTTGACGATGTTACTCGGTTGAAATGTATGTACAAACGTAGTATCCACGAAACCCCTGAACTTGAACTTGATGGGAACGTTGAGCAGCAGGTGAAGCCACGAGCACCTCTCACTCGGTTGAAATGGAAATGTTGCTGAAGGAGGACCGTCGCTTTACTAGTTGCTCCAGCAATTGTGAGGTGGCGTCGCGTAGTTGTTCTTGTTGCTGACCACGACGTTGAGGGATTTTTCTTCTTGAAGATGATCGTCTCTCCTGGTCTTGCGTATTCGAAACAAGGGAGAGAAGACGTCGCGGAGAAGCAGGTTGAGGAAGAAGAGGAGGTGGATGAAGAACTACTACAGGAGCCGCTAGACAACATCACGCAGAAAGAAACGACCACCCAGAAATCAATGTAGTTGTTAACAGGGGACAAAACTGGTGGTCGTGTACGTGTTCGGCTTCGGTATCGGTTTGAAATATATAAGTAGGGAAGGAACAACAAAACTGGTAAACTGGTCGTGGGCAGTAGAAATCCGTGATGAAGGTGAAGATCTCACACCTGATGATGCGTCCCTCTTCTTTTAGCAGCAACAAAAACCGTGTACACCTCGTCGAGTCGATCCTCTTCGTAAGGCACCCCTAGCCTTCTTGGGTCATTGTCTTTGGTGAAGATTCTCTGATCACACGGCCGATGGATATACACCACCGCCTGGCTACTACAGAAGAAAAATCACAAGTAAAGGTGGAAGTAGAAGATGTGATATTTTTTCAATTTTTTTATTCGGGATATTTTTTTGTTGTCTTTTGTTTTTGGGAGAAGTCGGTTAGGTTAGGTTAGGTAAGGTGTGGGCCTACCAAAAAAGTTGGCAGACATGCGCGGCTGCTGAAGAGCCAAGATGAAGCTACAAAGTCGGTGAAGACTTACACGTCGAGGGTGCAATCACTTTCACTAACTAGCCTAGCACCTAGTAATGATATTGCCTCATCACAAACAACTCACTGTTGAATCGCTGTTTTTAAAGAAATGTTGAACTTGAACGTGTGAAAAACTTTTTGCAACTCTCTCCAACATGTCGATCATGTTGTACATGCGACCAAGTCGTCCATGTAAGTAGTTGAGTGTTTCTTGACTGGGTAATCAGTAAGGATTTGAAATTAGTGGAATACAGACACTCAACCTCCTATAGGTTCCTCAATAAGCACACAGAAGTACAGATATACTGAAGTATCACCACCACCACGCTCTGAATTTACCTCCTAGCCAATACTGCCTGCTGTGCAGAGGACCGTATGAGCTTTCCTGACGAGAGAGGAGCACTACATTTGAAGAGATACTTAGAAGTTACAACATGGTCCAGACAAGATCAGAGTCTCCTCGAGGAAACTGTATCAAAGCAGCACTTCTGAAGAATTCTAGTGGCGCTAGTGTTAAAAGTCCTGATTGTCTTTTTCTTGACCTGTAGATCACATGCCGGACCTGAGGTTCTCGCGAAAAGCTGATCATCAATGTATGGTTTTCAAGCTTCCCAGCTGTGAGAAAAATCGCGCACGAGTGATAATTTTGACAAATTGTTCGCACGTTTCTCTGCAAAAGGGAAAGGGTTGATAAAAGATCCTTCCTCCTTGTTGGGTTTAACCTGTTTTGACACAGCAATGCCAATGTTCAGATCAACAAGTGCTTATACGGTACGTTCTTCATGTTGTACTTAGTTGGACATCATATAATATTTATAAATATTTATAATGTCCTTCTTGGAAGAATATCCCTACGCATGAGGGACACACCATGTTGAAGATCTCAGTCGTCTGTGCATATCTTCGATGTTCAGAAAATCTCAAACAGATTTTTTTTAGCGTTCTTCCATGATATTGAAGCTAGATATCTTTACCTCCACTCGAAACAAATAGGCTGAATCTGATGTAGTACTGATCGATAAGCACTAGAAGTACGATTGATAAATTGGAAACGGATCCTGCTATTTATTCAGTCGTACCTGTTTACCTCAGTGCACAGTGCACGTGACATCGTCATCGTCTGCAACTATTCAAATACGTCTACAATCTATACAACAGCGTACCTCGGTCAAGATAATTTCATTTTATCGTTATCCATTTTTCACCAAAAAAATCCTCACGACCGTCCACCAGCCTGTGATTTCACGCAGAGCAACTCTTCTAGACTCGGAATCCACTTTTTTCGGTAGCTCCGCCAAAGCGTATGTTCCAGCCAGTATTTTGCTGATGTTAATTGATGGGGATTAGAAGGGATATGATCAGAAGACCCCCGAAGTCTATCAGTTCTTAAGTTCATGAATATCAAGGTGACAGGTGGTGGACAGCTGCCCTTGTTAATGTTAATACACTTGGACTTGCACCAGAGGAAAAGTGAAACTTGTGTATTTATCATCAACATGCTCCTGCCTGTGAAAGACGATGGACGACGAGGTGCACGTCGTGCAGGTGCATCTACATCAACATTCAAGTACCTAGGTACTCAATGTAATGTCAGAACGCCGCGCCTGTGAAAGACAGATAGTATGATTATAACCTACTCAGTATCGTATCAACAAGCCGACGTAACATCAGCAGCCTGCAGAGCTTCCTCGACACCCTGGTCTTTTACGTTCAGCAAAACGCCATTCTCCAGCATATCCCTGCCAATCTGCTGCACCACGGGGAATAAACTCTGTAGGGAAGTGGGGATAAACTCTGTCGTGAAAAAGGAGTTTGAAAAAGGCAGAGTAAAAGCACAGAGTAGAGACAAGGACTAAGAATAACAAACAACTTGTTGAGTGTTCATCGACATCGGCATTCGAAAAGAAATAGCACGACAGATTATTGGATCGAAAACCAAAATACTTCATTCAGGATCACAAATGAGATGAATAGTACCCCAACTTGAAAGATCCGCAGACTGAGCAACAGGTGACGCAATTTCCAGCTATCTGGGGAGTATTGGTGCAGGCCCGTTCCTCCCGGTGGAAACCCGCGTATTTTCCTGCGGTCAAGCACTGGTATATCCAAAAACAGGGTATTCGGATGTCGTCGCCACCAGTCTTGTTGGTAGTTTCTGGAGGAGGAGTCTTCACCAGTTGTGCGTAGAGCTTGAGAATCGGAAAGTTAGAGGATGGATGGTGAAGTAGTAAACGGGAATTAGAACAGAGGACTAGGCTAGTATTCACCAGTGATTCTTCATCTACTTACTTGTCGTAGTTCATGTTCTACTTTGGACAAAACTAACTCCAAGGGCAATGTACATGCACTCAAACTAATCTTTCGTAGACAAAGTAGAATGGAAATTGCTGGAATAAATTGGAATTGGAACCAAATGATCCCCGTAAACATCATACCCCCACGCATGCAAGACTATATGCACACTACGCCGATAGGCCTCGAGCCAGGAAGCATCGGATTTCAGCGTTTTCACGACTTCTGGCGAGACTAAGAAGTCTTCTCCACTCCGATATGTCGGTAGATGGATAGGAAAGATGTAGGTGAACATCAACGTCTGCGTCCCCGCTTGCCGTATCCTGTGCCATTTTGCTTCATCAAACCACATCTCTAAGTCGCGGTAGCATGGCGTCACCGGCAATACTTGTAACAACCCTTCTTGTTGACCCCGCTTGTTCATAGACGATAAGCCGCCACGAGTCCCAAAGACTCCGGGAGCACGGTCTGAAGAAGATCCACCTCCCGAAGCTAGTTTTAGAGTGCGCTAGATGATTTAGAGCTTCATATCTCCCATCTTGATTATAGTAGGTGCCTTTACAAGATTAACCCTTGCATTCAAGAACACGCAAAGACATAAAGAAGATGACAGTCGCGACAGCAGTGCCACACTAATTTGATCATGGCAAGAACAGATACAGGGGAAATAAAGAAACAACCCTTGTATTTGATGACACTACTACAGGGGAAAAAGCCGTGAAGATGCTGAGTGACATCGACCTAAGAGTCGACCATAAGAGTTGTGAGTCCTTATACAGTCGTTCTTCTTCATCGATTGCATCCTGATTCTCTGTTTGATCTCCGTAGTGGTACAGGCGATTGGATGGTGCGGTCTTCTGCGGACCAAGGAGGTTGCGATTTAAGGTTCTCAAGTCTCCTGCACCCGGATCGACATTGTCGAGGTTGAGGAAACGACCGCTGTCCAAAAGCATCCGATCTCTGAGAGTCGCCGCCCGCTTCGACGCAGCATCGTTCTCTTGCGACAAAATAGGATCCTCGCTCAAGCGCGGAAGAACCAGGTCAACGGCTACGACATGACCACTGTGTCCGAAAAGGCGGGCGCGGGTTAACCAAAGTACTTAGAAGATGAGTGTTCAGAAGATACGGTCAGCAGCAAAGGGATAGACACCTAAACAAGTAGATGTACCTAAACAAGTAGACAAACTCCACGCGTACAAGTACAGCTCAGCTTACCTAAACAAGACAACCACAGCCACCACGGCTACGGAGAGCGAAAGACGAAAGTCTGCTCATGATTGATCATAATTATTGTTCCCCTGTGCTCCACCCGAATGGCTCTCTTGTACCGGAACAGCTCCTGACCGATAAATCGGAACCACGTCGCCTCCCAAAAAACTCCGCATACTAATCTGCACCGTGAAAGGACCCTTCAAAGGTGTGTTCTGCGGTTCTAACATGCACACGTGAAGAAAGAACAGCCTCACCACCGTGGCTCTCGTGGTGCCCCTAGTTTCCTTCTTCTGCAATTCAGTAAGCGACGCACCCGGAGCTCCTGAAGTGGCTGCGCTTCTCTTGATGGCACACTCATCCACAACTAGATGCAGGTCCTCGACATCGTCCAGCAACTGTGCGCTGCAGAGGAGCTCGGCTTCGTCTCGCGTACCCTCAGCGAATCGTAGGAGGCACAAACTGTGATCCGCGATGCTGCTTGAATCGTACTCGTCGATACCGGGTGGTATTTTTTCTTCCTCGTCGTTATGAATTATGGGATCGCCTGGTCTGTGCAGATTTATGTCTCGCGTATTTACTATTTTGCCTCCCTTAGAAACAAACGGACACGCTTAAACCCACATACGAATTTTAGGGAAAATTAGGGAACCATAATATCCCCTAACTTTCCCTAAATTTTGACCTCCTCCACAAGCGTGTCCGTTTGTTCATAACTCCCCTCAATTTGTTGAACGCCGAAGAGAACTTTGGTGTGTTCCTCTTTCCACCTCCTTGTGATGGTTTGCTCTTGCTATTGCCGTGTACGTTTACCCAGCCATCCAAGTTGTTCAGTTTCGATGACCCCACCTGGTCATGCGCCATCAACGAAGCAGTCGCACCACCGCCAGTAGCGCTGTCACTGGCTTGCGCGAGCCGCAGATGCATGACATTCGGAAGATACTTTCCACCCAAACGCCTTTCGGTGCCAGCAGTTGCGCCAGCAAAAAGCTCCACCAAGAAATTCGGCGGCCGTTGCCCCAACTCCTCCGCTTTTCCCTCTCCTCGTTCTATCAAAACAACGCGCTCAGGCTTCAACGAGTGATGTCCGCCAGCATCCCGGGTCATCCCAATACCACTTCCTGACGCTCCAACTGAACCCGAAGCACCACTCCCGAAATAACCACCAGCACCCGTATGCACTCCAGTCGAGCCTACACTAGTGCTAAATATTTCTCCACTCTCCCGAAAGTACTCGCAATCTCTAGCCATGATCGACCGAGCTAGAGCGAGGTTGAAGTCGCTACCACCTGGCACGTGTCTCGCTTGTCCAGGATGCGCAATCTGGACTCCAGTACTCTCGAAGCTACGCCACCCACCTGATGCTTTCCTTAGATGAAGATGAGTGAGTGATGCATCAATTATGCCACGACTGGTACCACTTCCTTGTTCTTTATGTTGACATGAATCAATCATCATCTCTATTTTCCGAATATCTTCAGAACATGCTACAGAAGTATCATGAATTTGTGCGTCTTCGTGTGCAACCCCTTTTTCCTGCCTAACTCTGGAATATGAGCTGCAGGTGGGCCTACTCTCATCGTTTGCCGCCTATGATGCTGCAAGAATGCGCTCGCCGAGTACAAATCCGGAGGTATTAGTGCTCCATACTTCTCACTGAACAGCTTGCCTTTATTGACCCGCAGCCACTCGTTAAAGGCGTCTGCACTGAAGAGGCAGTTGTTCAGTTCCGATGGAAACCGCTCAGCGATCGCGGCACGCGAATTCAGCGGTTTGCGACAAACTGGATTCACACATTCGCGTACTAGTTCCGCGTCGTGGCGCAAATTCAGATCAATCTTGCCGCGTCTGAAAGCACGCGCTAGTTGCATCGCTAGGCCCTGATCGTCCTCACGCATACTGCATTCGTGACAAAAATACTGTTTTCGTTGTGCTTGGGATTAGAGAAGGACGTATCGAAAAGAGTAGTAGAGCACACGAGGAAGATGAATGGATTGTTTATTTGTTTCTTTGAGTTTGAACTATTACTTAGGTTCGCCTTGAATATGAGTTTGAGTATGGTAGCCATAATCAGAAGCCAACAGCGTCTCCTTTAATGCTAAGCCCTGAACTACCGCGTCGTCGGTGCTCAGTCCTGCCGCTCCACCGTGACCTTGCATCCCAAAGATATCTTCCTCCCCTTCAAAAGTCAACCTCTGATCTGACCTATACTTCTTCGAGTGAACGGCTAGGTTTAGATGACTCCAAAGAGCTCCCAAATAGCCGCGTGGTCCCTGAGTACACCCTTGGCCCCTTTTTCAACGAACTGGGAAACAAAAAGGGCCAAGGATGACCCTAAACCCTATTTAAGCGCGCGGTAGCCTTAATTGATCCTTCAAGTAACGGTGCATCAGCGCCGCCGATGGCCTAGGTCCTTGGCTTACTCTAGTTGTTTTTACACCCATCGAAGTGTATCTGGCATCTGATGAAGATGAAGCTGCTTTACTGTCTCCAGTAAGGGGTCTGTTCCCCATCATCATCGTGCCACTAACCCTACCAGATGCATCGACAGCATTTTGAAACGAGCGTGGACCGGGAGAATGATCTGGAGAATGACCAGGAGAGTGGTTGTCAGGAGAATGTTGACTTGTATCATCTAATAGAAGAAGTCCACCTCCTGAGATAGCACCGGCTAATGCTGTGTGACGTGCGCGCTCCAATTTCTTACGCAATTCAACACGCTCTCCTGGGTCAAAAAGATGTGGAACAGCTCCTCCTAGTGCTTTTTCTCCGTGAATTACGTGTGGGGGATCCTCCTCATCATGGTCCTGAAGATCCTCCTCATCGTGGTCAATATCGCTATCTTCAGCAATCGACTGCACTGAGAGTTTCGAAGAACGACAGGAGGGTATCGACGAACGTATTGAGTTTTTGGAGGCTCTACCACGACCTCTCGAGCTGCTGGAAGACACTCTTCTCTGCTGATGCTCCTGAGTTGACGACGCAGGAGTTCTTGTGCGAAGATTAGTAATTCTCGTTCCGTTTGGCGACGATCTCGTTCTCGTTGGAAATGGTTTGCTTTTAGCGTCATCAACATGTTGTTGATCGGATGTCGAAGTTGCAGAAAACCTAACACCGGGCGAGCCTAACCTTGATGCGGCTGCTGTACCGCTAGTACCTCCAGTACCAGTAGTTGCACGACTAGTGCGTTTTATTTGATTGAAATTTCACGACTTGGGGAAACCCATGGATTTTCAGCGGAAAACCTTCAGTGCAGCAGACTGGGCACTTATTCCCCTAAGATAGAATGCCGCAAGCGGACGGCCGCGGATGTTACACTTGAAGAACATGCCCGACAATCAAGCCCAAAACTTTGATCCCGTCATAACTAAGGGCACCCACGAGACAAGACACACGACCACGCACTTCTCTGCAGGCCACCCAATGCCGAAAAAGAACACCACACAACGACGACAGCCCCCCACCTGAGAATCCGAGGGAGAGAGCACGACCACACACTCACACACCTATCCATCGCGCCAACACACCGGCGCTCCTATGCGAGCCCACCAGTGGCGCCGAAGAATAACTCAAAGCGCACACGCAAGACACCGCGAACCATCCAACAACAACGAGAGCCATTCATGCAACAACAGCAGCGACCACAGGAGGCTGCTTCCCCATAGCTCGGGCTCACCTTGCTTCGAGAACGAGAAACCAGACCGACAACTCCAAAAAGGCTGGCGTCTGCGTCAGACGCCAGGATTCTGGCTTGTCTCCGAGACCATCCAGATTTCTGGGACCACACAGATTTCTGGCGTCTGACGCAGACGCCAGGGGCTTTCCCGGTTCACCTACCGACCCAGTGCACACTACTGGGTCGGTACGCGAACCGGAAAAACCGCTGGCGTCTGCGTCAGACGCCAGAAATTTGGATGGTCTCAGAAATTCAGAGAGAGACATCCGAGAGTCCTGGCGTCTGACGCAGACGCCAGACTTTTTGAGTCCTCAGCCAGAAGACACACTGAAAGACCAGCTCCCCCACCCCAACAAGCCCAGAAGCCTCCTGCTCCACAAAAAGGAAGGACGCAACACCACTCGCGATGGGAGCGCCAGACCCAGAAACACGACCATCGGCAGAAGGTCGCCTTTCTTAGGTGGAGCAAGAACGCGGCTCCCTGCACGGCATGCAGCTACGGACCTGCGGAGGACACACGCGAACGCGAGGGACACGAGCGACCAGAATGGGCCTGCGACACGGCATCTAGGGCGGGGCCGCTACCGTTATATATCGCACCAGCACCAGAAGCAGGCGCATAGGTCTAGTTCGTGCGTGGCATGCACACGTCGCCCAAATACCATGTCGCACAACCCCGCGCAATAACAAGGAAGAGTAGAGAGGCAAAACAACCGGCCACCAGGTGCAGAATCTACCTGCACGGCGCTCGCTCTATAGGCACGACTCGCCCAGTGTCACCCACTCAAGGTTTTCCGCTGCGATAGTATACGAGGAACAAAAGTCATGTGAAATTTTGTACGAGACTTGTTCGTGAGTTAGCAGACTTTCTATCTGTAGTTCCTTCTGAGGTTCTGGAAGATGCATTCCTTGTAGGAACTGAGTCCCGTAATCGTAATGGCCCAGCTTCTCCTGGGTCATTTTTTCCAGTGATGAACGGTACTTTTCCAGCACTTGTTCTTTCGCCCTCTGCTTGGGTATTTCTACTTACGATATCATTATTTTTTGTTGTTGATGTTCTAGTAGTACTAGATCTAGATGTTGCCTCCTCTCCTCCTGTACTATTTTTCATCAACGCCGTCATAAAGCCATGTGCAATTGCCTTAGAGGATCCTCTGGGAGCGTGCGGAGCAAGCCCTTCCTCGATCGACTGCATTCGTGCAGACCTGGCGATTCCGAGAATCCGGTCCCTGATGTCCTCCACATCTTCCTTTTCATAGACTTGACAGCGGTTAGAGCGAAGACTACCGAGGTGGAGAACATTCTGGTACATCTTGATCTTCATTCTTGTTGCCATTAATTTACAATCCTAGTGCTGGAGGTCTCTATTTATTATAACATCGCAGGAGGTACTGGTACAGTAGTACTACCTCCGCATACTTCGACATCGACTTACCAAAAAGTATTCAAGTAGCTGTCATAACAAGTGCCAAATCCAAGTTCCCGAACACTTGGTCAACATCGGCATGCGTCCTTAGGGCCAGGAAGTCTTCACCGCCGACCTGATAGAACTCTGCGGCTCGCGAGTTGATACTACGCGACCTCCTCAGTTCTGGGATGTGCTTACGCAATACCTCTGCGACATCGTCAGGTGTGGAGGTGGAAGCGATCAGGTATACCATTTTCACACTTTTTTTGAGCTCCTGGAGTTGTATTTTCACTACATTTTTAGTTTTACGTAATGTAATTTTGAATCAATCCACCTCATCTCCTTCCACGCGGGAAAAGGGAGTCATTCAACTACTCCCGACACCCTTTGTTGTAGAGCCAGACGGTTTTTTTTGTTCTTGTTCTCGTCTTGCTTTGTAAAAATGGGCCAATTAACGCTACAAGAACTTGTTGTATGAGAATTTCTTCTCCGCTTGTGATATGGAGCCAACTACTACTGAAGCGACGTCGTTGAAGATGCAGAGGATGATGTTGGTGTTTACCTCATCTCCTTCCACGCGGGAAAAGGGAGTCATTCAACTACTCCCGACACCCTTTGTTGATGTGTTTCTCTTTGGGGAACGTCGAATACAACTAGTAGTTCTTATATAAGTAGGAAACGGTTTTGGTTTTTCCGAATACTAGTAGTTCTTAAGTAGGACGAAACGTTTACGTTTTTTCAGATGCCTCTTCTTGTGCCCTTTCTCACATTGTTCACATTCTCAGGAACAATACACAACAACACGGTGTCAGACTTGTCACTTTTCTGCTCTTATTTTTCTCATCTTCTCGGGATGTCTTTCTCGTACGTCTCTCCCAGGAGCTAGTCATTCATTACAACGTCTGCTTTCCGTTATTCAAGAAGATTACCCTCTTCTAGGCATCCACTTTCACATGCGCACATTTTCAGACGATAGAGTGAGAACAATGAGCAACGTGATGACATCATTAGTTTTCGTTCTTATCTTTCACTGAGCGCAAAAAATAGCAAGATCAGTGTGTTGTACGAAATCGTAATCGGGATCGGAAATCGATATTCACAACAATATAAGGATGGATTTGGATGAATGTTGGTGTTGGATGGATGAAGTTGAAGAAGAAATCTACTACATCTTCTCCAACATCATAGAAAACTAAATCACAAGTCGTCCAGTTGATGTGATCTAGTTGGCCGCTCTTGTCTTCTCTTGTCCGACAAATTGTTCATGGTGTCTGACTCCTCCGGTATTTTTGGGGGCGGACCACCTCCTCCTACCTGATCTACACCAGGTGTTTGTTTCATCGCTCCTTCCCTCAAACAACCTAGTTTGCTTTCGCTTGCTATTTCTGGCGCTTTTACTGGATGAGCAGTCTGCGCCACGCTTGCGGAGTGACGCCACTCAGGCACTACAGGTATCTGCTGCACAAAGACCCAACGATCCGCAATGTAGTGATCACATTCGCGTTCTCGATCGTTCCTGGTGAGCCAACGATGAACCTTCCACAAAGGGTGACCCTGAAAACGGACTACAACGGTGCCGAAGAACGGGCTACGACGTAAAACAGATGTAATTTGACGACGAGAGGAGCTGCCATTTTTTGAGGTTGCTGAAGGACTAGGTATAGAACTACTTTCATTTACTTTTCTCTCTGCACTTTTCCCTGAAAGTTCAGCAGCTGATGCTTCTTGCCCGCTTTCACCTCCTCCAGCTTGTTGATTCATTTGACGATCCCCAGCTTGACTCCCAGCACCCTGCTGTTCACCTCCAGCTGTACTACTACCAATGCTTGTACTGCACCAATGACTATCCTTATTGTCGAAGTGGCAGAAGGGACTCAGCATGACGATCTGATCTCGCTGATCAGCCACCTCTTCCGCGTTTAAGAGGCATTCCGCAGGTTGCGCTGTGGGCATCAACACTCTCACATCATAGAGCCGATGGTGCGGACAGGCTTCGGTCCATGCACGCTCTATATCCTCGATTTGTCTACGCAGCTGCGCCCCTTCTTGACGCAGAAGCGCAGGTAAAGAGGTTGAAGATGAAGCCTCAACCTTGCTCGATGAAGATGACGTGACGTCTCCGATCATGCTTGTGGAGCTTCCATCAGTCCCTTCCTGAGAAGGTGCCGCCATATCTTCACCAGAAGATGTCGCAGAGGAACCTGCTCCCAAACCACCATTTGATGATGATGCGCCGCTGTGAATTTCAGGCCTTCGTCTTCGCACTAGTAACTCCAACAAATCAGCAAAACTCCAGTGAAAAAGCTGTCGCAGATGAAAGCCAATAGTATCGCTGACGTGACGCTGCACATCGACAACGTGCTTGTTGGTTAGGACGAGCGGCTCTTCGTCCGCGTTCCGTGACGCAGGAGCAACGGTAGCGCTTGCACTGGATTTCTTCGCTTCCGTCGCTAGGGACAAAGCAGCGACTTGTGCTGGGTTCTTCTCGGTTGGTGACAAATAGATCGACAAGACAATCTTCTCCGCATTGTTGTTACCGGAAAGATAAGCTGCTTGGGGTGAAAACGCCGCAGAAAACGGCAAAGACGACATTGTTATAGTACTAGATCCTCCGCTTGCTCCACCACCACCTCCCGCTCCACCATAAGCCGAAGAAGACGACTTAAAAGGGGACATCAAGACTGAAAAAGCTGACTTAGCGGCACTTGTTGCTGTCGATGCTGCACCGCCTGACGATGTGGAAGATGAGGAGCCGCCACCTCGCGCAGCACTAAGACCGGTCCACGAATGCAAACTGCTTCGTCCACTTGGCGTTAGCGCTCCTCCTGCTTGTGCAGCCGCTGCACGTGCACTTCTCGATGCTGACGAACCTCCAGTCGGTGCACCGGAAGAAGATGACCCGGCGCTACCTCCACTTGATGAGGACGATCCACTACTAGAATGCTGCGGTCCTCCTGCCGCAAGTTGACTGAAGATTTGATCTTGCCGCAGTAGAAGCTGTTGAATCTTCGTTTTCAGCAGGTAGCATACCCCACCTTGGCACTGTGCTTTCACGTTCCCGCGAACAAGTTTCTTGATGCTACTGCGTAGATTGCGTGGCGCTTCACCCGCAACGACCGCACTAATCCCCGCTTGCGCGAACTTTCTAGGGTAATCGCTCGCGTAGTTCAAACTGAGAATGAAGTCGATGCCGTAGTGTCGGTAGGCGTGTTCAAGTTGAGAGGACAGCAATTTGGGCAGATCCTCTTCGAGAAACGCCTGAATTAGCATGCGCTCAGCGAGTTTGCCCCAGTGCTCGAGCGCCTCTTGTCGAAAGATCATTCCGTTTGCTCCGAGGACGACAAAATGTGGGAACTCTGACAGACCTCTTGCAATATAACGTCCGGACCGTGCAGCAGACTGCGCACGAAGCTCCGTCTGCACGACCTCACTAGAGCGTTCGAGAGCACAGAAGTCGCACGATGACGGACCTGCGCCAGAAGATGATGATGAAGAAGGTCCTCCTGAAGAAGCTCCACTCAAGCCACTACTACCTAAAGGTCCAGCGCCAGCTGCGGAGGAAAAACTGCCGTCACTGTTGAGCGAAACGCAACAGCAGCCACGATATTCGCATTCTTCCCTAGACAGCATAACGCCAGGCAAAGCACACGACTGCATGTGCATTGACGAGTCGTGGAAGAGGAAGTCACTACTTGCAATCGCTGTATCAGTATTTCCCTCTTCTCCCAGAGTTGAAGATTTCTGTTTGTTGCCTCTGACGAACAACTCCCGTAAAGCAATACGTTGATCGATATCTCGGCACCGGTTACGCACATCAACAGTTCCTCCTGCTCCTATCCTCGAAGACGCCGTTGGCTTCTTCCCCGATAAAGCTCCTTTGTTCATCCCTGCGTTTCTGATCGCTAAATTCTGCGTGAAGGTATCTGTTAACTCGTCGAACGCACGATCTAAATCAGAATTACGATTGCAGTAATCATCACTGCACCATCCGTCGTTAGTTGTGATCACAAACAGAGCTCCGCGACACCGGTTCGAAAACTGGAAACTTAGAAGAAAATGGAAGATTGGAATTGATTTACGGCGAGTCCGTCGCCTATTGTTGTAGTTGTTTTTCTGTCTTATTTACACGGTCATGATAGAGTACGCAAAGCGCGGAAACAAGTAGGGCAACATGGAGATCATGAGAGAGAGAGTTATGGTCTCAAATCCCGGGACCTTTTTGGTCGTTTCTGTAAGTAGGAAAAGTTACACATATAAGGTTCTGCGGAGTCTACGGAAGATCTACGGAACCAAAGAAGCCGCTCGCACTAACACCAAGAGTCTCTCTCTGTCTCAGTCACACA